GTGAGAATTTAAGTTCAATAAAGGAGAGGTATTTAAATCTAATTGATAGCTAATCAGTACATTTGGCCATGGCTTCCAATAAATTTAATTTCCTACTTTTTGTGGCTATATCATATCACACACGGACAGATTGGTAGATCTTGCAAGAAACGCATTACCGAACATAAAAGAGCATTTAAAAACAATAATCTAGATTCTAATTATGCTACACATTTAAGCACAGAAAAACACATTTTTGACAACAATTTTGATATTTTACATACAACCACAAAAAGTTGAAAATTAAATTTTAATAGACTAACAAAATGAGAGATTCAAATGTATTGCTTAATGATCAATTAGATTTAAATACATCTCCTTTATTGAACTTAAATTCTCACAACAACATTAATTATTGTTTTATTGTCATTTTTCGGTATATATAGTAGTAGCAGGTAGTTTGTAAATATTACATTTCATAACGATACGGTGTTGTCGAAACAATTGTCATGTAAAAATATGTAATTTTGTGAAAATGTGAACTTTTAGTTCTTATTTATTTTTATTAAACAATATTTAAATGTTATTGTTATTTGAAATAAAGAAATTAGTAACCTCCATTGTCTTACTTTAACCAAAGGAAAATTCGGGTGAAAAAATGCGTCACGGTGTCGTAGAAGTAGGTAAGATATCTGAGACCGAGGTTTGACTACTGGTGTGATCCAACTGCAACAATGGGAAAATCGCCTATCTTATCTCGGTTAACGTGTGAAACGAGCACACTGAATTCGATAGCTGATACGGAGTTTATTTCCAAAAATTTTATAACTTTGCGGTACACTTTGCCCCGACGGGAAACGATCTGTTCGATTGTTAACCGTTACTGAAAATTACAATGTTCATTTGGCCGGTCGTAATTTTAATGAAGGCTTCGTCGCCACATTGAAACTAAATTATGGTTTGAAAGTTTCCGTCGCGATCTAAAAAATTTGAAGTTACACTCTTTCCGTATCAAAACGAAATTTGATTGAGGTAAGTCGTGTCTTCAATGACATTTCAAGCTTTTTTTGTATTTTTTTTTTAAAGAGTGCGTCGAAACGATCGGGTTAGGATAATTACGCAGAGACGACGGATTACCTCAGCATAACCTCAATTACTTATCGATATAGTCGGACTCACGTAGTGGTGTCGAATTTTACTCCATACTTTTTAAAAATTTGTTATAATTTATGCGACGGGCTCCCGTTATCAAATGCACCTTTTGACATCAAAAAGAGCACAATTTCAAATGTTAAGTTGCCCGAGCATATATGAGCCCTTAATTTTATCTTTAATTTAATTTAATTTGCGTTTTTCCAAAATTAAAAATATACGTAAGATATATGGTTGACTTGCAATGTTAAATCGCATTTAAGGGATTTAATTTTATACATCCTATTAAAAAGTCGCTATTATTAAGTGTATAATATGACCTTACTTACCTTAAAAGGTCACTTTCAAAATATTTTTTTTTTACAAAAAGTGAAAGTCCTAAACATATAGCTTAAAAAATAAAATACATGAACCTTTTCCGTTTCTCTGACGTCTTCTTTTTACAACACTGCGTCCGGTCGGTTCGTATAGCAATATATTTTGCTTATTAAACTCTCCTAATAGTCTAAGAGCCAGTGGGCGGCTACTTGCATGTATTTGACCAAATCTGGGTTTTTGTACATTGAGGCCCCTATACCTATTATACATGATGTGGGGACCCACTAAGCCCAAAGCGGTGGACCCAGGTACTGCGCAGGTGAGACAGGTATTAATTTTTGGCGAATTTTAAATATATTTGACCACGACTGCCGTTTTAATTATTAAAATGTATTATTATTATTATCGAAAAATAATAATGGCGACCATTAGCATGCGGTTAACATTATGACAGACAGTTTTGAGAATGCTCAAAAAATTAAAATTTTAAAAGTATTTGACCAGATCTGCCATTGAGATATATTATTCTTTATAGTCTTAAAAACTTATATTAATAACGGCAGACGTTTTTATTGAGTACACTCCTCAGTAGATAACAAAATCTTTACTACTACCAGGACAGATGTATACATACACTGCATAGAGCTATCTTTTTTCTTTCTCCTATGTATTACTATTCTACTCATTCCAGCTTATAGTATTTTCTTTTATAGCTACTACCACTTAAATAATATAGGGTTTGTAACTGAGATGGCTCTCTTATAATCCCAACCTAACGGTTTTTGTCAGATGTTTTCACTATGTTTGTGAATCTCGATACAGATGCCTAGTGTTTAATGAATTTAATAAAATACACAGTGTTGCTTTATGTTATTTTTCTTTAATTAAAGTATTATTCGTTAAATATCTCTGAGATTATGTCGAGTGAAAAAGAACTAGTGAAGTGTGTTTTTTATGCAACAGCAAAGACTGAGAAATTATTGACATTTTCATAAGAGAGAGAGATGGAAAAATGTCGACAAATTTTGAGGTTAAGAAAATATAAATTAAAATACAATGAAATAATTCTACGGGACGAAATTTTTAATTCTGTATATCACAGTAGTTGTTACAAAGCGTTTACGGCTTTAAAAAAAAATTGCAACCGATCTCAACAAAGAAGCTACTACCCACTATGTCCTCGTCTGCAACTGAGCAACCATCAACATTAGCTGATAGCTCAAGAACTGATGATACAATAGTACCTGATGCTCTTGTAAAAGACGTAAACGTTTCTGAGACAGATGAAGTCGTAAAAAAAGATATTGGCGCTGAATTAGATCAGTCGTTGGCGGAAGGACCCTCTGTAGTACCGTGAGTAGTTACAAAGCTTCGGATGTGAATCAAAATTTTAGTAAAAAAATACAAAATTTTGACGCAACCTCAATAACACCAGAGTGAACTTTACCAACAACTTCTGAGAGCCCATTACATTTCAACTATTTGGATAAACGCTTACAAAAAGTAACCGTCAGCCTTGGATCCATTGGAGTATGGTTGGATTGTCTTTAAATGGTTCGATGGAGATCAACTTCCATCTTTTGTTAGCGACTTAATTATCAATGTCCCTGGTAAGTTGATAAAAATTAATTCTTTATCAAATATATTCGGATCAATTTACTAATTATTTATATTTTACAATTTACGGTTTATTTTTACAGAGTTCGATTCAATGGATGATGAAGAGTTAACCTATGACAAACATGACTCCGACACCTTTCAAATTTTGTCTTAAATAAATATAACAAAATTGAAATACAGATTTGAATTGTTTTTTGTTACTTGCATTATACACCAATATTTCAGATTATTTCTTAATATATCTACTTCATTTATCATCAATCTAATAAATTTTGGCATATAAAGTACAAAAAAAGTATTAATTTTATACATACAGTGATAAAATTAATTATAAGTCAGTTAAATTTATGTAAAACCGCGATCGTAATACATATACATCTGACCGGGTAATAGTAAATATTTTGTAATCCACTGAGGAGTGTAATGAATAAAAACGTCTGCTTTTAAGACTATAACGAATAATATATCTCAATGGCAGATCTGGTCAAATACTTTCAAAATTTTATTTTTTTGAGCATTTCCAAAACTGTCTGTCATAATGATAACCACATGCTAATGGTCTGCCATTATTATTTTTACCTGTCTCACCTGCGCAGTACCTGGGTCCACCGCTTTGAGCTTAGTGGGTCCCCACCTCATTTATAGTAGGTATAGGGGCCTCAAAGTACAAAAACCCAGGTCTGGTGAAATACATGCAGGTAGCCGCCCACTGGCTCTTAATTTCGAAAATACGTTTTCTTTCTACTTCATTGAAATTTTTCAAGCACGTTTTTCATTTTGAAAAACTATGGCAGGAATAATTTTTCCTGAATGTGTACCGTATCTTTTCCCTGAATCCCGTTTAATTTTACGAATTTTCTGAATATAAGTACCACCTTTGTGCTCTCTGAATCCTTCTTTGAAGGTGTTGTTTTGTAAATTCTCATTCTCTGTTAAAGAAAAATTAAATATTATTTGTTAAATTTCAATTTAATATCAAAACGTAATTTAAATTACCCTCATCACTGCTTTCAACATTTTGGGCCACACTTTTTGACATCGTCAATAAAAAGTGGACTTAGGTCACTTTCAAAATTAGGATTTTCAGTATTTATATTATTTTGAAAATGTACGTGAAATAAAATTTTCAAATGTACATTTCAATAACGATTAATTTGTTTGACAGTTCAGCATAAATTATAAATGTCACAGGTGCCAACTTGATAAAAAATGAAAATGGACCTAAGCCACCTTCAAAATAAACTTGTTTGTTTTTTTTAATTGAAGAGCTGTGTGTCTTTTAATAATTTTATTAGGTTTGTTAATAGTTTTGCAAGCAAATGCAAAGGAAATATCTTTTTTTTATGTTAAAATAAGTTTTTTTTTGCACACATTACATGATTTATAAAAAAAACTCGAAATAAGCTTGTATGTGTGTACAATATTAAAGGCACATTGATACTTGATTATATTGATGATTATATTTTTTATAATTGTTTATATTTTGCGGTACAGTAGAAGGAGGTGACCGTTTGACAACTAAGGTATATTAGGAAATTTGGCACCTTTTTCCCATGACATACTCATACTCATACATACTTATATTATATTTCCAAAAAGCTAACAAAAGGCCTAATAAAATGATTAACAGATATACAGACATTCCATTAAAAGAAGTTTTGTTTTTATATCAATATTTGTGAGTTTACGAATAAAATTGACGCAACTGGATTCTACGTAAAAAGCCAGTTTTCACTTTTTCGATAAGTTAACCGATCTACGGAGACTTAAATTTGCAACTTTTTCAAATTCACCCTGTATATAACTAAATCCAACATTTTTGTTTGTATCTCTTTTCATTTAACACAGCCCTACCATCAAACACTATCGAAAATGGGGCACACTGTACAATATGACGTTAGAATTTGAAATAATGACGAAGAACTTTTCAGTTATGGCCGCGGACACACTCGACGAGTCTAAACATTCATGCTTGGGGTTAAATCATCCCGGTCAAAATTCATATCTTCGATGGGCGGATGCGCTGAAACAGGTAAGAAGATGTTAACACGTTTTGGTCACTAAACGTCGTTGTATTTATATGGTTGCCGATTATACCAGCAACATTGCAAATTTTCAGAGATATTGTTATGTTCGGTTGTAATATGAAGTTCACAAACTAAATTTTCAAAGAACTGTACCCTTTTCGTGGCGTCACATTTTCGACACTTGAAAAATGGTACAATCAGATTTTGAATAGCACCTGCAGTTTCCAAGCTATCAGGGAAACCATGCAAGAAGATTTCGGTCCTTATTTAAGATTGCGGCCCTGAAAAAAGAAGTCTTTAAATTCGAATTTTAATTCACAATATTTTCTGTGCGATTATAAAAGTCTCAACAAAGTAGAAAAGCAAAGTGTTCGCCTTCTTTTTGTCTTCAATAATAACTGGATTTCCTAAAATGGTACACTCGGTATAGCTTTCGAAATGTTTACAGATTTTGGCCTGTTGCATTGCCCATTCTTTGGTGATACAGGCGGGCGTAAACATGTCGTTCAGCGCCATCCTTTTGCCTCAGCTTAAAGAATCCGACAGCGATATAATTATAGACGAGTCGGAAGCGTCGTGGATAGGTGAGCTCCCCAACGCATCATATTATCTGCGCTGGTCTTGATAACACGATTTCAGCTAGCGTGGTAACTTTAGTGCTGCCGCTGGGTTCTTTGATAATAGGCCCTCTGATGGACCGATATGGGCGTAAGAAAATGTGCATATTAACCACTGTACCGTTTTGTCTGTCCTGGATTCTCCACGCCTTGGCCACAAATATCTGGTATATCTACGTGGCCCGAATCATAGCTGGGTTCGGTGCGGGTAAGTGGTGGAACCCATAGAGCTTTATAATAAGGACCACATCAAACTATAACTACCATCTTCTCGCATATTTAATTATTGTGCTTGTTATACGGAAACGAAGAAACTTCCTTCTATCTCATTTTAATAATCGTGTTGGATGACCGAACAGCTAAGGAAATATGTCACTCCACATCTGCCAAGATCTACAAGTAGCCAAAGTCATCATTGTTGTTACTTAAAATTTATTTCGGCCAAAATGACAAACTCGCACTATAATTCACTATACACACCACTAATAACTTATTTAACGTCTTTAATTGTATTGCGCGCTCCGGATTGTCTTTTCGACTAACTGACTAACGAGCACGACCCTTCGCTTTTATAGAACACAGCACCTGCTCGCGATACGGATGGAACATTCAACGTGTCTTCCCGATATCATAGCTAAAATTTTATCCGAAATGTAGATCTAGAAATTAATTTTATGGAACTGAAAGTTTCACATTTACCTGCTGTCATTCTCAGTTTATTGTCACTAGAGCGCTTTCAGCGAGGGTTAGGGGCGGTGCATAATGCATATTTAATAAAGTACTTTCCCTTTTACACCAATTTTTTTTTAGTCATATTTGTACAAATTGCGTGGAAATATAAGAATAATCAATTACGAAATATTAAAAATCAAAAAAATAAACATGCACAAATGAGAACACACAATAGACACACGCCATTGCTGGAAGACGAAGACATTCACTGGTTGCCTAGGCAACGGCGTCTGCCGACCGCAGCCGAACAATAGTAATCGCCACGTGATGTCCCATTCTGAATTACGCGCACTCTAGTGTTTTCGACGTCAGTTGTCGTGGAATTCGTATTGAAAACTAAATGAAGACCGCAACAGGATTTTAGCTCTTTCATGCCCTTCTTCAGCTGTGTCCAGAGCTTCCAACCAAGCAACCAGTGGAGATATTTAGAGAAATAGTAAAACTCCACTGAATAGGAAAAACAATTGTTTGCTTCATTCTACTAAAAAACAAACGTTGTAGGTCTTTCTACCGCGGCTCTGGTCTACGTCAGCGAGGTATCGCACCCCACGTTTCGATCGATGCTGCTGTCGTTTAACAGCGTGTTCGTGACCTTGGGGATCTTGTTGACGTTCATTTTGGGTCAGTAATCGTCAGCTTATGTGATTTAACTCAGTCTTATTTCCACTGCTCGCCAGGTTGCTTTTTTCAATGGAGGTCGATGACTGTGATTTTCTGCCTGATCGTGGTCCTTTCGTTGATCGGCCTGTGCTTCTTGCCAGAGAGCCCGTACTGGCTGGCCGTGTTTAAGAACGACAGGACAGAGTGCGCCAGGTCCCTCAGGTGGCTGTACCCTAACCAAATCGTAATAATAATAGAAAATTGAAAATAGAAGATATCAGAATGGGTGGGGGAATAAATGGCTTTTCATACCTGCGCGATGTGTTCGGCGGCCATTATGACGGTTGCTATGTAACAACTGATACATACAGGGTGTTATTTTATTGATATCATATAATCTAATTAATAAATTTGAACCGCCATCTAATCCCGAATAGATATTTTATTCGGTCGGAATAGACTATTTTTTCCCATTTTAGTTCCACAGTACGACTATGACCGAAACGGGGATGTTCATGTTAAATTTCCTGCAAAACCTACTTAGGCTATTTATGTGATGATACGTAATGATACGGTTTTTTCTTTAAAGCTTCTACAAGCTGTACTATCCCCCCTGCATTGGTTGTTTTGCTGACTTTTCGCCAACCATCCCGTTGACTTCTTCAGAGCTTAACAGAAGGAATTATGTTACGAAACTAACCAGTATGTTTTGTTTGTCGATATCTTTGACGGTTAATAGGTTGGACGATGAACAAGAAATGCTGGATGAAAACCTTTACAGCTGCAAGCTTTACAGCTCATTTCATTTCATTCAATGACAACAAAACTATTAGACGAGACTTTACATAGCTCACAGATCAGCTAGTTACGTTTAGTTAAATCTGTCTCAGAACCATTGTTCTAAAAAATATAATTTCGTAGTTCTATGTACCAAATATAAGCAATTAAAAATTGTAAAATTTAAATCCTCATTGAATAGAAGATATCAGAATGGGTAGGTCATTGACTGTGACCGGTTGTGACGTCAATCCGCTAGTTAGACTACGCATAGAGAAGCTATTAGACAACGACAAGGCGTTGGTCTTGGTGATTTTAATTTTAATATCCCTGCGCTTGTTTTTGTTATCCTCTGTTTATTATCAAAAAGAAAGATGTGAGAACGACCGTATCCGATTTTTTAACTAGTCAATCCGAGCCAAAATTTATTCTTTCGCTGAGGTTCGCGATGTTAAAATTAAAAGGTATGTTCCTAGAAAATTTAGCCACTAGTTTTAAATCAATATAATATTATAGTCAGCTTAAGTTTTCTAGTTTTTAAAATTCAAATGGTGTATCAAATAAAATGTAAATTATTCAACAAAAAAAGAAAAAGATTTAAAAAAAATTAATTTAAATTTAATTTTAAAGTATATTGGCATTGATAACCCAGAGTTTTTGTTTATTTTTTATATAGATCAGGAAGCCACTCCTATGGAGACTGCAATAGAATGGGTGCAAGTTCGAAGAGTTAAAAATGTTTGCACGGTTAAGAGCTAAATTGAAACCTAGACCAATAAAAAGTTTATCTGGCATTTTACGGATTGCACTCAAACACGATGGCACGATTTGTAATATTGTTTTTGTGTTGCTTCATTATTATCATGTAAAGCATGCTAAGCACAAATACAAACTGACGTAGATTAAATACAAATACACCTTTACAGTGTTTGTCGCTGTATTGATCGAAAAGCAGCGGTATGACGTCACGACCATTCCCGCGCGATTGGTGTCGTTTAAAAGAAATAGCCAGGTGTCACAACTTGAATCATTTATTGCAACTTAAATATTGGGTTCTGAGTTTTGATGTTTCGTATTTCTATACATAAACAAATGTATTAAAGAAATTTAAAAAAATCAAGTTCCTTATTATACTGTTTTGCAAGCGGTAGTTGCATCTACCTTCTAAAGGGTGAATCATCGTCGGACACACCGTCATTAGAGAGAATTGTATTAAGCTTAAACGAATATCCAAATACCGATCGAAAAATGCCTAGGTAGTTAAACGTTCGTTTAAGATTTAATTTGGGGTTATTGACAATAATGTGCTATTTTGAACGAAATTTCGTACAATATAATGTTATTAATGCAGACCAATCTAAAATGATCTGGAAGTTTTCGTCATCATTAGCAAAAGTTAAATTGGAGATGTTATTCCATGCCACTTCGGTGGGACTAAATAATGAAACTGCGAGTGTTGAATAATATGTGTAGTACTACTTTTTAACGCATCCTTTTTTGAAATTAGTGAATTTTCAAGTGGATCAGTAATTCAGTTAAAGGCAGGAACCGTTTGCGGTGCTCTGATTGACTAACTAATGGTGTTTAAATTTGTTGCTTAATAATGGATTAGATAGTTTGAATTATACGTCGGTTTGCACCAAAAATTTTTGGAGAAATTTTTCCGTACTTCCAGGCAGCAAATGTGCAAATAACAAGTATTTTTGCCATTTGCCCCTCTACCATGGGATTCATTCATTAAGTCATATGATGGCATTTCAATAACACCCTGTATATAACTTTCATTTTATAATGGTATGGTCTGTTCATAGATATAATAAAGTGACCAATTACTTTTAAACGGGATTATCCAAGGGTGGTCAATAACATACAATGCAACAAGATTATTACCTAAAGTTTCGGAATTTAAATTCAGGTAAAATTGTGGTCCGTAATAGAAAATAATTTTATACCTACCTGTGTTTAATATTCTAATTTAAGTAGGTAATAAAAATATATATAAATAAATACATACATAAATAAATAAATATTGTTTAGTATCTTTCCTAACAAAACCCCAAATAATTAAATTCTAAGCAAAGTACGGACCTGTTCCGCCATATTGCATTCTTACAGCTTGCCCGGGTCTTTCCTTAATTCGTATCAGTATTCGTCAGTTTCTTATATCTATGAACAGACTTTACCCAGTCACCAATTAATGTTTGTAGTTTTAGAAGCCATTGTAAGCCAGTTTAGGAGCATAGATAATATTAACATCGCTCACGGAATTGATCTACCGTCAAAATGGCTCCAGTTCCGCCTCACCCATTCTGCTGTCTACATTCCATTAACGTAATACTTTTTTGAGTCTTTACAGGCATACGAGCAAGAACTCGTCCGCGTCGTGGACGTCAAAAATCAATTCGCGTCGGCCACGGAGAACATCAAAGACAGCGTCGCGACGTACATGCAACCGGCAGTGTGGAAACCGCTCGTCATCCTCGCCGTCGTCTTCCTGTTTCAGCAGCTGTCGTGCGCTTACGTCGTCGTGTTTTACGCGCTCAACATATTCCGCCGTATCGGCGGCAATTTCAAATACCGCATCAACGAGTACGTCTCGCTCGTACTTTTAGGCACCATTCGTTTCGTCATGGCCGTCGTTTTGGCTTTCATCTCGAAACGTATTAAACGAAGGACCGTAATGCTCGCTTCCACGGCGGGTATGATCGCGACCAGTCTCGCCAGCGCGATCTACATGTATGCGACGCGCGCACGCGACGTTGCCGATACCGACAGCAACGTCACGCTGTTTCTGGTGTTGGCTTACGTCAGTTTCAGTTCGTTCGGCGTTTTGGTCGTACCGTGGACGCTTATAGGCGAACTGTTTCCGGTACACGTGCGCGGCAAAATGGGCGGAGCGATGGTGTCGCTCGTCTACCTGATGATGTTCGTCGCCGTCAAGGTGTTTCCGTTTTTCGTCGACCGTTACGGCCTGGAGGCGCTTTTTGCGACGTTGGCCGCGGTTAACATGGCCGCGTTTTCGTTTTTGTACGTCTTCCTGCCGGAAACGTTGGGCAAGAGTTTTAAAGATATCGAGGAACAGTTCGAGAAGTAACGCGGTTGTTTTTTTATTTGTGGCGGATGCGCGGGACGAGGCAAAGTTGACGTAACTTTGCCACTACCGAGGGAGGCGCCACTGTTTTAACGGTTTTTTTAGAAGTTTTGGAAAAACAACTGGTCTTGTTATATGTAAAAGTCCAACGGCTTTTTTTTATTACACATTCGGATCCTACACAAAATTCAAAATTATGTTTTTAACTTATACGTACGTCCCTATGGGCCAGAAACACCTCCTTTTTGTCTTGTAAAAGCTTTACGTGGTCTACCAACTACATTCCTAAAATTAATTTATGGTTGATCTAGAAAATGTTATCCGTATAAAAATGGACAGCTCCTTGAACATTTATCAGGGTGTCCTCGTACTGTGCACAATTAGGTGCAAACGAATCATTTCGTCAACTTTTTAACATTTTACCGGTTTAATTTTAGTCCATTTATTGTCACCCTATATGCTATGCAAAGGTTCTCTTAATCTTTATTTTCTGATGACGAAGAACTCGAACATGCTGAAAAACAAAAGGCCTACAAAACAAACAGCAAACAAACAAGCAAAAAGGAGGTTAAGGAAGAAAAGTGTCCGCTTGCACAGTTCAGAATTTAAAGTCAAACTTTTGACCAGCGAATTATCCTAAATGAGTTCGACAAAACTCCATATTTGCATTGAGCAAGCTCTTGTCAGTTCGCGAACGAAAATCGCAAGAACCCGAAAACATTTTAAGCTAGGTCGAGGCGTGGAAGAAATGCGGTGCGGGTGAAGAATATGGTTTTCAGAATTTATTTTTAATTACGCTAACGGCAATGTCTCGTTTTAAATAAATTGTGTTTCTCTAACCCTTACTTGTACTTTGGTGGCCAAACCTTATCCTAATATTGCAGCAATCAAATTGTGTGGATTTTAAAGCGATTACGTTTTTTACTCTTCTTTTTTGGCTTGACCAGTATGGACTTTGGGCCATTTCCACAGCGAACGTGACTTGTTTCGTCACTGAACTCTTCAATAAAACTATGCGACTTAGGTTCTAGATTATAAAAACACTGGGAAGAAACAATGCTTTTAAAAATGCCGGGTTCGAGCCATATTTTCCATAACTCTCGTAGAGTTCGAGCGACAGCTAGCGCGCCACTGGTCAGCAGATAAACGGGTCGCAACGCGACAATGGATTGTTAAGTCGTTATCTAAATCGCTGGGAGACTCTAAATAGACAATCAACATTCGCTATTATAACCTAAAACGACAATGTAATCTCAAAAACAACAATTTTGTGTAAATGAAATGCAGTCGCTTTCTGATTTTACGCACAAAACGCAACTCTGTCGAGCACTGAAAAACGACAACGTCGGAGGCGGAAAATTCAATTTCGTTTTGGCCGGTAAAATGTGAAGTGGCCTTTGTCCTTACACTGGGGTTTGAGTAAGTATGCAGGAAACTGAAAAATCCCACACAGAGCCACTGGATTCCATTATGGAGAACGCAAACGTAGATCTCAGATGGCGGGATTCTCTGAGACAAGTAAGAATATGCCTTTACCACAGTTCCGTTAAAAGTTTCAAGCGCCCATACCTCCACGAACCGACACATGCGTAGGAATGAATTTCAAACTATAATGACCATATCTAACATATTTCACAAAACGAGCTTAAACACACACGATCATCCGGGTCGATTTTATGAAAATAAACAATTAATAAAATATGAACGTGAAAAATGCTGGCAAAAGCTGCCATTGGTCCAATTTAAATGGATTTGACGGCTGCGCGTGAGTATTTTAAGGTTAGGTTTTTCATCGAACGATTGTTCCATCCATGTTTAAACTTTATTTCTAGCAATGACACACTAGAACTGCCATCACTTAATAAATGCAATGGCTTTAGTACGGTAATGGTAGCTGCTATATAATATTTTACTGCCGCTCAGATTTTATGTCGTTTGCTGCATTTATATGAACGAAATAGTTAATCCGCCTGCGCATGCGCCCTCTGGAGGGTTGTGGCGGCAGTTTCAATACTAATTGTTGACACGCCAGTGGCGGGTAGTACTAATTAACCTCAATAGTTGGGACGGTTACCTAGGTTTTGGCGTGTTGTGTCGCGCACACGCTGGTGATCCAGGCCGGGATTAATATGGCTTTCAGCGCCGTGCTGTTGCCTCAATTGAAAGAAGAGGAAAGCGACATAATTGTAAACAAATCGGAAGCATCGTGGATAGGTTTGTAGGGTCGGGACGATTACGTCGATTCTAAATTCCTATTTTGCAGCCAGCATCGTCACGATAGCCCTGCCATTAGGCTCGCTAATTATCGGACCGTTGATGGACAAGTTCGGCAGGAAAAGAACGTGCACGCTCGTCGCTCTTCCGTATTGCATAGCCTGGATACTGCATGCGGCTGCGACGAACGTCTGGCTCATATATGCCGGACGCATCCTGGCGGGGTTCAGCGGAGGTATAATTGGACCATCACGATTATTGAAGATTTATGATGATTTTCGGTGATTTACAATAGTTTATTGAATATTTACAGAGAATTAGATTTATTCACTGTTTATTGAGAATTGAGATGGTTTCCCTATTTTGGAATACTTATTATGGACCGTTAAAACTTATATGTATAGGCATTTTTATGAGCTATTGTTGTAATAATAAGAATAATAAATAATAATTAATGTTCCAGGTCTCACCACCGTGGCGCTGGTGTACGTCAGCGAGGTCGCGCATCCAAAATTCAGGCCGATGCTTTTGTCGCTGAACAGCGTTTTCGTAACACTCGGTATCTTACTGACGTGCATTTTAGGTAAGCTGCGTTTCGATGGAGTTGCAGAAGATGCCAGTCTTCTGCTTCAGGTTACGGTATGGCGTGGCGCAACATGGCGAAAGTATTCTGTTTGATAGTGGTCATTTCCGCGGTAGGAACGTTGTTCATCCCGGAAAGCCCCCATTGGTTGGCCGTCTTCCGAAAAGATAGCGATTCTATCGCCAGGTCGTTGAGGTGGCTATATCCCAATAAGCTGGTAAGAAATGCTTTTGCAAACAAATATAAATTGTACCTTAAATAGTTAATAAATCAACTAAAAAATTTCTGACGTTGGTTGATAAAAACTAACTACACAGGTCTACAGTAAAGACATTCGAAAGCTGTTTGCTTATTTGTATATTTATATTCTATCACGTCATTTTTTTTATAGCGCTCTATCTCTTAAAAATGTTTTTTTTATTAATACACGTTCTATGTTCGTTCCATTTTAAGCATGGTTTTTAAATGAATTGATTTTTATGAAATTAAATGAGATTCGGCAACAATGGATAATATTATATTTCTGTGCAAAGCAACAGAGTTGGCGCAGAAGCGTCAATGCAACGTTGTGATTTGCTTATGCGCAGTTTGGTTGTATTGGTCGTCGTGCTACTGTATTCGCGGCTGTTGTCTTCGTTTTGCGTATTTCTAGTGTTCTACAACGTTTAAATATCGAATGTAAACATTGTATGAACAATCCAAATAACTTTTGTTACATTTGTGCTACTTATGTCGTAGTAAAGCAAAAGCAAACTATAACTTCTTTTGTGAAAAATGTAAACCTTCCTTATTTTGGTGAGAACATTGTCGCATTGAAGCATTAAGAAACTGGCAAAAAAGATGGGAAGACATGTTTAAACTTTGGTGCTTCTATGGTATGGCGGGAGCCGAGTAATGACGGTGATGATTGTTATTTTTGTTCGTGTAATGTTCAAGGATTCAGTAGAAAAAATAAGAAACAAATTGTGTATCTCAGTCTTGACTCTGCTATTCATATACCTATATCTACCGCCCAAAAAACCTAGAAAACGTCATGTCGTTAGAATCAGAGGAATCTAATTCCGACCCAGATGATTCAGATTTCACACCAGATTTCAGAACAATGGTAATGAACTGGCCTCGGTTCCCGTTACACATTTAAAGAAATTTATAAGAAACGTATGAAAATTTGCGACTTCTTTTCAAGAAAGTAAACTCTCAAGCATCCACAGAACTACCAAGAACATCGGTTATTTGTGAATGAGAATTGATAAGTTTTTTGGGAACCCTAAGGACAAAAACTACGAAAATATTGTTCATCGTCGAGGTTGTACTATGAATTTGAAAGGGCATTTCCTGTTTTCCCACTATTTTCCTGAAAATCTTGGAATAGTTAGCGAATAATAGAATGAAAGAAATGAAACGGCGATACCAAATCAAATGGAGCATAGCGATGATGGCGGACTACTGCTGCATGTTAAAACGGGATATGCACACAGCCGAATGTCCAGACAACTCAACTTTCAGGCAAAAACGCGAAGATTTCGCTCAAAAAATCTGAGTAATTTTTTTTAACTAGGATTCCAATTTTTTGCAGTATAAAAAAATAAAATATCAAACAATCTACCTACTAAAATTATATAAAATCAAAAGGTTTAATATTGTAGACCTGTGTTATTAATGGCTAAATGGTTGAGTTCATGTCCAGTTTTCTATATTTGAAATGTTGACTTAATGAATGGGACACTTGATAATATTTTAGATATGACTTTAACATAGCTTAAGTTGTTTATTTATAATTTATTAGTCCTTTCCTTACAAACTCACCCTTAGGCGTTCGAACAACAGCTGAAATGAATGGGACACTTGATAATATTTTAGATATGACTTTAACATAGCTTAAGTTGTTTATTTATAATTTATTAGTCCTTTCCTTACAAACTCACCCTTAGGCGTTCGAACAACAGCTGAAAACGATTCTGGAGGAAAAGAACCGAACGACCCTCGAAATCGACGACGAAGTTACCGAAAAATCGACCCTCCTCCAGATCAAAGAAAACCTGGGCCTGTACAAGCAACCGGCGGTGTGGAAACCGATCGCCCTGCTCATTCTCATCTTCGTTTTCCAACAATTGTCAGGCGCTTACGTCATCATCTTCTACGCGGTCGACATCTTCAGGGAAATCGGCGGCAATTTCAAGAACCGAATTGACGATTTCGCAGCGTTGGTCATCCTGGGCACCATCAGATTCGTCATGTCGTTGGTGTGCGCGGTCATTTCGAAAAACTTTGGTCGAAGAGCCCTGATGTTTTCGTCCGCCTCGGGGATGATCGTCACCAGCTTGTCCGCCGCCATTTCCTTGTATTTTCCCACCCGCGGCAATTTAACGTTGTATTTAACATTGGGATACGTCTGCTTCAGTTCGTTTGGGTATCTGGTCATCCCTTGGACCTTAATCGGTGAATTATTGCCGCTCAAGGTCAGAGCGAAAGTGGGTGGCGCGATGGTTTCGATCGCTTACGTCCTGATGTTCGCGGTGGTAAAAATTTTCCCGTTTTTGTTGGACGCTGTCGCGCTGCAGCACTTGTTTTTCGTTTTGGCCGGTTTAAACGTTGTAGGACTCGTCTTCCTTTATTTATGTTTGCCCGAAACTCTCGGGAAAACCTTCGAGGAAATCGCCGAGTGGTTCGATTGAAAGCGGGATAACTAATAATAACTTTGCTGTCCATGTAAATACATGTTACGCAACAATAAATGTGTAATTCCACATAGTTAATCAGGAATTGGGACCCTTTTTTAACATACCTATTGAGTATCCCTCGTTAATGCTATTGAATAACACCATATCCAGGTATAGCAGAGAGTCGTCAAAATAACGTCACCAAATGACGTCAGCAGGTCGTGAATTTGACCTACTAATGTCACAGACCAATGATGTCATTAAGTGAAGTAAGTAAAGCAAATTACATTACAGAGAACATCTTTGCCGGTTGCGTAAAATGGGGACTTACAGTTAATGAATAAAGATGTGTCCTTTAAAAAAAAAATGGAAGTGTAAGATTCAGGGTCTGCCATTCGATTTCACGAAAATTATTTTTTATTTTGACTTACCCTGTATAAGCAATTCGAAGTAACTTGAAGACACGTATAGACTGTACTAATTTTAAAAAATTGTTAGCATAATAAAATTACAGCCCTGCCAGAAACACATTTTTGACGAGAGAATGGCCATAAATCCGAAAACACTCAGTATAGACCATCACAACTGTACATTGGGTGATTGAGTATAAATGGGAGTATCTATTATTTTCCACAAATTTATGACTGACCCTTTGCATTTAAAAATGATTATAAATTGTTTCTTTTAATCTCATCTATACCTTTTCTATTTAACATTTTTCTCAAAAGCAAATAATAAATCAGATGTATTACTTTGACAATTTAAATAGAAGAATTTAATAATAGGCTAAATTAATTATTAAGTTTAAAGTGCATATCTGGAATTAATTAAGTCGTTTTATATTAATATTTAGGCAATCGCATAAATGCCTTCGTTCGTAATTCGACACACTGACAACTGACACCATTTTTAATACATTTATTGAGTATCCCTCGTTAACGATATTAATAACATCACAACTAATAACTGGGCAACCGTATATGCGTGTTCGTTCGAAAACGATTTGAGTAATTCGATAAAACTGAATTACGACTGGAGACCTTTATTAAAAAAATATTTATTGAGTATCTCTCGCCAAGGCTGAATAATATTATAAATAATTACTAGGGAACCGCCTTCGTTTGAAAACGGTTTGTGTGGTTCAACTGACGGAATTACGAATCGAAACCATTTTGAGTATTCCTTGTTAACGATTTTGAATAAGAGTATAATAAGTAGGCAACCGTATATACATCTTCATTTGAAATCTGTTACCGTTCCCACGTAAGCGCCGTGTGTCAATTTATTTTCATATTAGGGTAATTTAAATAGTTATTTGAGGTGATTTCTTAATCCCAATAGTTTCTGTTGCTAATAAATTAAAAAGGGAGCAATGGCATTTTGGGTAAGGTCAACCGCCCGGTAGTTCAAACGTCCCGAACATCGGGCATCAGTTGTCAAAAATATTCATTCCGTGAATCAATGTACTAGGAACAATAAATTTCGTGTTGTGTTTGGAAAAATTGTGCAATTTTGTATAGAAAGCGGTTAGAATAGGACCGAAAATTGTTTGACGAGCCGGCGTCGTGGATACCGAATTTGAAAATTAAGGTATGGTGCTATTTTTAAGTGAAACTTTGCATGCCAGCATCCGATCGTTGCGAGCGGCGTTTTTTTGAGGAATATCTGTCGGTATGCGCGTACATTTATCCTTTCATTTTTTATTAATTTATCGGATTTTCATTATACATAATCTGCTTGTATTGGTTGAATTGGGTTATCGTAATTCGCTACGAGCAAGGAAGCTAATCAGGTTTTCCAGCAGCAGTCGAACGGTATTTCACGTATAGTTAAGTACGTGCAAAACTGTTTTGAATTCAGTTAATTATAATATTAATGTCATGCACGCAATGGAATAGAAAAATGAGCATAGTTTTTATAAAAACATGGTTGTTTTTCGTTAACATTTGAAAATATGTATATTTTGTAGGATGGCAACATTTTGAATTATGTTTGTGTCGTGGAAATTTAACATGGTATTATTTTTCATTTCTTTTTGAATTCCCTGATTATGAATTAGTTTTTTGTAGCATAAAAATCGATATACAATTTCTAGGTAAAATGTATACGAGTTACATTTATTGGTTGGTCACAACTTACGTGTACGAGCACATTGTTATTATTCAGCGTTAAAGGCGATAAAAATTTTAACTAAATTTAAATCGACGTGCAATAATTGTGCCCCCTTCAAAGTCAAATAGTTCATTGCAATGACATAACCACGATAACTTTGTTCACTTTTGTGTAAACATCATAATAATTTTATCTTTGTTTGTACGTAGTGAATATTTTTTTATGATTCAAAAAGTATAGTTTTGCCTTATTTTTTCAAAGATTAGAAAGAATTTTCAGTCATTTTCATGCTATCCCGTATAATTGATGAAGTTATCGAATATTGATAACATTTTTGAGATGTATAGGTTGAATCATTAAGTGTTGAAGCTGGGTGACCCTACAATTTAAACAAAAATACTTGTCGAGTCACTGATATTATACAGAATGCTTGTCAATAAGTGTCCTATATTTTAAAGGGTCATTTTTAACAAAAAAAAATCATCTAAATCTTTTCTTGCAAGGATCTCGCTTCAGAGATTAATATTGCTTTACATTTTGTTTTCAAATTTAGTACACATCTTTTTTGGTGCTGAATATTACAGGGATATCGCTAGGGGGAAAAATAAGAATATTTTTATCAGAGTAAAGGCAAAAAGCAGAAACATGTCACAGAATATAATTTTTTTTATTTGACAGGTGAGAAAAACATTTGTTAGTATAGTTTTTAAATATTTTTTAAATTAATTTTGGTATACGTCTTTGATTTCAGCAGCAAGCATGTAATAGTATGTTTGTCCGGACTGAGAAGGTGATTTTTTATAGCAACGGTTATTAAATTTTTTCAATTGGAAATTACTTTTGTTTAAAAGTTTTTTTGAATTTTGTGTATAGGTTAAGTAAATAAATACCTGTCAGAATTATTTTTTTAGTTCTAAAAGAATTGTATGCTTCTAGTGGTTTTAAGTTGTATATGTCAAATTGCAAAATAAAAATAGAAATGGAGACTGGGGCTGACAATGTTATACATTTGCAGATGATACGGCCTTAATTTATATATAAAAAAAGTTAAGTGTTGGCAAATATAGCAAATAATGACTTATTACAACTCGCTATTAAATAACAAATTAAAAACAAACATTGAAAAAAATAAACACGTTTTATTTAAACGAAAAAATAAAAACTTTACCTTTAAGATAAATGCTGTTCTTTGGAAAGAGTTGATAAAATATTTAGGGTTTATGCTTGACGAGGAGCTAAATTGGAATGCTCACATTAGTTGTATAAACAACAAAAATAAGTTGCAACGTTATACAGATGTAACTAAGTGAAATTGCAAGATATAAAATTTATTATAATGCGTGTTTCTTGTCGGTTATAAGAAATCTTATTGCAGTCTTAGGGACATGTAATAAAACACTTTAATAAAACAAAAATAATACAAAATAAAATCCTTAAAACTGTATTTAATTTAGAGTACAAAACGCACATAAAATAATACAAGAATCAAACTAAAAGCAACACTAAAATAACCCATATTGATGAAATACACTCACACAACTTAAGAAGTCACACACTGACATACAGTTACGGAATGCCAGATGAAATAAAGAATTGAAAAATCCAATAAGCGCGGCCCCAAATACGTACGACCTACTGCCTAACATTGTCAAAAATCAGACTTCTTATAATATTTTTGGAAAAAGTTAAAAAATATTTAGGCAATGTAATAATACATTTAATTAAATTCTTGCTCGAAATGCTTTCGGTGGCAGTGCTTAGCGCATGGTTTAGAAAGTTACCTTAATTCATGTCTACGTAGTATAATAGAGTATTACAATATAATTATAAAAAAAAGATTATTAAGTGACAAAACCACAAAACAGCCAATCAAAATCCGACTTAAGTGCTTTCATAAAGCCAGACTCTTCGCTGGGTCACTTCACAAATAATACTAGTCGAAAATAAACGTTCTATAACACCTAAAACCTAATATGCGAGAGTCTAGACCACTTCTAGATAAGGGCGCCGACCTATGTTAAGATTACATGACGAAAAAATCTTGATATTTTTGTTTTGTATCTAAAATAAGTTTTTGACATTTTTTTAATTAAAATTAATGTTATTTTTTGAAAAAATCCCTCTCGATAATTTGAAGCGAATTCGAAAAATTATTAAGTAAGAATTATCTCTTTGGCGTTTCCTTTTCTTCGAACTTCGACTACTCTGTATACTAAGAACGAAGCCTTTTTGACGTGTTGTTTGATGATTTTTTTTTAAAGCTGGAAGAAATATCCAGCACATTAAAAAAAAAAGTTTCTTCAAATATTAATAAGAAAATATATTGAAACGATTATTTTAAGTTAAACTTTATATGGTCCGTGTCCAAAATAATATACGCTTAGTGTGTCTTAAAAAAACAGAACTGTGTATTTAACTTTTAATCATAAATCTTTCCATTGTAAGAGTATGGAATACCGCGTACATGCAACCCGTCTCTAGTCACTCGGTTTGTTTTTTATCGTGCAAAAAATCATCCGATATTTCGCGCCTGCTTGATAAGCGGCGCGTTGCTCACGGCTCTGTCATCTGTTCGACGACGCGTTTCTGCCGCGCCAGCATCACGTGGCTACGTCACCGACGGTACGTGTATGCGTGCGTGCAGGTTCCGATAATAGCGGTTCTGGTGGTACCCAGCGGCAGTCGACCGAGCGAAAGCGACGAGGTGGCACGGGCGTGTTGCTTTTGAAAATCTTTCGACTTGACGTGCGTGGTAGTACTGACTACGTGTCGCGTTTGCGAAAGTTTTTTTTTTTTTCACTCGGCGCGTCCGGATACGTTTTTTTCCCGGAGTAAGTGTGCGGTCGACTTACCCATAATCGTTCATTAATTCATGAAAGTTTATTGATTTATCGTGCCTCTAATATTTTCATCCTTCAGGAAAGTTGGCATTTAATCAGTAGGTAACGCATATATAGCTAAGGGGCCATGTCCAGGTTTTCCGTGACAATTTCTAGCTTTCCACAGTACAAGAAATAAAATTTCCAACTAAATAGTAAAAAATATGGAATTATTGAAATACTTGTACATAAAATTTGGTAATAACTGTTTGCAGGCTTGTTTAACAATTGTCCATTTAATGGTGAAAATGTATACGTAATGAGTATTAGTCTGGGCTATTTAAAAAATTGTTACAATTCATCAGTTTGGAAATATTTTATAACCTAAAGCGTCATTTCGCTTATCTTTATTAGGAATACCCCGGCTCCTAAACTCCTAAAAACCATGTTAAGTATATATATTTTTAGTTGTGATGCGCCTGCGGTTGCACACTTCAGTTTTTGGTTTCGGTTTCTTATTTATTCGGTATTTTTAATATTCTGCTGCCGCCACTATCTTAACCTTAACCTATATTTGTTTCCTCTTCTTTTTTACACTGGGCCCTGAGTCTGTGTTACAAATTTGTGTCGTTTATCCCATTTTTTGAGTAAACAAAATTTTAATTGTTTGGTTCGAATAGTTCGCCCAAACCCGGGGAATCGTTAACAATAATAAGCCACCGTACGTGTAAATAATTACGGAAAATAACCCAGGTGTGTTAATAATTAAGTTAATTGAACGAAGAAAGCGGTCCGACTGACCTTCGAAAAACGAATTTTACCGAGAAACCTATCAGAAACCTAAAGTACCGATGGTCTTTAAAATACCGTTTACGTTTTTGCCATTTTAGCATGTATTATAGATTGGCTCCAGTATTGGTATAGAGGTGTGCCGCTGATTTTTAGGCAGGGTTTACCTGCATCTCACTTCAATTCGGTAGCTAGAAGGTCATTCGGTAGCATGTTCATTAGTTATTAAAAATACGTAATTAATTACTACGGCCACTTGAAACTCGATTTTACATCGATTGTCGTTTGTGTCGACAATTTAATTTTCGTTTTTCTAAGACGCAGTTACGATGTATTCATTATACTTAAATTCAAAATTATATTGTAAGTTTCATATAGTCATTAATTATTATTGTTATTCCTAAAAAGCGCAAACGTAACACGCAACCACGACATTGTTATTGTTTATAGTATACTTTTTACTTAGCGTTAATGAAAGCGCTTTATTAGTTTTTCTAAATTTTCATAGAATTAAGTACTTTTGATGGGCTAATGACCCTGGCAGTCCTGCCCAACGTTTTACTTACGGAAGGTAATGTGGCAATAAAGCGATTGTTACCACCGTAATATAATAACCATGAACTCTGTAGTTATCGCATAGTGGATATTATATTATAATTTTAGTTTGAAAATTATTTGTCTTTAACAAATTCTGCTAATCGCTTGCGAGTTAGTACTACATTGTATTCGTATTTCGCATTTATTTCGTAAACATCTTTTGGGGATCGTTTGTTTGGTTTCGGTTTGCATATTGGGCGACTTGGATTGGCCAGCATATATTAACACTAATTGGTTGTTAGCAAATTGTGAGAAACGATCAATAATATCAGTAAAAGCTCTTTCAAGTTTAATGAACCGTTAGGAGAATAATATCTTTAGCTGTTGGTTCTGGTTCATTGTGTTACATATTTGTTACGCGTTACTGTGCCCACTTAAGATAACCAAAACTGAGATTAGGTAACAAATTATTTTACGAAACAAGAACTATTTTTCATTTTCATGTGTCGTCTGGATATAATGCCTTTGGTTTGATAGACAGCTAATCCTTATTGCTATCATTATACAGGGTTATTCACGGGTCCTGTTAGACGTTTATGGAAAATGACTTACGGTAAAAACCTGAAACGTTGATTACCAATGTAACCGAATACGAGCTACCTATGTAAACTATTATTATAGACTCGTAACTTATATCAACTTTCGTTTTTTTGATGGAACACCCTGTATGTTGTTACATTTTTAGATGCTGCGAAACATTCAGCAAGTTTTTAACGTGTAACGTACGTACGTGTAACGTACACCATCTCTATCTTAAATATCTACGCGATAAGTTAAGTCTCATAGTATATTATGATAAAGCAATTTAATCGGGAACCGCAACGCAAAGTTCAAGTGTCAAGCTGTATGGTGTGGTGTTTGTTGTCAAATTTTTTCAAAAGTATTTTTTATTTCCAACAATGTTCAAGGTGGGTATGTTACATAAAAAAGTTCCAGAATGTTTCGCGGAATCCAAAAATGTAATAATATACAGGGTGTTCAATTTAAAAAAACGAAAGTTGATATACGTTACCGAGTATACCTGGCAACACCGCATGGTCAAAAATATTAGGGTAGTATGAGGTAGCTCATGTTCGCTTACATAAGCAACCAACCAACCGTTATACTTTGTAAGGCACAAAACAACATATTACTCACATCCGCTAATAATACTATAGGAAAGACATAAAAAAAAGGCTTTGTCCCCAGGCACTTCTGAAACAACCCAGCAGCAAACATGTCGGCGAAGGCCATCAGAGAGGCGACCGGTAAAAATCTGATAAACAAATACCTAGGCGGCAACACCGCGGCCGCGCAATGCAGGTTCGCGTCCGTCGACCCAGACACCAGGTTTTCCGAACTGGTCAGCAACAATCCGTGGTTGAAGACCGAGAAGCTGGTGGTGAAACCCGACCAGCTGATCAAGAGGAGGGGCAAATTAGGTAAGGTTTCCCCGCATTTCGCGGAAAAACGGTGAGAACTGGCAGCACTACATTTCCAAAATGATTCCGTCGAAATTTCGAAATTTTTGTTTCCGCTTTCGACCTTTGAACGGTTATTCCCGAAAACAAATAGGGGGATTTGATTTTGCGATATCGATAATGACTGGTGTCAATCAGATTGATTAACGATCTGCCATATATTTTAAGCAGGTCGGCAAATCTCGTACGAATTCATTTCCTCGTATTGATAAGGCACATTTGATTGTTGTCGACAAGTTTGTGTTATAAGTAATAAAAAAGACGCACATTCGAAACGATGATTGATTCCTTTTGATGTTTATAATAAAAAGTAGGCAACCAGATAATCAAGCTGATTCTGTACCGTAGTTTAATTAATAACAATATTGTTTAAACCTTAAACGATGCCAATGTGCATACATAAAATCGTTTTTCTACTCCCGTCTGTAAAATACCTAATTACACACCGATCTAGTGTGCGGGAAGCCTCACTTTACCACGTCAGTTTCGTTTCTTACGAATCCGAGCCACTTCGGACATTTCCGGGATTCTACCGCACGGATTTAGGAGCAATCGGATGTTATGGTATATATTTCCTACGCTTTGAATTTTGACGTTTGTCAATTCTGACGGTCATGTCAGTGAATGTATTTGTGCTGTTTTGCGAAAATGTACCCCAAAAACTAACGGTCTGAACACTGGAACACTAAGAAGAATTGTTCTTATTTCTGTTCCTGACTGATATTTTGTGCGTGTTTAGTCAAATAGTGTTTCAATTGTTCCAATTTCACTTCAGTATGAAATTTAGAGGAAAAGGTACAGTCACAGAACAAGCAATTGTTTACTTCTGTAATTGTTCTGCGTACTGCAGGTTCTCTGAACAAATTATATTTTTTATACCATGTAAATGAAGATGAAGTTGTTGTTCTTCGTGGTGGAGCCTGCATAATTTCAATGTACTAAACACAAGACTAACCAAACTTACCAAAAACTCGAAATACAACTAAAACTAAAATCGCGTTTTTATTGGGTACGAGCTGTATGCATCGTTTTGCCAATCTCCCCTTTTCTGTAAAGGTCCATATGCAATCTACAAATGAACTGAAAACCGTACCTGCTGATTTTCCTGATTTCCTAATGCAACAAAAACGTCCACATAAAAAACTAAAGAAAACTAACCAGTACATCTTTTAATAAGAATCATTGTTATTTACAAAACTGTTGAGTTTGCGATAACCATTATTTTATCTTTCTATTATTCAAAGTTGCCTAAAACTTTTAAGATGCTGTGCGCCATCTGGTGTACTAAGAATTAACAAATATAATTTTTTTATGATGATATATTACTGCCAAATATTGAAGCTTTAACTTGTTTTTGGCGCACCTTGTATGTTGAGTTTATATAGAACATATAAAAAATGTCGCCTCAATAATATGAAGTTCAAAAATGAATGAAAATCAAAATTTTGTCACGGCGTTAAATAAGTACCGAGGATTCATTGCATAATTTTCGGACACATGGTAGGTATAATATAATATAATAGGTTTATATTATGCAGCGGCGTTTACTATAATAAGTTCTAATTTAGTTCGCACGTCGGATGAAAATTATTAATTCCAGTGGCGTCCGGTAATACATTTTACAAAAAAATAAATAAAATAAAAAAATGTTTTTCTATCCATGAAATGATTAGGCGTGGTTTTAGAAAGGAGTTTGTATTTTCCTCTCGAAAAAAGAATGATCTGGTAATTTTTTTTAAGCATCAGTAGGCATTTTTTGAAAAATATAGTTTTTATATTTTGAGTCTCCGCGCTTAGGAAAAGAAAACATTTCCTGGTGCGTCTATACAAATTAAAATCACTCCCGATAATCACTTGACGAAATTTCGTCGCGTCCTTTAATAACGCCCTGTAGAAGCGCGCGAGAGGGTTCAACGTCAAAAGTTGAACGTAATGCTGACGTGTGGAATTTTAAACGTTGTCGACATTTGAATTTTTAATTCATTAGACGCGTATTAGCGTGGAAGTCACTTATGGGAAGAATATTGTTCGGCGCCACGCGTTTCTATAGGTTTCTATCTCCAAAATCTCCGTTTTTTGGGGTCACGGTCGTTTTAAAATAGCTTATTTGTACCCGCGCTTCCTATTAAGGACGGCGAATCGATGAAAATATGACATTTTCGCGTGTGATCCCCCGAGGATTATCCTATATTCTTAAACCATTAAAAATTTTCTCTCGTATATTTGAAAAAAAAAAGGTAGTGACGTCATAGGACAGTAAATAAATAAGAAAAGTCTGACGTAATGATGTATACAGTGTGTTTCATACTAAGATGATGGCCCTTAAGGCTATGATACATGGATTAATTTAAGAAAAAAAGTTTCGTCAATATTGTGCCGCAATCGCTTAATTTTTGATACACGGGGTTGTTGAAATTAAAAATAAGAATGGTTTCTTGTCATTTTCATTGAAACTGTTTTAGATATTTTGTTGAAATTAGGTAGAGGCCCGAAATCCATAGAAAAATAAAATTATTCTTCTGCTGGTGGTGGCGTCCGGGTAACCATGATACTGAATAGTTTTATGGAGAAAACGGTACCCCTCCGTTTTTTTCAAAAATAAATTACATTTTTAAAATTGCGGTTCGTTTCTTAATAAACATGATCATTTAACTTTGTGTCATCCAGTGAAAAAATTAAAAAGCAGTAAAAATCCTATCTGTTCGTTGGAATTAAATTAAAATCTAAATAATCGTAATTTTGGCAGAGTGAATTTAAAAAAAAAAAGATTGTGTTTTTCAAGTTCATACAGTCCATTTAAGACGATGATTTTTAGGTTGAAATATGGTACGTTGCTGGAATCGCTCCTAGCCCCTTTTTAAAATCATTTTAGTTTTCACTAAAAAACTTTTTCCAAGTCGGTTTGAATCAGAATGAGGGAAAACTGTTTTCTTAAAATTATCCAAGGAATCACATCCCGCATATGTAAAGTATTCTTTTTCTTTTGTCAAATAGGTTATATGCAGTTATAGTGTTAAACTTTTATAAATATATATAAAATGCAACATGTCCCTCTCCTACGGTAATGTGTATTTATTTATTGCTAAATTAAAATTTGACCGTATTTCTCACATTTATTTCTGATTTTCTGAAAAATTGGCAAACCTGCATGCGTGCAAAATACGTTTTGAAGTGAAAATTAATAAGAACTAAAAGTTTAGATTTTCACGAAATTATATATTATGACATGACAATTGTTTCGACAACACCGTGTCATAATATATAATTTCGTGAAAATCTGAACTTTTAGTTCTTATTTATTTTGATAAATGGATTTTCATCAAGTAGAAGCCACCTCAGTTCAATTCATTTTGAAGTGAGCAACTCAACACATGTATTTAAAACATATGTGTATGGCGTGATATTTTTTTTAGAGTTGTGGCAAAAACGTAACCTAATTTTTTAGCCGTAACATTGTCCGTTAAATTCTGTACGCCTTACTGATAAATGTTCACTATACGCATTTCCACGCAGCGAAAGAGCTAAACGTCAAGAGTTAAAGGTCGTTAATGTCGCCTTCCACAGAACTAGGTATTAGGAACTTTTCCATACCAACTTGAAAAATGTTAAATATCACCATCTACACGAAGAGGACAGCTCAACAGATCAGTTTGAGAAATAAAAGAAAATGTAAAATGATAAACAAACGAACTGAATTGAACTGCATCGAAATCAAACTTATTGGTAGGCACTTACTTTTCTATATAAAATATTCCCAGTCTTGTTTCTTCGTCGCCATTCTTGGCCATGTCGCCGAAGACTACCCTGGATTTTGAACGTGCCGCACTTTTTTTAAGCAAAACTACCGATATTGTTTTTAATCACGGACGCGTCCAGAACGAGATATACTTTCTCAAAATTGACACACGGACAATGATTTGGCAATGTTGCCAAAAAACAGCCCGAATTTCGGTGTCGACGTCACAAGCCAAGTCATACGTTTTCGCTTTTGTGCGTTTGTTTGTTTACGTGCGCGTCAGATTTGGCATTACTACTTGGCATTGGCTGCGATCGAATCATTTTTTTCGTTTCCCACAGGGTCACTATTCTTGAATTTTAGAAAATGGAAATGTGGGCATATCGCCAAAAATGAAAAAATCTTATTAAAAAACATTTATTATCCATAAATGATAGATATGGTTAAAGGACATGTTAAAAAAAATCTTTTATTGTTATTATTATTTTTATTCCAAGATTGAGTTATAATATTTATTGCAGACATTTTAAAAGTCAAATATCAGACATTTTAATATAATAATAATAATAATAATAATAATAATAATAATAATCTTAGCCTAAAAAGAAATAAATAAGCAAAACAAGACTATTGAGTTTTGAGAGGTGAAAATGATATACGTTTTTTTCAATCAATTTACTCTCCAAATCATATATTATGGAGGATGGGATAAAATTACCGATATTCATTGGTGGAATTGTTGTAGAATCCTTTCCCGCCGATTTATTTTTGTTCCCCGATTCTAAGAATAAGGGAAAATTTTCTTTTTTCAAGAATAGCAGATCGTTTTTTTAAATAGATGACCGAACATTTGGAGATAATTTGTTCTAAAACCACATTATTTTTATGTAAAATACGCATATCAACTAACACGTATTTTACGAGATATGAAAAAGCTGAAAAACCAAAAAGGTCCTTAATTCGCAAAGATAGAGAATGAATTTTTAAAAAATCCATTTTTTTAATATATTTTTTTGGGAAAAATACTGATTAGTTCCGCGACGCCACTGGAAATAATAATTTAAGTCTAAATGTGACTAGATTGGCCCATATCGTAAACACCATTTTCAAATTTACATAAAATGACATAGAAGCGTATTAAGACATATATGAAATATCAGGTTTTTTTTTGGCAGCCTGTATGTCCCCAAATCCTTTCCGAACTTAATTTCTACCCTAATATCACTGAAAAAATCACCCCCTAAAATTTGACCTCGTACTTCAAGTTTTGCATTGGCATTTCCGTAAATTAATTTTCAAAAGTGATTTGTTTGGTGCTCTTTCTGGTATCATTTGTGTAAGTGTTTTAATAGCAAAGTTCAATTTTAAATTGTACACACAAGCCGAAAGAAATATGTAAATCTTCAAATAACACTTAAGTGATCAAAACATAAGGTTATTGTGCTTAATCCAGCAGAATTTTTATTCGGCAAATCAGTTTACTCTGTGTATTACAAAAATTGTCACATCAGTAATACAGTGTTGAATTATCCTTCATTCTTTGAAAGTTGTGACGCAGCAAGTAAAAATATCGATAAGATGGCAATAAAAATTGTGAACATGAAAGAAAAGGCAGAAAAAGCTACTGCAAAGTATTTTTCAGTAGGCGATTTCGTATATCATAAGACAAGTGAACGAATAATTTCCAAATTAGATCGTAAATCTCGCGGTCCATTTGAAATTACTGCAGTTTTTAAAAAATGGCCGTTGTCAAGATATTAGACACAGCTGTAACTGCGTTTTTCGAATTTACTTATCAGCTTATTCGTGTGCCCGATGAACCTGAAAATGAGTAACAGAATGAGCCTGTGTCTGCGAATTCTTAAAAGAAATAGTTCCTGGCAAAACTAAGTAAAAATAATTTCGGCTTATTTATTTTTTTATTAGTTATCTGGAGCATTGCAGCATTTTGGTGGTTTGTTTGGTGAAGGCCAAGCAAGGATTGGTGGCATTGATTTCTGTTATTTTACTTAACAGTTACTGGAGATGTGTCGATTGCTTGGTTGGTTTATATGAAGGTAAACGGTGAGACTAGATGTGGCGTGTGTCGCCAAAGGTGTATAGATGTTCCAGTAAACAGTGTTTTATGGTGGCGGAACCAAATTGCAGTGTTCTTGATAACTGATACTTTCATAGGTTTGCCAAATGATATTACAATGCAAGTTGCAAGTAAACTGATTTTGGTTTCCTAGTAGAGGTATTTTCTTAAGCTCCGATACTTTATTTTTGATATGCTATTTTGTAGTTGTTCTAGCGGGTCGCTTTAATAATGAATTAAGCGATTAGATTATCCATTTCTTTTAAGCACTGTGTTGTGCATTCTTTTAATATGTCGTATGTCGTTTCGTTCACCATCAGAACCCGCCCACCGGGTATCTATCTCTATTTTATTATTTCGATTATTTCTTGCACGTGATGAATGCACGTGTCTCGTTTCAGGACTGATCGCGGTAAACAAAACGCTAGATGACGTTCAGAAATGGATAGCGGAACGGATGAACAAGGACCAGAAGATCGGACAGGCGTCTGGCAAGCTGCGTAACTTCATCATCGAACCGTTCGTTCCGCATAGGGAAGATGAGGAAATGTACGTTTGTATCTATTCGCATCGTCACGCGGATACCATACTGTTTTATCATCAAGGTAAGTAACAATTAAAGTAACAATTGAACCTCTGTAAAGTTTCATTTCAGTTGTAGATTTGTGTACACTTTTATCAGATATTCCCTTAATAATTATTACTAAATGCTACTTACGATCGCCACCAATTTCCTGTAATCACCACTGAGCTTGCTTTAATTAAATAAATAATGATAGGAGAGAACAGGATTTATTTTTAAATATTCTGTTAGATCGACAAAATAATATCAAAGTTCAAACACATTAAAAATATGTATAATCAAAACAAAACTCACAACATTTTTTTCATGCAATACAACATCTTAAACAGTTTTTTTTTGTAAAAAAACAGTCTGAATAAATCTTTGATCAAATTTGACAATAAATTAATATAACAGTATATTGTGTTTCAATATCTCTTTTTACTTTTTACAATATAGTTCAAAGAAATAAACAGATCTTATAGATAGTAGTAGTAGGTAGAACAATCCCAGAACACAAATTTAACATCCAAAATTTAAATTGTAAAAAAAAATATTTTTCAATAAGCAAGTTTCAAAATAGGTACACTTTTAGGTTCTTATAAGTGCTCTTTCGCATTTAGTCCAATCCTGAAAATGAACAATCTTTAGCCAAGTTCCTTTTTTGGAAATTGCTAACTTAAAAAAAGAAATTTTATTGGTTTTCTTATGGACTTCTAATATAACATCCCTCGTCTCATAGTACAGTATATTTTTCTATTTCCTCAGTTCGAGATAAAAAATTCCCTTAATTTCTCCCAAAAGTTCCTTGAATTATTTTATATTACCGCTATAATTACCATTATAAATATGTCAGCTTTATGACAGGCCATTTAGGCCCAGAGCTGTGTAATGTTCATCCGTTCGATTCTATCTCTTCCACGGCTTGTTTCCATTTTCTTCTTGGTTTACCACACTTCTTCCTCTAGTTTCCTCTAAATTTGCGGCTAATTACCATGAGCGTGTACACTAAATTACCATTATTCGTCCTTTAGGCGGTGTGGATATCGGGGACGTAGATAGCAAAGCGCTGAAGCTGGATATCCCTGTGGGGGAGACGCTGAGCGCGAAAGACATTACCGAAAAATTGTTGGGGCACGTCGCGCCCGCCAAAAAACAAATGGTGGCCAACTTCGTAGATAACTTGTACCGGCTCTACGTCGACCTCTACTTCACCTACTTGGAAATAAACCCGCTGGTCGTCACCGACCAGGAAATTTACATATTGGACCTGGCAGCCAAGCTCGACTCGACCGCTGACTTTATCTGCAGGCCCAAGTGGGGGGAAATAGACTACCCCCCGCCGTTCGGCAGAGACGCCTACCCCGGTAAGATATATCGAAGATTCGTCAGAACTATATATTTATATATATATTTTTTTCTATTTAGATTTCGTTTATATTGTGAAATATATAAAAAATATATTTTTATTTATTTTTATATGTGGATGTTAAATAACCGAAAAAAATGGTAGGAAAAAAATTAGTTTGTAAAATTGGCGATATTGAAAATAAAGTAAATAATATTAAAGAAGAATTATGAACAAAAGACTTGCGTAAGCATTTTACAAATACGTATAACGGTATATTGGCAAAAAAGCAGTACATAAAAATACATTTTCGTGGTTTCTCCATATAATTAATTTGTTTTTGAAATACGTTTTAAATTCAGCAAAATGGCGGCATAGCCAAATCCACAAAGTTGCCCTACACATTATTTAATAATATACATTTTTTGTCAAAATTTTCATATGCTTTAGGGAACCAATGTAGTGATGTCTTATACAAATTCATTGACAAGGTAAACACAGATATGGATTTTTGCGAAAACTTTATGTAATAAAGCACTACAGTCAAGTTTCAGACATTTTTTGGTATTTCACTATCCCCAAATAGATCAAATAAAATAATATCGGTAAAAATTTTTTAGAACTTAGTCATCCTAACCATTGGCATATAATATAATAATATTTATTGAACTGACGAGTTGGAGACATTACATTACTATTTACAATTATATCACAGATTAGCAAAAGTTTGCCCATTAACGTTGTTTAAACAATTAAAGCTTGTTGCCTTATTTTCAAGGTTATTCTATAGAACGTTTATTATTATTTTCTGGTTTATTCCAAATAAATTAAATCAAAACCGTGTTAATACCATGATTTATTTTGGGTTTATAATAGTTGGGTTTTAACATAAATCTAATCACTGATTTGATACACAGTTGTTTAAAAGTAAGCAGATTGCTCTCATCAAAAGGTGAGTTAGTCGGGTATCGTTTTTTTTTAAATACATTGTTTTGATAATTCATTTTTGAGCCACCTGCAACCCCAGAACATGGTACATTATTGACTCTATTGGTTAAAAATATACCATTTTTAGTCCCTCCAAAGATAACTTATTACGTAATTCGTAGAATTTATATATTAGTTTTCTGATTTTGCTAGTTACAGATATTTAAAAACATCTTATTAAAATGTTCAATATTCCCTAGACGATAAAAAAATGGTACCTAGATCTCACTTTATTTAGGAAATTTAAAAAATCTCTTTGAATTATATTTCTTATTGCGGCAGTTTCTAACTGACGCACAAACATGTTCTGATTTTTGTTCATTATTAATTTTCTAGTGGAGCTTTCAAAACATCTTCGAAAGTAAACCAACACAGACTTTAATAATTCTCAAAAATCTACTACATCATTGCGGCTTGGTTCTCTATCATTAGGAGTCAATGTCATTTCAATAACACTGTATGTATCACATTTGACATTTAAGACTGCACGTTTCGCCCACAGAGGAGGCTTACATAGCCGACCTGGATTCGAAATCCGGGGCCAGTCTGAAACTGACGATCCTCAATCGCAAGGGCCGTATATGGACGATGGTCGCCGGTGGGGGCGCTTCCGTCATATACAGCGACACGATCTGCGACTTAGGAGGCACCAGCGAATTAGCAAATTACGGTGAATATTCGGGCGCCCCGTCGGAACAACAGACCTACGAATACGCGAAAACCATACTGTCGCTGATGACGCACGAGAAACACACGCAGGGCAAAGTGTTGATCATCGGCGGAGGCATCGCGAACTTTACCAACGTCGCGGCCACCTTTAGGGGAATCATCACCGCGCTGATCGAGTTCAAGGATCGACTGATCGATCACAACATCAAGATATTCGTCAGAAGGGCCGGTCCCAACTACCAGGAAGGTTTGCGAAGGATGCGAGAGGTGGGCCAAACCCTCGGCCTGCCGTTGTACGTGTTCGGCCCCGAAACGCACATGACTTCGATATGCGGCATGGCGCTCGGCACCCGGCCTATTCCGCAGGAGAATAACGTCGAATTCGCTACCGCCAACTTCCTGCTGCCGTCCGGGGACAAGCAGCCCATCAAGAAGAAGCCGGAGGCGTCCGCGACATCCTCCGAGACGTTGAAATCGGCACCAGTAGTGCGGAGGGACCGGGTGAGTGCGGGTCGAAGGCGCGAAGGGGGCGGGGCTTTGTTCGTCGCTTGTACTAACGCGAGCGCGCGCGGTGGTGGTTGTGCGTGAGATTCGTTTGATTTCTTCGGGGCGGTACGTTCTTGGTTCTCTCTTTTTCACCACTCTTTTATCGGTAACGCCTCTTATTGGTGGTTTGATTATGTCTCTCTCGCTCTTAATTCTTGATCTCTCTCAGATTAATTTTTCCATATTCGCGACTAAGTTTAATTACACGTTTTCCGCGCTTATATTGGTGGTATTATGCTTGTGCGATGGTTGCGCGCGTAAGTTAGATTAGTAACTTAGCAAGACATTTTTGGTCTCTGTCTACTGTTTTCTTTTTAAATAAGGAAAGAAAATTTTGGCACCATGCGTGGAACAGTAACAAGCATAATACGTGGGGCGTGAAACATGTGAACGCAATTAATTGAAATATGACTACCAGAACGGCGCCAGTACGGGACAGAGACTTATTTATGTCGCAGAGTTTTTATGATTTATAGACTAATTTTTATTTTGTTTCTGCTGTAGTAGCTACTGATCGATCATTGTCATTTAGGTTCTGGCGTTGATTTTCCTTCTATATTTGCGCTCATACGTTTTACCACACCCTTACACGTAGAAGTAAATATCAAAATTTTCCATTTCGAAATTGTGATTTTGTTGTGATTTTTTCAAGGAACCAAACCAGATCGAAATCAAACCACAAGTCTCTTGTCAGGTAAACACTCCACATATCAAATTAACTTTCAAATGGTGTGTGCGAACGCAGTACACATAAAATGCGATTCAAAACTTCGAATCCAACGGAATCTTTTACGATTGGATGTTTAAGGGGCTTACGGACACTTCAGCATTTTTGAGAACAATTTCGAGTAAATTCAGAAAAAAATCAAAAAGTGGTATAATGATTTTTTAAAATGTATAAAATATAGTTAAGTTTTGAGATATCCCTAAAGAAAATTCAACATGCCGTGCCTAGGTACCAGCCGCTTTCCTATTCTATGCGTCCCTGTCCTAAGATAGTCCTGGATGGTTACTCAAGCTTAGTGAACTGAGCTTCTGGTACTTGTAACCAGCCGCGGCCTGGTGAGACTCGGGGATGAGATGTAAAAAGCCATTTATTCACCTCATTCTTCAACACACCCGTTCAAAAAACGGCGTTACCGCGGCATCCCGAGTCAATCCGTCGGCCATTTTATCCTCAATATTCATATGAGGGGGTACCCACACAAGATTGGCTGAATTTGATTTTGTCAGTTATGTCAATGTAAAATATAGAGATGTGCTTGTCCTTGTATCTCCTGTTCAGGTTCTCGTGAGAACATAATATCGCCTAAATCTCTGCTTGAAATAGACAGAAGAGGCACATATACTAGCTGACTGCTGACGTACTGATCAGCCCCTGAGGCACAACAACATTTTCAGCCGTACAAAGTCTTCTAGAGTTCCACGTTCTGTGTGGTACATAAAAGCATAAGGTAGCTTCAATCCTATCTCTCCAGTTATTGGTGCCGCTCTGTCCCCGGGTTCCAATTTTACAAAATCTACAACCTTAAGACCATTCTCAGGTCCACAATAAGGAGTTCAAGTCTTAGGGATGGAGAGGGGGCTCCAAAGACGCAGTTGGTGACGTTTTTACCATTATTCAGCCCAACCTTTGCACCTTTTGTTGACGGGTATATCCAAAACCACTTAAAAAAAAAAGAAAAAAATAAAATGCTTCTTGAGAATACGTAAGGCCTTTAAAATAATTTTTTCAAAGAAAATATTGTGAAATTAACCGCATGCCGAATATACTGTGCGCACCAGTTACGTCAGCATAAAATTTTTGCGCGCGCAGGGCGACTCGTCTGCGTCCCCTCTCTTCACCGCGAACACGAAAGCGATCGTATGGGGCATGCAGAACAGGGCCATACAATCGATGCTCGACTTTGACTTTGTATGCCGCAGGCAAGAGCCCAGCGTGGTGGCCATGATTTATCCGTTCACCGGCGATCACAAGCAGGTAAGTCTCTGTCAACCTAGACTTCCACCCCATTAACAAAAATTCACCACAGATGTCGCTATATCTATTATAAATGTATGTCTTCCCAGAAAAATAAGGGTGGCAAATTAAATCGAATTTTTACCATTCGACTTGTAGATGGCGGTGTTAGTCTGGGTCTATTTACTCTATGTTGACGCTAACGCCGCCACTTTTGCCGATAGAAATTCTATTGGGGCCACAAGGAGATACTGATACCGGTCTACAAGAAAATGGGCGACGCGATGTCTAAACATCCGGACGCGGATGTGCTCGTGAACTTTGCCAGTCTCAGGTCGGCGTACCAAAGCACCATAGACACGATGGAGTACCCGCAGATTAGGACTATCGCTATCATTGCCGAAGGCATACCCGAAAACATGACCAGAAAGCTCATCAAGCTGGCCGACGAGAAAAAAGTGACCATCATCGGTCCCGCGACGGTGGGCGGTCTGAAGCCGGGCTGTTTTAAAATCGGCAACACCGGAGGCATGATGGACAACATTTTGCACTCGAAACTCTACCGTCCGGGCAGCGTCGCCTACGTGTCCAAATCGGGAGGCATGTCCAACGAGCTCAATAACATCGTATCGAAAGCGACCGACGGCGTGTACGAGGGCGTGGCCATTGGAGGAGATAGGTACCCCGGTACGACCTTTATGGATCACATTAAGAGATATCAGGTGAGAGATGTTTAGTTTGACTTCAGCTTCTAAGCAATGCTAAATTTAGCAAGGGCTTTTTTTATTTATACGAGGGTTGCTATTTATATTTCAGGCCTAATACTGAAAAAACATTTTTTTTTTTGGAAAAAATGTCCATAAAAACCATTTTACATTTTTGCATACTTTTACACCATATAGGTATTAGAAAATATAGTGGACCCTCGTACAGCAAAAAATGATGTGTCTCGTCTTCCTACGGATGAGAATGATGCCTCTAAATTTCAACCGCTATTTTCTTTCTAAACTGCGACTGTTAGCACGCTTAACTCATTTTCTCAGAACGTTTAATGCGATCTGGGCATATTTTGAGAAAAAAACTGCCTAAAAAATGCTACTGAAACTTATGGAATTGGCAAACGACGGCCATGTTGGTTGTTGAACGTCGTTTGCTGAATACGTAGAAGATTTGGCTGCATAAACTTTTATTCTTGGCAATTTTTCAAAAATGTACAGGGTGCGCCGTAAATTAAAAAAAAAACTGAACTGACTGTGTTTCAGATATCAGTTCCTTTTACATGGCAATAAAGCTCGCATACACAGCTAAAACTTTTCTATTTAAGGTTTTCACCTATTGTACAGGGTGTTCGCGATATTCTGTGCAAATATTAAAAAACGTAATAGGTGCATCTACCGACTTCAGATTTGGCAGAGAAGTAGAAGTTCAGACCCACATTAAAGTCGAGCGCAATTAAGTACCGCAAAGTATTTTTTTTTAATTTTTGATTTTTTTTGTAATTTAGGCTTCCAGAAAAACATGTTTTTCCCCATAACCATTCACCCGATCGGCAAAATTGTTTGACTGGCAGACGCGGTGGATCCAGTGCTCTAACATTTATTTTAAGCATTTTTTCGTTTATATACAGGGTTTTTAAATTATAGTCAAAAAACTAAAAAACTTTGAAAATTGATCTTTTCCCGAGTAAATTATTAACCGTAAATCAAAAATCGTAAAAAATATGGCTAATGGGTTCAAACAGTGTCATAGCCCGCATCAAGAGCAACAATTTTTGTATTTGCGGTTTTCGTCTATCACCCTGCTCGAAAAATTTTGAAAAAATCCATATGAAAATCACTATTATTATGACGCACTGCATGGTTTCAGATAAATCTTATTTTCTCAAAAACGATTCACTATTTTAGAAAAATTCTTGGGTTGGGGCCATAACCTCCATTTCCGGATTTTTTTCAAATATGTACAGGGTATGTCGATTATGGTTAAAAACAATCTAAAAGACCCTGAAAATTGGCGTTTTAGTGGATATATTATTAGCCGTAATTGAAAAACTATAAAACATGGGATAATTTGGTTTAAATAGTCTCGAATATTGTGTGGAGAGAAAGAGTTTCAAGTTTTGTCTATCATACAGGAGGCGCGAGATACCTGGAATAATATTATTGGAAATCGTTATTACTTGCACAGTTTTTTTTATTTATCAAAGTTTGTTGTGACTGGGAACTTTGGCGATAAGTAAAAAACGATTTATACAGGGTGTATGCACAATAAAATTACATCGATTTTGCGAAAGTTCCATAGTGGTCCGCAGGAGCACGGTAGAAAAACTATGCATCCGTTTACCACAAGAAACCGCGAAGCTAGTTCTTTTTGAAATAAAAAGCTGCTTCGCGCTACACGCTGCGGACTTGCCCCGCCCACCAACGATTTTTCGAAAGCAATCTTTACTAAAAATTTTGATTTTTGATATATCTCTAGGGAACGATGTGAGGTAAATTCGTCATATATTTTCTATTATTTGATTTCTTCCACTTAAAACCAAGATTTTTTACGTATTTTCTTCTTTTTTTTGCATACATGCTTGTTTTGTTCTTTAAGTAATCTGTAATTTTTGTTTTTACCTCTTTTTGCTTTTGAGACATTCTGCAGGTAAATGATTCATTCATCCATAGCTCGTTATTCCTCTTTTCTTAATATTTATGATTGTTGTGTGGCTACCTTGGGTTGCATTTGAAGCTCTTTCAATTAATTATCAAGGATTCAAATTTTAGCTTGATCTTTTTCCAATTGCAAAAAAGTTGATGATATCCTCGCGGCATCTTGCAAAAGTTTATAAAGAGTCACGACAAATCAGTGTCATATTTATACAATATATTCTTACTAACCAAAACCGGCATTGACTGTTATAAAGAAATGACATAGATTAAACAAAAATTACTACAAAATGACGTCATTCCAGAAAGGTACATACATAAGTAGTAGTCCTCGTATGTTAAAAGAAACGCCTGTCTTTGGTTAGTTTTATAGTAAGGTTGATTGAACTACCATTACTGTAGACCGATTGCACGGTTTTTCTTTTCTAGGCCGACGAGAACATAAAAATGGTCATATTGCTAGGCGAGGTGGGCGGCACCGAGGAGTACGAGGTGTGTAGGGCGTTAAAATCGGGCGAGCTCACCAAACCGCTGGTCGCTTGGTGCATAGGTACATGCGCGAGCATGTTCACGGCCGAAGTTCAGTTCGGACACGCTGGGTCTTGCGCCAATTCAGCCAGCGAGACGGCGACCGCCAAAAACAAAGCTCTGAAAGAAGCTGGCGCGCATGTTCCCGAATCGTTCGATTATCTAGGTTAGTTTTATTGTCTGTCCCTTAGAGGCGGACGTTGACGTTATCGAGTTGCAGGTGACATAATCAAAAACGTCTACGACGCGCTGGTCAAGCAAAAGGTGATCGTACCCGCGGCCGAAGTGCCCCCGCCCACAGTGCCCATGGACTACAACTGGGCGAGGGAGTTGGGACTAATCCGTAAACCTGCCAGTTTTATGACGTCGATATGCGACGAGCGTGGACAAGAGCTGATTTATGCGGGTTAGTAGGTTGCCATTTCGCCATATACGCGCTATACGGCTCGAAATATTGTGGCCAAAATACAATATTTTCATATATTTTATTTTTGGGACCTGTAAAGTACTATTACGGTAACGTTTTAAAATTTATTTAACACTGCACAAAGTGTTAAAAATATCAAAGTTGTGTTTTTTTATGGAACCCCCTGTATATTATCGCATTTTACGATACCTAAACTGTAGGAATTTTTAAATAATTCCAATTTTGCCAAAATGTAACCTAATTTTACTTTCTCAAATACATAAGAACTATTTGAGGTATGTAAGTGAAACATAGACCATATTTTCTTAATTATAAAAGGTTTACCATGTTATCTAATATTTGTTAACTTGCGGGGAATTTTAAGTAATCCTTTGCGTTTTAGTGAAAACGCCAAATTATGGTTTTTGATGAAATTTAAATCAATGTTTATTGCATCTACTTGTATTTGGGGATCTTATTTAATGCCGCTCCATCTGACATCGACTTGCACACTTATTGTCGGTTGTCAAAATCTTTTCCACAATGTTCTTGCCGCTGTGAAATCTGTGTTTCTAAAGTATTCTCGAAATACTTATTTGATTAATGTTTGTTTTTTTTTATATCTGATTTTAACGAATATTTGGATTTACTGTAATTCCGCCAACCACTTTTCTTTTCTTGTAAACTGGTTCAGTACTCTCTTAAAAACGCCTGTACTGTACTTTAAGCTTAAACAGAAGAGGGTAAACAATTTTGATGGTATTCTTAGAGGATAAAAACTCTCATACAAATTATATAGCAGTTCATTTTTACTTCGCTCATCCATACAGTCCACAAAAGTATAACTCTGATTTGTAAATGAGATAAAATCGAGAAACAACAAAACTTTTATTTAGAAAAAACCCAATGACCCCAAAAACAGTTGTGTCGCGTATTTTGCAAAAACTTGAAGAGTTAGTTAGCTATGGGACATTTTAACATCATTCGATGGGTAATTGAAAAGTACAGTTTCTGGTAAGTTAAAAAATATGGCTTTCCATTTAAATTAATTAAACTATAGCCAGTTAAAATTGTTTTCAGGTTTGGATAAATTTTTTGCCACCCTGTATTAGTTTTTTATTATTAATATATAAAATACACTCGAAAGTAAATAACTATTTCGATAAAATATAATTAAAATAGTATTAGTTGCGGACGACATTCAATCTTTCGCAACCCCCTAAAACGAACAGCCAGTCCCAGACATATCTCATCCTGATACATTTATTTCTACATTAATGTAGCAAATTTACAAATTTGTAAATAGAAAAATGTTCGGTCTGTGTTGCTTCCTTTCTTTGGTAGTTGTTAACTGATCTAAGTTGGAGAGGGAGTTTATTGTAAGTTGTGACCGCGTTATAGCTAAAACATATGCAAAAAAATATACAAAATTAGCAAAGAAAATTTCAAAATAGAGAGATGTTCAGTCTGTGTTGTCAAAAATATTTGGCTTAAGTTTTCTTTGAAAGTGGTTGATTGATCTAAGTTGGAGAGGGAGTTTATTGTAAGTCTTGATCGCGTTATATTTAAAACATATGCAAAGAAATATAGCAAATTAGCAAAGAAAATGTCAAAATAAAAAAATGTTCAGTCTGTGTTGTCAAAAAAATTGGCTTAAGTTTTCTTTGAAATTTGTTGATTGATCTAAGTTGTAGAGAGAGTTTATTATCAGTCTTGATTGCGTTATAGCTAAAGCAGCGTTTAAATTGGGTTGATTTATGAGTATTAACTGAATGAATATGTGAACTGCCTACAAAGTTCTCAAACAGTTATATTGACATTTAGATTTGGTTAAAACTGCTATTTAAACCGTTTATCTCGCAGAAATATCAAACTTCAGAGGATCTGAGACAGGCATTTTGAGCGCACTGAAGGCTGATTTTGCCCCTTTAAAGTGAGGCAGGTCTGTGGACTGCATTACAATATGAAATATTGGACAGTCTTATATGTTACCACTATATGGTTAACGATTACGCCCACCTCTTTAGGTATGCCCATATCGGACGTGCTCAAGAAGGACGTCGGTATCGGGGGCGTCATCTCGCTCTTGTGGTTCCAACGTTGTTTGCCGCCCTACGTCTGCAAGTTCTTCGAGATGTGCCTGATGGTGACGGCGGATCACGGACCCGCGGTATCCGGGGCGCACAACACGATAGTGTGCGCACGCGCAGGCAAGGACCTCGTCAGCAGTCTCGTGTCCGGGTTACTCACCATCGGCGACAGGTTCGGCGGAGCGTTGGACGGCTCGGCAAAACAGTTTAGCGAAGCATACGACACTGGTATGCACCCCGCGGAGTTCGTCAACCACATGCGCAACAAAGGCGAACTGATTATGGGCATCGGCCATCGGGTCAAGTCGATCAACAACCCGGACAAGCGGGTCGAAATTATCAAGGAGTACGTGTTGGCGAACTTTCCGGGCTCGCCGCTTCTCCAGTACGCGCTCGAAGTCGAGAAAATCACAACGAGTAAGAAACCTAACCTCATTCTGAACGTGGACGGCGTCATCGCGTGCTCGTTCGTCGACATGCTGCGCAATTGCGGCAGCTTTACCAGCGAGGAGGCGCAAGAGTACATCAACATAGGCGCGATCAACTCGCTGTTCGTTTTGGGCAGAACGATCGGCTTTATCGGTCATTTCATGGACCAGAAGAGGCTGAAGCAGGGTCTGTACCGTCATCCGTGGGACGACATATCGTACGTGCTCCCAGAGCAATACAACAATTAGATGTTAGAATCGGGGTTTGGCGGACTAGCGGGCTGCGTAGGGGGAGGAGCATTCTGCATTTTCGTGTTAAGGTTTAAGCTCAAAACGGTTTTTAAATAATCAACGAAGATTTCGCTGTCGGACAGATTAGGAAATGTATATGTGTACCATAAATGTCGAGAGGTTATTTATATTTTTGTATATGTTTTTAATGCACAGTAGACGTGGTTTTAAAGAGAAAAAAAAATCTTGAATATTTAATGCGCTCAAACGGAGCTTTGGGCGTTCCTTTAAGCGGCACTTTTTTATTGTTTTGATCATTTTACGACTAATAAAAATGCTGAGGATGTTTCTGGGGTTTTATTTGCCTTCCTCAAAGTTTCTCCCTCTCTTTAAACCGTCGAAAGTATTGAATTACCGGAATGCGAAGCGTAGGGGACAGTGGAACTACTGTGAATTTTCAAGTGATCATTTGAGGATGCCATAGTACTAGTATAAATATTAGTATTACTCATTTCACGTTTGGTCTTGAGTGAAACCGGAATCAGAGGGAAAAAATGCAATTTTTTAAAAATTATGATTTTTTTTTTCCAATAAATTACTCGTTTTATTTCCTGTTTTGGTACTTATAAAATATAAATTGCGTAGTACACTAATGATAAATAATCACAAAGTCCGTTAAATAGTCTCCTAACAATTATTAAAAAGTGCACAAAAACTGAACCCGTAAAAACTACGGAAATTTTTTTTTCTACTCCCACGGATCGGAGCCATTTCGGACATTTCCGGGATTTTACCGCACGGGTTTGGGAGCAATCGGATGTTTTCGGAGATATTTCTCACGCTTTGAATTTTCCCGTTTGTCAATTCTGACGGTCATGTCAGTGAATGTATTCGTGTTGTTTGGCGAAAATGTACCCAAAAACTAGCGGGCATAGAAAAAGCATAGTGTGCAACACGTTGGATAAACTTTTTAAGTCACTTGTTTATTAAACACTCGCTCAGCTTGTGTCAAATAAACTCGTGAGTCAAATGTCGTTTTTCTACTCCCATCTGGAAAATACCTAATTACGACACCGATATAGCGTGTGGGAGGAGTCATTTTACCACGTCAGTTCAGTTTCCCACGGATCAGAGCCACTTCGGACATTTTCGGGATTTTAACGCTTTCAACGTTTTAAATTTTGACGTTTATCAATTCTGACCGTCACGTCAGTGAATGTATTCATGTTGTATCCAAAAACTAACGGTCGTAGAAAAAGTATAGTATGCAACACGTTCGGTAAACTAAAACTAAATGCGGTTTACTGCACTTGTTGCATAATATACTATTAATTGGATCCCAAATATTGACAGATATGAAGCCAATGCTATAGCGTCTTGGTATGTTTAAGGATTGGGTGGGTATATAGGATAAAAATAATGAATTTAAAGAGACTGACTATAAATATGGACGTGACAAAAACTAACAAAAATCAATTTTGAAACTTTACTTCATCATAATTACCTTACGACAGATTCGATACTGTGCTCTACGTTCAGTCTACATGTACATATGGTAAAATCTCGATTATCGCGATCCTACTGTAATTAAAATATGTTTGCATTGCCTATAAACTTCTAATAATATCGTTCCATAGCCACTAGGAAATCACAAAAAGAAAGCTGCCTGTACACACCACCATTAATACAATACAAAAGAGGGTAATTTGAGATGTGGATTACATTTGTTGATGACGCAACATCTACCCTAAATGCGTTTCGCAGCTAATATCTACGACTTTTGTTGCAAAGCCCCAGCAACCTACTTATCACCCTTTTCCTTCTCTTTATTACCGTCTCCCTTGACTACCTGTACCACCCGCAATGTCAACACTGCCAAGATGGCGTCGATCGGGTCCATGAAACCCCTTTGGAGCCACTTGGGAATGGTGGTTCTCGCGTGGGAGAATCCTAATTTTTGCAGAATGTAATCGATGCCTAAAAAAGAACCTCTAGTTCGAGCACTACACAAGAAAATATCGCGCGCCACCTACCGTACGGTTCGATGTACTTTCCGGCAACGCTCAACAGTCTGACGGTCGGTTCCAAATGCCACGTCTTGCAGTTGTAGTTTCGCCAGTCCTTGGCGAATATGTCGCCCTCTATCGAACCTTTTTTGGACGCGCCGTCGGTAAGGGCCGATTTAAATTTATCCTGGTCGGCGTTGCCGCGCTTATCGAACCCGCTAAGCTATAGAGAACACCGGCAACGCTGGACTTTCAAATATTTCGCCCGTCGTTACTACTTACCACCCTCTCCTTTTCCTGCAAGTAGGACGTAATCAGGTCGTGCAAGAAGAAGAACGCTTCCGCGTCGACGGTGACGAAAATGTGATCTTCAAATTCCACTATGAAACTGCATTCTATGACGGGTTTCTCTTCTACAAAATCACGATTTATTACGACTGATAAAGTGCTCGGGTTCGCGGCTACCGTTAAGATCCGGGGTGTTGGCGGTTTGCAAGTGTTCCGTCTTCAAATGGATTTGCAATCCGGGCAGTGCGAAAATAATCTCCCTCGTATGATTTGGGTCGGCCAGTTTAGGGGTAGAGATGCTACCGCGCGTTCGCTCGATTGAGTTGCTCCCTTCTAACTTTTCTCTCTCCAACGACGGAAACTTGTCCACTTCTATTGGAGAAAAACGCTTTGCTAAACTCATTGTAAATATATCTATGTATGTGTATGCAGAGTATTAGACCGCGGAGTTTTAGACCAATTTACTTACTCCCGGTACTTGTTAAAATATTGGAAATAGAAGTGCGTAAATCAATTGGAGACAATTGGAGTTTAGGAACAAACATTCTTGCAAATCAGCGAACAATTAGTGTGATGTGATTAAGTGATTATTTGGACAGGATTCTAGAACCAGAATAAGTTTTAAGTTTCCTAGCAAGGTTGAGAGTATACGGAGTGCACCATAGGGAAATGTTCTGGGACCTCTGCTATCTAATGTTCTTCTTCATATCCTTCTTCTTTCTGACATGGATACCATATAATAATAATAATAATAATAATAATAATAATAATATGTCTTTAATCATGTTGACAGAATATTTACAAAAACTTATAAAGTAGGTGGCGGTACTCAACAGAGTTGCTCATACAACCACCAGATTAAGCAAATAACATATAAAATATCCAAGACACAGACCAAGAGAATAACAAGATAACCAAAGTATATCATTATAACGAGAGTAATGTACGATTGTCACAGATTACTGTAGTATAAGCAATAAGTAGAAAGTAAATAACCTTTCATTGAAAACTGAGATCGTGGGGGCACATCTGACACTGGAAGGTAACTTATTAAAACATTTTGAGGCCTAGTACCCTAAGGAGTTCACGACTACGAGTTAGCCTGTTATGGGTATGGACACCTCTAACCAACTTTTCATATAAACAGATAGGTGAGTAGAATTTTATATAAAAAACGGCAAACCTCAGACAAGCATTCTGCAATTTTTGGAGCGAATCTCTTTCCCTCTGAAATAAGGCCGGCCAATAAACTGAAATACAATAATTAATATGTGACAAAACCAGAGTATCACAGAGTCTCAATCTTATGCTTGTATCAAAGACGTCCTTATGCAAATATAAGAGCTTAAGTTTGTAAAAACATTTCGGAACTACGTCAGAGACATGATCCAAAAAGCGCAAATCACAATCAATAGTTAAACCTAGATTTTTGCACTTATTAACCGGACTAATAATAGTTCCGTTTAGGTTTACTATAAAATCATTATTACTAACAATCTCCTCCCGACGCCGTCCAAATACGATCAGTTGTGTTTTTGATTCGTTAAGTTTCAATCCATGGGCGGCGGGGACTCGACTGACGATTTCATGAGCCTTGGAGCGACTTGATCCAGATCATTCGATTGGAAAGAATGATAAAGCAGAGTATCGTCTGCATATTGATGTGTCTTGCAGTGTTTGAGAAAACGAGGACGTGTATAAAGAAAAGAGTATAGGTCCCAAGATACTCCCTTGGGCTACGCCCTCTGATACAACACAAAACTTGGACGTTTCGCCAGCCAATACGACACTATGAACGCGATTTGCAAAGTAGTTTTTAAAAAAATTTAAAGTTACATTACAGTTACTATTAGTAGGCTACTGCCGGAAGACGAGGTCCAGCATTCTCGCCACCTTTTTGGCTGTCTTCCTTAAAATCTTTTCCCTACTAGGTTGTTCATCTTTGCGTTGCTGACGAGTCTGCCATCCTCCAGTCTTTGTCCAAATCGTCGTCTTTGCCTCACCCACCTTCCTATGTCTTGTATTTCGCCCTGCTGTCTGATGTCCTCATTCCGTATTCTCTCATACAAAGTTTTACTGTGTATATTTCTTAATATTTTCATTTCAACTGTTATCGTTTGTAGAGTTCTGTTTGTATTTACTCTTGTTTCTGCTGCGTATGCTATAATGGGTCTTATAGCCGTTTTATATATCTTGATTTTGCTCTCCGTATTAAAGTATTTGTTCTTCCATACAATTTCTTTCATACATCCCGCTATTCGAGCCGCTTTCATCGTTTGCTCTCGTACATCGTTGAGAAGGCTCCCGTAACTTCTGCACCCAGATATTTACATCTTTGGATGTTACTAAGCATTTAATCTTCTCGGTGTTACTGTTTATCTATCTAATATTTATGTGAATGATGTGTGTGTAGTTCTGAAGAATCTTTCTTGTCTGTTGGCGCACGATACAACAATATGTGTTGCTGCGAAGGATTACTAACAACTCACAGAGGAATGAACCGTGAGCTTGAGATCTTATATGACTGGTTATACGGAAATAGGTTAAGAATAAAACAAATTGTATGGTAATTGATAAGAAACATTTTGAGCTTGGCTTAACTGTTTGGTGATAAAATTTGTTTCTGAAATGACCTATTTAGTTGTTATATTGGATATCCAGTTACATTTTGTTAACCATATACACTAGGCCTTGGTGCGCAAGATTATTATTTTGCCTCACTTTATTATTGACTAGCAGACTGCAAAAGTTGCAAAAGAAGAAAATGTGAATAATTTTGAACTGCAATTAACTTACTAATATGCTACATTTATACATTTATAAAACCGAACAACGACACCTAGCGGTTTATTAAGGGAACTTACTTGAAAGGAGATCAAATATACATAATACTACTACTACTACTAAATCGATAAGATTTGTATTCCAGAGTTAAGGAGTTTGAAAAGCGCGAGTGCTTTTAATCAGGAACTGCTTCGAATAGCTTAATGGTTTATGTGCATCTTTCTAGATGGTAAAGTGCTAAATAAACATAGCGTCGAGAACTTTACCGTCAATTTGGCTATTGGCGAAAGCGTAGTGGAACCATTCCTGTAGGGTTTTGAACTGGGGCGGGAACACCACGGTCCTCGTCATCTTGCACACCGTCGCCATCGACAAGTGCCTCAACGAATGCAACCCCAAACTGCAGATCAGAGTCTGCACCACGTGAACGTCCTGCGCGGGTCTTCCATCTGCTAACCGAATCGATCCCATCGAGCCCTTCCAGACAATCGACGCTGACACTTACCACTAGTGGACGGTATCTCTTGACCTTCCGTGTTAAACGTGATGCACGGCTCCCTCAAGCTAAACAGGGCCCAGCTCTTGCTTTTGAAATTGATACCGTGGAAACAGGCCAACGAGACGTTGTTGCCGCTCAATTCCATCGAACCGCCCAACACGGTTCCCGACGCTGGCAGGGGTACGTGCATCGTGCTCAGCTGTAGACCGGCCACTTGGGCGAGCACCTTCTGCCAGTGACGGTGGTGGCGAGCGTCGGGGGGCGGTCCTTGGGTTTGAGTGGCTTGCGCGGCCGCTGCCGACTCGCGACCTTCAAAATTGAATATAATAATAATAATGAACAGTATATGAATGAGTATTTCCTACCCTTTGGTATCTCTGACCAAGAAAATTTTTAAAATAAGAAAGAGCATACCTTTTATCCCGAAGAATTCCAATTTAGCTAGGAGAAGGAAATGACCCAAGGCTTTGCTATAGTCCAAGAATATGAGATAAGCAAGCAAGGCAGAAGTAGTACTGTGAAGGGGTCGAAAACCAGATTGAGAGGATTTTGTTATCGCATAGGAACTGACGAAGTTGTTAAGCCGCAATTTTCTCAATAATCTTCGTCGGCAGACACTTGTTAACAAGGAAAGTGATATAGTGATATATATATATATATATATATATATATATATATATATATATATATATATATATATATATATATATATATATATATATATATATACTAAATATAGAGTAGTCAAAAAAACAATTTTTATATTAACAAACAACAAACAAACAAACTCCGGATCAACACCACCAAAAGAAATAAAAGCGACGTTAAAACTATCAGGTTGGCCAAAATTGTTTTCGAACATTAAAGTAGGATTAATATGCGCTCGAAGTCTCTTGAAAGTACGCCAAAAATTTTTAGGATCAGTATTAAATGAACTTGGCTAATATGCCCTTTTCTCGGCTCTCACACAGGAGTTCACAAAATGTCGTAATTCTCTATACTCATTTAAAGCAATATCTGACTTAAGACGTTTGTATCTTAAACGTGACCTATTTTTAAGTTTTAATAAAAGTTTAAGGTTTTTCGTAAGCGATATTCTATTCTATATTCCATATATCACATAGTTGAAAGAATCTAGTTAATGAATCTGGACCCAGCCTAATCGATATTTTGTTCAGTCCAAATCAGATAAAAACAACAGGACGACTCAGCCGGGCATCCCACTGTCATACTCGCAATGAAAAATCTTAAGATGGTGACTTGATTGGATGAACATACACACGTAAACATAAATAAACATATGCTGGTTCTATATCTATAGCTCTAAAAAAAAATTAACGTCGTCCGTAATTTCTCACTCTACACTTACAACACATTGCACGATAAACATTCTAACAAATGAACATTCAAAGGCCACAATAGCATTAAATAAAAATACGGGATACACTTTATTATAAGAATAAGAAACATTAACCCACACTTGTCCTAGTTACATATGTCTCGGAACAATTAGTTCTGATGTCTAACGAATAAAATTAAACGATCGTTGCCTGCAGTTTTAAATACATATAATTTTACTAATTTTTAATTCATAATTCTTAACTTATAACAACAGGGCCTTAATACGCGTAATTAGGCTACTATCAAGACTGCCAGTGGAGTAGTACAGATTAATTTTATCATCAATAAGAAAAGTTTGCAAATAAGAGTGAGAGTTTGTGAAGACACAACTAATAGAAGTTATTTGTTACGGAAACTATTAATGAATTGAATTTTTGGTAGCGAGTGTAGGGAAAATCACGACCAATCGAGATTTTTTTGGGCTTGAAAAACAGTGAATGACCAGGTGGTCAAAGATTTTGTCAACGAAGTTTCGCGGTTCTGCTGAGACATTCTATTTTGTAATTTCGATCAATTAAACCAAGTTAAACAAATGGTGTTTAAATTTGTTGCGTGGTGATGGATTAGACTATTTGCGGCATTCAAAGTTTCACGAAAAACTGGCACAGAGTCTATCTCCAAATCCTATCTCTGTCGGTTATAGAGAAACCCTGTGATTACAAGCAATTTGGGACAAAGTATACAGTGTGTGTGTTTTACTGCGATTCTCCCTAAAAGGTACTATTTACAGAAACGTCATAGCTATTTAAGAGTTTTACATACAGTGTGATTTTGAAAATTTTGGGATTTTACACGCCCTATGTCCGTTAAGCGTTAACATCTGCACTAGGGATTTTTTGTATAGTCACTGACAAATTTTCTTTGTGCGTTTTTGAAAAAAAAATTATTAATTTAATTAGGCTTGCGATGGAGTAAGATCACGTCAAGTGGACCCCCCATTTACCACTTGATCATAAAAATTTTATCTATATATATTCTTATGATGGAAAATGGGTCCCCCAAACGATTTTTTAAAATTTTGATTTTAACAACTTTTTTTTTATAATGAAAATTTTAAGCACTTTTAATTAAAAAATGGATTAAAAGAGATAAATGTATGAAATTTTCAGCATCCATGGTCAAATATCTATACTTTAAGAATATATTAACCACTTAAAATTATTTGTTTATTTTCGTATTATCAACTAACTTTTAAGTTAGTTAAGAAATCAGTTAAATTTTCATTTGTTAAGTTAAAAGTTAGTTAACAATACGAAAATAAACAAATAATTTAAGTGGTTAATATAATCTTAAAGCATAGACATTTGACCATGGATGCTGAAAACTTCATACATTTATCTCTTACTGTTGATTTTGAATCCATTTTTTAACTAAAATTGCTTAAAATTTTCATTATAAAAAAAAATGTTAAAATCAAAATTTTAAAAAATAGTTTGAGGGATCAATTTTCCATCATAAGTACTTATAAAAAATATACATAGATTAATTTTTTATGATCAAGCGGTAAATGGGGGGGTCCACTTACTCGATGGGCTTATTATATTATTTTTGAAAATGTTATGCTTTTATAAAAAAGTACCTATATGTAATTGTTAATTAGTAATATCTAACTATCAATTGTTTATTATTGTTATTCTCATAACATTACGCATAAATTTGAAGAAAATTGTTATTTATTATAATATATTATCTACAGCACTGCATTCTGAGGAAGAAAAAAAGAGAACGTTATCTTGGAGATACAGATTAAAGGCTAAAGTGGACAAAATAGAACACCCTGTAAAGACCAGACAAGAAAAAATGAAAGGCCCCTACGAGCCCGCTGCCGGTGTGCGTCAAACCCACATCTGCCTACTCACTTTTCTGCGTGGGCATCCTCGCTGGCCGGGATCCAGAAAAGCCGCTGAACGCCCTCTTGCTGCTATTGAACTGCTGAGAAAAGAACTCGTCTAGTTTGTTGAACATCTTCAGTAAGTCGGCCGTGGTCGACTTCGAAATCATCATCTGGAGCTGGTCCCAATTCAGTTCGCCGCGCACGAAAATACTAGCCGGCCTGCGCGCGCACAGTTAGAGTTTAGGTTGGCAACGCTGTACCTTTCGACACTTTACCTTTTGGTCGGTAGCGAGTCTCTCGCCGCGGGCCTGTTGATCTGCCACAAGTCCCTCAGCGTCACTTTCAAATCGCTCACGCGGCACATCAACACCGACGTCGCCATGTAATCTAACCTCAACTCGAGCGCCCTCAGCCTCAGACCGACGGTGTGGTGCGGCTCCACTTCCGGCTCCTCCCTGATATGAACTAGACGAAAACGTTTTAATTACTCTATTGGTGTATTGCACCTCTTTGGAACTTACCGTAGGTGTCTATGTTAGCGATTTCTATGTTGCCTCCCACAATGCCGCCCTTGGCGTCCAGACTGGAGCCGCCCAGACCGAACGCTATGTAGAGGTTCTTGTGACCCGTCGAGCCTATACTGAGGCGTCCGTCGCTGCGGAAATCTTTAGTCATCCACCTAGAAAATATAATTATAGTCTCCACTTTGCAACAAACCGACTCAAAATGATCGATAACTAAATTCAATACCACATCATTGCTTAATCAATTTGCTCAATTTTCCGAGCGGTATCTCCATTAGTTCTATATGTTCAAAATGTCAACGAACTATCAAAAATGCTAAAAAAAACATAATATCAGAGACAGCTGTGGTTTCGAACACATCGGAAAAACAAGGAAAAAAATGTTAAAATACCACCAGAGATAATAAAGACATCAGCGGTTTCCAAACATCATCATCAGGAGACTGCTTGCATCTAGCACTTTGTTATATCCAACAAAAATTGAAGACTGGATCGTAATCATCAATCATATAAACCGCAATACAAGTTTTTTCTCTCGTACATTTGGGATTCGTTCATAAGTAAATCAATTATTAGGGTTTTGGTTAAATTTACCAAGGTTCAACATTGTACTGAGAAAAATAAGCGTTAGCATTTTCTGTAAACATACATTGTAAGTGTTGTTTTTTTTTTTTAATAAAATATCATAGACTGACGAATTCAATTTTACCATACCAATAGAAAAAAACTTACACCAGTGGCATGTGTTAAAAGTTTTAAACTATTTAATCTATTTAAGAATGTTAAATAACGGAATTAATGAATTATTGCAAAATATATGGTAAAGTCTGTTCATAGATAAATTCGTGTCAGTTAAAGAAAAGACCCAGGCAAGATGTAAGAATGAAATATAGCCGAACAGGTCCGTACTTTGCTTAGAATTTAATTATATGTGGTTTTGTTAGGAAATATATTAAACAATATTTATTTATGTGTGTGTTTATGTTTAAATCGAAAATAAAATTACAAATTATGTTATTACCTACTTAAATTACTTGAAATTATTCACATAATAATTTTTCTATATATATAACAGAATTTGGCCAACTTTGTGGAGGGATGTTAAAAACTTCGGTTTCTATAAGTTTGAGGCATTGGCAGGTTTCAGTTGGTGCCAAACAGGTTCAATAGGATTCAATATACAGTGGTAAGGTATCACAGACGTATTCCTTTTGTAGGTTCAATTAATTGCTTTTTGTTATAATCTTCGTGAAATAAATGTCGTTATTATACATGTAGTTTTGGATTGTTGCTTTTGTCACATGAGAAACGGGTTTTAGTCAACTATCTACTGTGATAACTTGCACTGTCCATTACAATGAAGCTATTAGGAGGCATGTTTGGAACTAGTTTGTTTTTAAATCAGCGGTGGTGTCTTCATGGTAACCCAGAGAAGAATCTTTAATATTTTTCGCAGACTGAGAAAGTCCATTTGGAATCCAACCATCTTTAGAGCCAGCATGCAAAATAGTTATTCTTTTACCTCTTTTGGATGGCGCGTTTGTTTTACACTTATTAGTTGAGACAACTCAACCCTTTTCCGGGGTATCATAAGCGTCGAACCAGGTTTCATCCAAGTAAATAATTGGTCTTTGTTGTTCTCTGTAAATCCTGATTTTATCTAGATATTCAAGTCGCCATTTCCGAATTCTAAAAGATCCCATCAAAACTTGCCTTTCGTCAATTTTTTTAAATCTAAAACCCATGTGTTGAATACACATCCCTAAGGTAGTTCTGCCACATTTAACACCTTTTTCATCTTTTTCAAGTCTCCTTATTAAGATATTTAATGTAGGCACGCTTTGTTCTTCGTATAACTGGTAAATTTTACGCCGTATTATATCTTAATCACATTCATCCACACTCGAGAAAATATCAGCATCGCTTCTTTTTTTCCTCGCTGAAATGGGATTATTCACAATTTTCCATACAGTTGATGTTGGAATTTTCGTCAATGTGGCCGTTTCTTCTAAAGATGCTTGCTTGCTGGCACCACGTTCTATGAGAGTCAAATAAACATTGTCTATAACTTCCTTAGTCTCAATAGAATACATAGAATAATAGTACACATTTTGCATAATTCGCACACAGGCTGTATTACAATTACAATTACAAATAAAAATAACTGCTAAAGAAACTTAAACTAAGTAGTATACCAAACCAAAGAATATTAAACACAGGTAGGTATAAAATTATTTTCTATTACAGACCACATTTTTAACTGAATTTAAATTCCGAAACTTTAGGTAATAATCTTGTTGCATTGTATGCTAATGACCGCCTTTGGATAATCCCATTCAAAAGCAATTGGTCACTTTCTTATATCTATGAACAGACCTTAACAGGATGGAGCCTCTTTCAATAATGTTGCTCCAGTGACAGAACATTTAAATAATACTGATCCAATGAGCGATACGGCAATAGCCCAGGTGTTGTAGATACTTTTTGGTGGGAGTATTTAAAAAACAAAATATATTTTGGGCGGTATGACAATATAGATGACATTAGGAGTGAAGTAATGATGACTGACTGACTCACTGAAGCTTCCGATAAGTTAAAAAATATGTTTAAATAAAAAGGAAAACGGAGGACAATTTACTAACCCGATTAATCTCCATTTTAAATTTAAATAATTAAATTCCCATAAAACCTTCACAAACGTTTCGCCAATCATACCGTTGGCTTCCCCAGGGCGTAACTGAAACTAGTTTCAGTTTCAGTTAACAGGACGATTGACGAAACCGATGCAGGAGGAATCCAGAAGTTTTGTAAATACAATTTTTGGTATTAAACATTTTTTTTCCAAAATTCTAAATAAAAAAGGTTACCAACATAGTCTCCACCTTCAGGAGTGGATGTAATACTTACGCTACGTTGCCCATGACGTTGCCCATGTTCATGTGCACGTTCAGTTTCTTGAAATTGACGGCGAATAGTACCAAGGTCTCCCACGCGGTTAAGCTCTTGTGATCGGACGAGCTGAGCTGTTCGTCGTTGTTCGATTCCGAGCTGAATCCTCGGTCGACGTCTCTCAGCCTCGTGCGCCTGTGGTTGGAATGATCCGGATCGTTATTACGCGACCGGGCCGACCCCAACAGGGGCGTCGCGGACGATCTGTCGTGATTTCTGGACGTTCCTGGCGATGCACCGCTCGATGTGACGTCCTCGTCCTCGCTATACATTGCCGACATGCTCAGATCCCCGAGGAACATACGACGGACAATGGACCGCCTGTACCACGCCTTCGGAAACGCCAGTATCTCCGTCAGACGTCGCATGTCGTATTTAAATGACGCGGAACCGATATCGATGATAGCTATGTAGACGAGGATAGCCAATATACAGGTAGATATTAAAATCACTGCGGTCTATACGAGACTAACACTAATATATTTTAGATAAGTAGATACATAGATCGATTTTATTTAAATTTTAACTATTTAAAACTCCAAAATGTGACAGGTATGAGAGGTACATTATTATCTCGTAGAAGAAAGATAAAATATCTATTTAGAAGGTGGCCAATATAACGTAACCCTATACCTTATCTCAGAATATACAGAGTGTACGAAAAAATCTTAAATATAAAAGTCATCTGGTTTGAAACGAAGTTTTATTCTATTATAATTTTGCATATACAGGGCACTCAGTATTGCTTGGGTAAACACAACTTCTTTTTTTTTAATTGAACATTCTGTATATTATTACATTTTTGGATTCTACTCAAGTTTCTAGGAAAATTTCGTATATAATGTTCTATACGAAAGAAACAAAGTAGAATAACATTTTTTAAAATTATTTTTCAATATAATAATCCCCCTTAACTTCCAGACACTTATTACATCTCTTTAATAACAACTCAAAAAGTGCTAACCCTTCTTTTGTCAAAAATTTTATGACTGCTCTGTCTTGTTTAAAATGCTTTCAATAAAATAAATTATAATATTTAGGTTAAATAATTTTTGATAATTTTGAAATAATAACTGGCAGCCTCGTACATTTCTTTGGAATATTTTTTAAATGCTGTCATAGCCAACTAAGAATAGATATAACAAAGCTTCAAACCCGCAGCAAAATCGTCATAAGAATATTAATTTTTTCAATCTTTCAAAAACTAAACATTTTCAGCATAGACAATCTTATACACACTTACCTTTATTATTAATGGTAAATAAGATAAAATTATGAAATTTGGGGGTTTCCATTAAAAAAAAATAAAAGATTTTTGGGAGTTTTCTAAATTTCGTGTTTAATCTAAGTTTTTGAACACTCTGTATTATTAGGTATCAAAATATTATAAAAATCCTATTAAAACAGATTCTTGCCATCAAGGTATTAAACCGAAATTAAATATATATATATATATATATATATATATATATATATATATATATATATATATATATATATATATATATATATATATATATATATATATATATATATATATACATATATAACGCTAAACAACCAGTAGCATAATAAAATAAATAAGCACAAAATAAAAAAGCTTCAAATTTCGTAACAATGCTTTCCTTTTACATTTCTTCTGTTTAGTTGATTAATAATATTTAATGTTTAGCATGTTTTGGCTTTAACACTCCATCTTTTAGTGCTACTCGTTTCAAGTTTAATCCGTTTTTGATTTAAAAAAAATATATATATTTAATAAGTAGGTTAGTTCTATTTCTTAACAGCACACACTCTCTAGGTTCTTTAGATCATTTAGTAGTTCAGTTGAAAAACAAATGTTTTGTTTTTCAGCATTAAACTTAATTTTCTTAAGAGAAAAGCTTGGCTAGTTAGTTTTAGTATATTTTTTATTTATTTATTTGTTCTCACTTCCAGAACATTCACATGTCTGAATCCTTTCTCCACTGTTTTACCGATATTTTATAATATAATGGAGTTGACTTACTTGAAAACCTGATGACGGCTCGGCTCTGATCGGCACCCTTGACGCCTTTGGTCGTCTCCTGTTTGAAATTCAACATTCTCGAACGCGAGAGGTGAAACTTGACGAACTCGACGTTGATCGATAACGAATCTTTGCGCTCGCTGTCGGACAGTGGCGACCACTGGGCTTCTTTAAGGGCGGACTTTTTGCCGCCATACGGATGGAAAATGTACACGGAAAAGTCCGATAGGCAACCGGTCACGCTTAAACCGCCGACTGCGGTTGCGGCAGTGTTTGGTGCCCCATCACCAAATTCACTAAACAAATAATTTAAACTATTTAGATACTATATCCACTATATAAGCTACTAATAATTTATACATGTCGGTTGATAGATTCATAAGCCTATCTTCATTTATGCAAAAGTTCCAAAATGAGTGTCAATCCTTTTTAAAAATAGGCTGCTCTCAAAGACAATACAAAACAAGGAGTGATCACTTTTCTAGACATAGAAGGGGTCCTCAATCACGTCTCTATTATGAGAGCGCTAGAAACAGTCCAAACTATCTTTGCTTTGGGTCGTATTCCTTAAGGTTTCTACTAGGATAAGAAGTGTTACTACTCTCCTCCTCTCTTCTTCCTCTAAAGACCAGCCAAGAGGTTGTGAATATCGTGGAATTCTGGTGAAAAAAATTTCTATCTTCACCTCCAATCAAGACGCATTAAAAACTATGCAATTCAGCAAAATAACATCCCAATGTGTTTTGGATTGTCATACTGCGTTAAACAGGTCAAAATAAAGTGACGCTGTTATGGGTATCAAAAAAAAAATCTTGTGGGGTGGCTAAATCCATTTGAAAATCGTCAATATGTAAAGAAAATCCCATTTAAAACAGGCCGTGACAGTGGTACTCACATAAGGACGGGCTACAGCCGACTTAAGATGCATCCAAGCCTAGTAGAAATGAAAAAAAAAAACACTAAATGCAGATTCTACCAACAAGAGAGGGAACGCACCCACTATGCCAAAGGAAACGGCCAGACTAGGCAAAACTAAGCACACCAATGTTATATAAAAATGATGGCGACTTACAATCAACGTCAACAATCTAAAAAATCTAACAGCTATGACGAAAACGACTATATACTTTGAAAATTCCTCGAGTTCCTTTAGAAAATCGGGTCACATTCCGAACAACATTAAAACAAAGTCTTTAGGTACTCTTTTGCTGGATTTCTCGTATGGAATTGACTCATACTAAGTGCACCTGCAAAGTTATTGATAAGAACGTTTACATATGAGACGCCCTCTCTATGCGCTTGTCCAAATTAAAAACGGTTCCCATTGCAATAAAAAAATTGTCACTTTAATAAACCCTGGTAACTAACCTGGAGAAAAGTTCATCCTCGGCCCTTTTTGAACTGAACACTATATCGAGCGACGGCAGCTGGAGGAGGCACTCGACCCTAGACACCGGCAGGCAGCTGAACCTGAAAGTACTCGGTTGCATGTGGAAATAAACTATGACGTCCACCGGGAAGCTAGCGTAGACGTAGTTCCCGTAGTTGATGTCTTGGTCCGACGATAGCAACGACGTGTCCGTCGTGTTAATGGTCTTCATCGGTATCGGTTCCAACGTCTGTTCGAGAAACTCCAAAATGTGCGGACTAATGATGGTCTCCTCCGGCACGCTTTGCAATGTCATCCACGCGAACAGGGATGCGCGCTTAATGCCCTGTTTCTTTGACGTTCCGAAAGAGGCGTTCCCGCCGGTAAACGTGCGAAATGAATCTTCGTCTGGTGGAGTGTAGCTACCGAACTGAAAATTGTCCAGGCTACAGGTGGGGCTGTGGCCGTAGTTCGGGTTGGTTATGCCGTGCATCGACGAGGAACTGCGCAAAATGTCGGAATTGAGGCTGTGCGACTTGAAATCCTGGCCGTCCTGCCTCTTGAATGCTAAATCGATGCGATTTTGTTCGGAACCGTTGAACGGCGTCTTCATAGTCGACTGGAACGCCTTATCGAAGTGGTCGGGCGCCGCGTCCTCCATTATGACCTTCATCGAGAAAACAAAAGTGTTCGAAAACCATCAGGCAACTTAGAAGTGAATTATCACCTTCGACTGGTACTGCAGTTTTACGTCCATCCCTGGTATATGGAAAATGGTGAGGTCGACTAGCGCGCCGTGAGGCGTGGTCCTCAATTTTGACGAGCTCGATTGAGAGGTCAATTTTTCTTTGTTTTTACGCACCGGGTCGGGACTCGACGAGCTGGAATACTCTAGGAGGCCCGCGGCGGAACAACTGCGGTCCTTCCTCATTCGACTACTAATCGGGTGGGGTGGGCGTGGCAAAAACGATCACGTTAGAAAATTTACACCACAAAAGACGAAGTCAAATACGATAAACATCATTTTTATTAGTCAAATTTAGATACCACACCCACACGCACACTTGTTGCTCATAAATTCTCTCTCCCTTAATTCTACTTTGCTTCGATGACCTTTCGCGCAGTTTCATCTCAGTTTATGGCGTTGTTACAATCTCCGTCTAGACTACTTACATTTTTAAGTCTTCTTGAACTTGGTCCTTGGTGTGCAACACGCATTTGCCGCTATTTATGAACACTTTCACGTCGAGCTCCAAGTCGACGTTTGGCTCTTGACATTTCTGCGTCATCGTCGACTGAGACAAATTACCAGCGTTCGACTGCAGCGGACTAGGCACGAAACCTTGATCCATATCCAAGCTGTCCAATATTAATGACCTAGAACCGCGTCCCGAGATTAAACTACGCCCCTAACGTCGTCTTTTTTCAAACACACACCCTTCGACCGACTCGTAAGAAGCGGGCAACTTTTTCCTCAAAGTCACCTTCTCGCCGTCTATATCGAGCTGGTCCACCCAATCGCCCAAATGCGTTTCCGGCAAACTTATTTCGGAGCTGGCGCTCGGAAGCGATTTTTGCCTGGTCAAAAGAAACCTTTCAAGCGTATATTCGTTAAAAGCCCGCCCCTTCGATACCTGTACATGGTCTGGGTGTCGCTAAAGGTCACCCTCGGTCCCGCGTCGACAGTTTTCACCCTCAACGACGCCGACCTCGACGGACCCGACCTCGGTGAGCTGTCGTAGCTGCCCGTGTTGGTGTCTATTTTCGCGCTACCCGGACTACCTTGGTCTTCTGGCATCGGACTGGGCGCGACGAACGATTTAGACCTGAACGTGCTGTTTTTCGATCCCAAACCAAACTTGCCCTTGATCGAAGATGCCCGCATACTTTGCCGTCTCAGTTTCTGGATCATATCCCTAAGGAAACGTTTCGAATTGCGTCTCCCACACTTTTATATCGACGATATCGCACACCTTCTAAAATCCTTGTAGACCATCGTTTCGAGCTCGTGCAGCCTCTTCATCTCCAGCTCGATGGTGCCGTGCGAAGCGCCCAACGACCTCAGGTCGTTTATGATCTTCGCTTGCTCGTTCATTTCCTTCTCGATCAGCTTCGAACGACTTTTGTTGTCCAGCGACGGATCGAACATGAAAGACGGTAAGATGCTCTCTTGGGAGGCTCGGGTGCCGTCGGTGTGCTCGTTCTCGTCGCTGTCATAATCGAACGGGATGCCCGTCTCCTCCGCCCCCGTTAACATGGTCAACGTGTGACCCAGGGCCGATAGTTGCTTGCCGACGTTAGTGTCCAAGTGGATATCGACCCCTTCCATTTGCCACTGTACGTTTAATAACCATTTCGCGTTTTCTGTAAAAAACATAGATATTTAATGACACCTCCGTGGAGAGGGCAATGGACGTGGTTACCGTTAGGTGGTTTGGCGGCTAACGTGCGACTGCAAACTTCGTATGTTCCTTCAGTGACGACGCACAAGTTCATTATCGACGTATCCGTCATGTCCGGTTTCCAATCGTCAAGGGAGTTCTCGAAATCTTCCGCAAATCGAAGACACAGATTTGAGAACTTCCCTTTACTGACCAGCGAGCCTGAACTACACGCTGAAATCATATTGATATAATATATGATCATACAGATCTAGTAGGCTAATTTCCTAAGCGCAAAACGTTAAAACATTTACCCGAAATGCTGGTATTCTCCAAGGTTATCACCACCGCCCCGCGACACTCCTCGTACACGCTCCTCGCGTTCCAAGTGATAGGTAAGGGATTTAGCGGCAGGCATATGCCCATATCTTCGACGGTCAATTGCAGGAACAGCGTTCCAAGATGGGGGGCGCTCAGCTGACTCGTCAACTGGCCAAACTGAAACTTCTCCTCTTTCATCTCCTTGCTGAGGTTCGCCCTTTTCTCGTTCCAGTAGTCATACGCGTTTTTGTAATTCAACCATACCAAGATCGCTTTATCCACTGCCACCGGCTGAATATAGATAAGCGGCCGCTTTAGGGTGATTAGGACCACCTCCTTATCTTCGCCTTCGATGATTTCGTCCTAAAGTTAACCTAAATTGGGGGCGATTTTTTGCGTTTTTGACGTGTCCATACCTGAAAGGCATTCCTAAGACTTATCCTGGTATTGAAGAAGGCCACGTGTTGATATTCGGTGTCCGCCTCTTCGAAGACCGCGTTCCTAATGATCTGACCCAAGGAGAGGTTCAAGTCGACCTGAGCCTTGCCGAAAAGTCTAGCAGTCGCGTTGCTCTGAGCCGATCCAGACACGTTCTGCACCCTGTTGGATAGTTCTAGCACTACAGCTCCCGTTTCCAGCCTTACCGCCGAACTACCCGCTGTAGTAGCGGTTAATTGGATCCGTTGCATCTTAATCACTAATGAAAAGAGCAACTTGTTCAGCATTGACGGCTCCTCCGACTCCTCCAACCAAATCGGCACTGGTCTTTCGCCGCCGTAGACCTTCTGAACCACCTCGTTCACCTCTTTCATGAACACTTTCTGCACGAACACCAAGTGATTGAGCAAGTCGGTGGTAAGGCTGTGCTCAAATACGCCTATGTCCGCGTTCGCGTTCAGGTAGCCCCCCTGGCGGAATACCACGCCTTCAGGGCCTTTGGGCAGGTCGGTCCTCAAACTGGTCGCCATGCTTTCCGGGATATACTCGGCGGATACGTGGACTGCCGGCAATGAAATGCTCGCCTCGGAAGGCAAGTTCGCTTCCGCTTTTTCGTTCTGGTTATAACCCTGCCGACAAAAAGTATCGTGGTTAAAAAGAGTGAGTAAAATAATAACATCATACGTCATTAACCTGAGGCAATTTAGTGGTGAAACTTAACGAATGAAGCGGCAAATCAATGGTAAACTTGGCTTTGTTGCCGGTGAACCCCGTGCTGTTCACCTGGTCCATTTTGTACTGCGCTTGCAGACTAGGCAGCAACGCCGCTGTGATGCTTAAACTCTGAAAGTGACCGATCGATAGGGGGGGGGGGTGCCATCAACGTTCGTTTGAACTACTGACCTGTAGTATGACCGAAAACTGCATGACGAGTGGCTTCAATAGACCTTTCTCGCCGGTCGAGCTCTTCACGAACGTCGTTTCGACGGGGGGTATGTGTTTCGCTGGGTGGTTGGGCGAATTCTGCTGGTCGTCTTCCGCCTGAACGCCCCTGGACATCCTGCTTGAAGCCCTCTGCACCCTCAGCTCTTGCAAAGTGGAGCTTAGCTGCTTACTCCCTTGAACCATTACATCAATCACCAAACTATCGAGTAACCGCATCGGGTATACCTCTGGTGACCATTCCGTGCAAAGCCACGGGATGTTGAGGAATATCGATGTTTACCGCGCCGATGGTGAGCAAGCCGGAATTTTTATCTTTTTGACGTTTGGTGACTGACGAATACAGCGCCTGCGATTTTCCGATGGTGACCTTTACGACCGTTTGTAAACCGGGAGCCACGCCCTCGAGCAAAACGATCATCGTCCTGCCGATCTGACCGGTTAGGGAGCACTCGATCATCTGAGGGATCGACTTCTTCTTAACCTGCAAATCAAAAAGACTGACGAAATATTTTACGGAGACGGTAAACATAACCAACGGTTAGGCTCGAATGAAGACTCGTTATTTCCGCTTCCAACTTCAAACCGGAGAGGGTTGCTAGCAGTCGAGTCCTGTGGATCCTCGCTACCCCGAATACGACCAGTTTGGTGTGCTCCCTAGCGGCCGAGGAATTGCCATCTCTGTGGATGTACAAGGGAGGAGTACCATCGGCTTTGTCTATGTCCTCGCTAGACTTGATTTCGGTGAGAATATCGTACTTCCGGTTACCTTTGTAGTGCTCCGAGATGTCGTTGGTACCGATTGAAAACCTACAGACCAACGAGATTACAAAGATGCGACCGAGTGACACATGAGACGGACCTGTGTTTAATTGTCTTGGTATCCGGCATATTAGCGTAAAGTTCGAGCAGGTAGTACAGCGTTTTCCAGCACCTGCCGGTACTTTTATCCGAGGACACGGTGATCCGTTCGAAAGCCGACCCGGTGGGCGTGGACACGCTTATCGGCGTCCCACCTCCTTCGCTGAGGTTAACGTAACCTTTGACGTTTTTACCTGCGAAACAATAGTACCTCAGAATCGAACGGCAATCGTTCTCGTCCGTACCCGTCGATCTTAGCTTCTGCGCAAAACTCTGAGGTCTCGAGCGTAGACTCGGGCTCGGTGATATCATGGGCTTCGCTTGGGACGCGTACGAACCAGGATCGGACATTTTTAATGTCAACTGGTTGCCTATAGACACTGGCACGTCTTGCAGCAAGTCCGAATTCGACGAAATGTGCTTCGCGGGGACGTCGGCGCTTTTGGGACGTCTAATTTCCGCAGGGTGCTGTTCCCTGAGCTCGTTCTGAGTGTCTTTGACGTTCTGGTACATGTTGCTGATCTGGTGCAGCAGCCGCAGCAGCGGCATGTTCACCCGCTGGTGTATGTACCTCACTCCGATCGTGAAGTTTATTATCGTGCTGGTGTGGTTCTTCAGTTGGCCGCGAGATATGTACAGCACGTTCTTCGTACGCATCAAATCGTTTACCGCCATATCTGTCATGCGATCGATTTCGAGTTCGACGTTGACTTTCTCGCATACGAACGACGGCGATTCGCCGTTGGGATTCACCTCGATGACGAGGCCGCGTTTGCCCTTGTTCTTGCCTTTTTTCTTTTCCACTTTGCCGTGCTCAGAGACGACGATGTCGATACGCAAGGTCTCTAGGTTACCGACTAGGCAAAGATTGGAACCGAGAGCGTCCAACGTTGTCACTTCATTACCAGCATCTAAACAAATATAACAATCACCGCCAGGTTCCATTTGGCGACCCTATCGAAGGATTTACTTGAATCTGACATGGTGGTAAATTTGAGCTGTTGCGGCATCACTCCCAAAGCGGACAGCAACGGCTGAAACACCTGATTCGCGTCCAACAGCTTGACCGACTCTTGCACCGGATGGAAAGGTATCTAGAAGGTCAAATAATTAAGAAAAACTCACCCTGGTGATCTTCGAGCACGCACCTCGGGAGGGTTGTAGTTCTCTTTGGGCAAGGTGCCCCCCTCTCCTGAAGACTCCGTGTGCAGGGTATCCACCCTCGATTCTAAACCGCTTTCCAAATTGGCGGTGACGGCGTCCTGTTTCGCCATCCAACTGTACAAGTCCTCGGACGAATGCGTGTGACCTATGGTTTTGTGGATGGGGCTGGACGGTAGGTCGGGACTCGAGTGACTATTGACGTCGCTCGGATCGGAACCCATGTTGATTATAGTTTTGTCTTCGAGGAGTGTACCGTAACCTATGAGAGAGGCGTTCGAGTCAGGTTTAAGTTGTACCGAAAGAGGAGTGGGGTCATTCCATTAAAATTCACCCGACTTGTGTTTCCGCTTAAAAAAAGCATTTGCAATGTGAAAAAAGCATCGAAGAGGAAGAGCCTGCTCAGTTGATGGTGGCTAAGGGGCAGAGGAGATTCCAAGAAGGTACGAAGATTGCCGAAAAAACGCTTATCGTTGCATTGAATTGAAAATATCCAAATTTAAATTGTGATTAAACAGTCTGACTACCTCATCCATTAAAACAACGTCGTCAGTCAGACAAAGATATGTCGGATGTCTTTATTTCCATTAACTTTTAATAGAAGTATCGGATAATGTCGACAAGTAAAAAAAAATATTAGAACATTAAAATATAAACTTTAAAAACAGATATGTACAAACACGCAAAGTATATAACACTGAGAGATCACCATTACTACAATCAAAGTACTCATCGGTAGAATAAAAAGCCTTCTTATTCAAAATGAGCTTTAATTTTTGCTTAAATAAATGAACAGGCAATATCTGTCTGGCGGACAAAGGCAACTTATTATATAGTTTTATTGGTAAAATCATAGGGCTGTTAACAACTATGGCTAACTTGGGGCTTGGCACCTGCAAATTAAAATTAGCTCTAAAATTATGCTATTTAATAATAAAGAGATAGGGAAACGTTAAAATATTTAATTGTGGGAATAGAGTGGCCACGAGACTTCCCCAACATTGTTCGAATACATTTTTGTTAGACAAAAACTTCACTAGCTCTGGAAGAGTTTCCACAGCATAAGATAAGCAAGATTGAAAATATCCGAAATAATACAATAGCAAAAGCTGAAGATCCACACTCGACCGCAGTCGCCAAATAACAAAAAAATGCATAGCTATTTTGTTTAATACATAGTCAATTTGGCCTGTCCAGGACTAATTACTGTCTATGAACAAACCTAAGTACTTGACAACTTTAGTCTGACTAATCGATTTATCCTGCTTTCTAACCAATAAGCTCTTGTTCAAATCCCTAAGCGAAAACAACATCATCTCAGTCTTTGTCCCTTTCAAACAAATACCGTTATGCGGGTTATACCACTTACTGTCCTAGTAGCCAAGAACGTGAGATCTTCCAGATGACACTGCCACAGCATATAAGAAAACATAATTGTCTATGAAAGCATCAGATATATCATTAATAATTATTATAAATAATAAAGGTCCCAGTATGCTTTCCTGTGGGACACCGCTGGTAAATTCTTTAGATGAGGATCTAATCACCGAAGTATCACTTCTAAGCGCATTGGTTACGACATTTTTTCTGTACCCCAGTCAAAAATTTAAGCACACAAAGGGGTGAAAATCTGTGGAATGACCGCGAAGCAAAAGCGACACACCCACCGCTTACTTACAGATATTGTCGTCGTTGACGCGTTTAGTCGTGAAAAGGTTAGCGTTAGTCAAAAGGGGCAGGACGACACTAGGACGACTGCTATTAGCCGGCTGCGGGGGGACAATGCTCTTTTTGCGTTTGCGCATAGGAACTGCAAATCACACAAAGAAAAAAGGACGTAAACCGACACACCCACACGCACACCCACGGAGGGATCCTTTCACCCTGAGCGCGAAGCATGAACGTGAAGAAGTTATGAGCGAATATACGTACCGGGCGGGCTCGGGGAGGCGAGTATGTTCTCCACCCCGCCGGACACGACGGCGACTTGCGACGCCTGTAGCCCGGGCTCCGTGTATTCCAACCTCGGCGACGCTTGAGCGGACAAATCTTTGCAGGTCATACACGGTACTACAAGATAACGTGAATATATGGCACCGATACACCAGGGCTATGCTGCTTAAAGCTTCGAATGTCTTCTAGCTCGAATAATCGAAGATTTAAGCGAGCTACAAGCGTCTAAATGTCAGCTGCTATTAGGCACAACCCAATGAGGAGACCAAAGGAGACCCGACGTGCAATATTCTCAACGCACGGAAACAGCGTTGCCCCATGTGATTTGACAAAGTTAAATCGTCAAGGTTGCATTTCAGTTATCGCATATGCTGTTTTGACATTGTGACACCGCGTTTTGACCCGGGTGTGTTGTCGACAGTTTTGTGATTGAAGATCTAGAACAACAATTATTTTGGGCCGTTTTAACACAAACATCGACCGCAACCACTCTGATCCCCCTTAACCCCCACCAAACATTAAATGGGACTAACGAATTTCGATTAATAACTTTCATCGAGTCTACTTTGGATATACCGCCATTGGTACAATCTGTTGACACAAACAAGTGATGTGCTAGAAGCAAACACTAACCAAAAGCTTTGGATAGTTTAAACCTGAAAACATAACAAACAGTTTTCGTTTAATGTCATTAATTGGCTACTAATTACTAATTTCTTCGTAATTATGATAAAACATTTAGGGATAAGGAAAATGATTCATCAAAACCTCAAAACCCAGCTAGGTTCATGACTTCGAAGCAGCTTAAATTACCCAGAGCTTTACGACCTACCCAAGTTTCTATGCGCGTTGGGCCTAAGTATGATGCCTGCGTGAAGTAAGCGAGCGTGTTCGTCGGTAATGTCATTTTCTTCGTTACCGCTGGCCTCGCCGTCGGTCAGGCAGACCTCCTATCGAAAACGGTGAAAAATGCACGGTGAACGGTAAGCTCTACACCCTTCGCGCACACGCACAGACACACAAAAGAAAGGAAACCAAAAAGCTCGAATTAACACTCGACAGAGTTCGCGAAAAAAAAATAAAGAAACTACAACACTAGTAAGGAATGTTAGTGGGCGTGGTGATTCTCCGGTAAAGCGGCCTACTGTCTAATTAATTTATTAGAAACAGAAGAAGAAACTAAATTATTTTTATCTTACTGTCGTCGCATAGTTTATTCTCGTAACCTATCTTAGATTTTCCCTGGGGAGAAACGAAATCAACACTCGTATCAACACATCGCCTCGCTTACCTCCTGGATATCGGGAACGGTAATGGTGACGTTCACCGGCTTCAGACGGGCCTTGATCGTTTGCTGCGGCATTAGCGGAGTGTACAGGGTGTTCTTCCACTGTCTACTCAATACTATTATACCCTGGAATGCAAATATCACTCCAATGAAACGATCTAATGGCACTTTCACGCTAAGTGACTTACTTGTCTCAGGGTGAACAAAGGCGGTATTTCGGACTCCCTCAGGTTCAAATCGATGTAATTCGGATCACACTTCATGTAGTATTTTCGCAGTATCGTGCACAGCTGCAGGCTAGGATCTTCATGGAGGGTCTGAGACAGCGGCGTCAACTTTCCGTATCGGCTCTGAATCGAAGTATGACAAATTATTAAGGGAAATGATAATCAGGTCAGTCGGTACCTTCGGCAGGGCGTGTAAGTGCTGTTCTTCCATGGCCTCAGCCATCAGACACGCTACGGTCGCGGTCGATCTCCTGTACATGGTCCTAACCATATGTACGACTCTGATAGCGAGTCGATTGCTCGGGTTCATCCACGCGTTGATAGATGGAGACGCGGTGCTTAACAGGTTCCAGTCGAGCCTGGGGGGGGGGCGCCCAATTTATACATCACTACTACTACTACTACTAATATATCGCGATGGATACTTTCGAAGTTTTACAAGTTACAAAAATAGCCTCAAAGATTTCACGGATGTCATAGAAGGTTTAGATAACATACAACCTTCACCCCTTAGACATCTGACGAAACCTCCAATTAATATAATATATACATTATTTTTATTTTTACTCGCAAGAGAAAGAAAATCAACATCAAGTCCAGGATGAAACTACATGTGGACAATTCTCCAAACAGTGTTATATGAGTTTGAAATCACGGTATTCAAATAAAGATGTATTGTCGTATGTCTTACTACAATAGTGTATATTACCCCTGCTTAGACACTGTGACGTCTTATCGGCTACAGAAAATTCAGTCTCTTTATTTCCAACTAAAACAAATTTGACCATATATCAGGAGCATTCAAGAAATTAAATTGGTTAAAAATAAAAAAATGTTTTCAAGCACAACTTTCTATGCTCTTTGAAATAATGCTGTAATTTTGTTCAACTCCTTAGATCATGTTCTCAAATCAAAGTTTCCTTTTATTTACTTCTTCCCGAGTGAAATAACTAAATTGTAAAACTCAAGTGTAAATTTATGTTATTATAGGGTTCTTCTTTGCGCCAAAATTTCCCGCCCTGAATATGAAAGAAACAAAATAGAGTAACAATTTTTTATTATCTTTCAATATAATCTCCCTTAATTTCAACACACTTATTACATCTCCTTATTAATAACTCAATCCCTTTAAAAAATATTTTTTTGGTTTGTCTGCAAAATGAGCTAAAACAGCCTCTTTTAACTCAACTTCGTCGTTAAACTGCAGTGCACGTAAGTCCTTTTTCAAATATCCAAACAAATAATAGTCGCTGGAGGCCATATCTGGACTATAGGGAGGATAACCTATGTTTTGGAACCCACACTCTAAAATGGCAACTTGTGCAACACCAGCAGTATGGACAGGTGTATTATCGTGCCAAAGACGAACACCTCTGGTCAGTTTTCCTCGACGCTTTACACGTATGCAGTCTCGCAATTTATGTAATAATGTTGCGTAATATTTACCAATTATAATAGTTTCTTTAAAATCTACCAAAAGAATTCCTTCACAATCCCAAAAGATCGTGGCCATCACTTTTTTTGTTGACTGGCAGACTCTGAATTTTCTTGGAGGTGCTTCATCCTTACGACGCCACCCCATTGAACCATAGTTTCATCTCCCGTCACAATAGTTTCTATCACAGGCTTCGGTTCCGACCCACAGAGTTCCAAAAAAGACCGCGCACACTCGACACGGCGTTGTTTTTGAATAGCCGAAAGGTTTTTAGGAACCCCTCTTGCACAAACCTTCTGCATACCTAAATGATCATCCAGGATTCGACGAACACTTGTATCAGAAAGCTTAGTAATTTCTGAGATTTCCTTGACCTTTAAACGTCGATCACTCAATACCACCTCTCCCACAATCGCAACAATATGACCTCCACTGGTCGACCAGTTCTCAAGGGACTCCTGCCTCATTCAAAGAATATGAAGGAGAACTTTGGTCCTATACACTTTCCAGCCTTTCTTTAATAATTTTAGGTGCTAACCCTTCTTTTGTCAAAAACTTTATGAGTGCTCTATACTCAATTTGCGGTATTTGAGACATTTTTTCGGACAAGGCTTGTTTAAAATGCTGCCAATAAAAAACTATTTGCCGTAAGACTTCCATTTTTTTTCGCAGCCTACTAAGATATATATTTAAAAGAAGACAAAGTTTTATCGTGATACCGGAGCTGCATCTATGTCAGGCCGGGAAATTTTGGCGCTAACCTCATATTATTGTTATAATTTTATGCTTACTTTTACTTGAAATACGTAGATTGTATTTAGATATAGGTTAAGTTTTTAAGGCTTTAAGGCTAGACTTCACCCATGTAATCTTAATAAAGACTATTATTATTATTATTATGTGCGACTGCTCCACGTCGAAACTGAAGCTCCTTTGAGTAACCGCAGCCTTTCCCCTTAACACATCAACATGAGTTAGAATTTTGAGATGTTTTTTTTTTAATATTTATATAAACTAAAACGGAACACTTTCTGACGTACCTCGTATAATCGATTTTTCTCGTTATGGGAGCGGTAGGAGGGGCGGCAAAATTAAACCAGATAACCTTAAACTCGATGACGCACGATGACACATTGCCGTTGTCTTTCGCGTTGGACTCCTTGTCCGGCTGGTTCAGAACGTCGTCCTTGTTTTTCTTTTCCGTTTTCGGGGTGTGACCGTCCTGTTTTGGGGTCGATTTCGATTCTCTGGAGGTCGCTTGGGCAGCATCTGCAAAGCACCGGATATGGAAGTATATTAAAATAAAAGAAACGATAAGACTCGCCTAAATTTTCGACAGACTTCACCGATTCCAAAACGGGACCCTCGACCGATGCGGACACGTCCGCTCCACCCTGATCGAACTTTGATTTTTTAACCACCTTAAGCGATATGCCTTCGAGGCCGCATTCGAACATTATGAAACCCAGCTTATCGTCGGTATTGATTTCGTCTAGCTCGTTGGTCTAAAATGATTCGATAAATGTGTCGCCTCGAAAAGATGGAACCCCACAAATATCAAAACCACATCGCTCACCCCGATTTCATTCACTGGAGGCTGAAGGTAATACTCGAGGCCCCTGTACATCGGCTTCACCTTGGTCGGTATAAAGGACACCTTCGATTTATAAGTGGGTATGGCGGTGATGACGGCGTCGTCGAGTAAAGAGCTCTCGTTGCGCAGCCGCCGGAGCTGAGCGTGGGCTTTGCCCACATTGAGGCAGACAACCTGCATTAATGAAAAAAAGTGAAGCAGCACGAATTTGTGCCGACAACTTTTACCAGTTGTTCTTGTTGATTTTCGCAACTTTCCACGAACACCGGCTCGCCTTGTATGACGTCCGAATTCGTGTTCGACTGCAGCCCCAAAAGTATCTTCGCCCTGTTGGCTTTGTTTTTGGCGCGTACCACGGACGGTCTGAGGAACTTCTCGAGCACCTCTCGAGCCTGTTTGTCGCAGTGAAACTTGGCCGTCACGTTGTCCAAACAGACGGAAAACAACGAAACGCATGTCAAATCTTTTATGTTGTCCAAAGCGGAAAACGAAATGATTTCCTCCACTATAGACAGCTGGAGCAACGTGACGTTAACCTGAATACAAAATGGCGTTTAAGTCGGATCGAACGAGCCGCGCGGTGTTACTCTACTTTGGGTAAAAAAATTGACGCTTGCAGCTGCGTTTTGATGGTTTCCTCATAAACCGTAACGGCACTGCCGGTCTCGTCGCTGGGCTGGCACAGTCTGGCTACGTTTTCGGTGGTCTTCAGAGTGTTGGCCGACTGCACCTGCCCGATACAAGAGGTGTGGAGGTGATTAATCACCGTCAGCGGATGTAAGTTCGCGACGGTGGGGGTTAAAGAGTCGATGAACCTGAAACCCCTCCTTTACGAAACCTCAAATTGCAAACTCAATTGGGATTAACCTCTGAAGAGACTCCAACAGCAGCGGACTGATCATAACGTCCAGGTCCCCCTTGAGCTTCACTACGACGACGGTCCTGAAACCTGCGTCGCTTTGGACGCTGAGCAGCTCCTCCTCCTGAAACGACCCCGACTCATTCTCGACCTCCTCCTGATCCCAAGTGTAGACGTAAGGCGACGTCGGAGTCTTATTGCAACCAATGCCCGAGTCAGATCTGGACACCATTTTCAGCGAGGTGATGCCGTCGTTCAGGGGCTCCATCTGGGGCACGAACCTACCCCCTAAACGCAGTGGTAAGCATAAGCCTAAATCTAAAATGTCGGAAATTGTCGTACCCACGTAGACGAGTTTGCCGTCCTCGTTCCTCTCGAACATGGGGGCCGAGAATGAATCGTCTTTATCTTGGTTGGTCCAATTCGGGCACTTCAATTGACTAAGGTGTGTCACGTAACTCGACATCAGCATCGGTGAATCGACTATCAACCTATTAACCTACGCCGTGCGGAAGAAAATGAACGAACGATCTCGCCCCGCCCACCAACCCTAAGTCTTACCTGCATGTGGAGGTCGACTAGAGTGAAATCCTCCTGACTGCCGACGGCCGACACGTAACTGGTGTTGCTGTAGCTGTCCGAACTGTCGTTTAGGCTGTCGTTGACGCCGACGTTGGTCTCGAAGTACGGCTGGGTGTTGGGAACGAAACGCGGACTCACCGACCGATAGTTGGGATTGCGTTGCGGCGTCACGAGGCCTTGTATCGTGCGCTGCTTGTCGTCGAACTGAAAACCGAGGGAGTGGCAAGTCGCGCCTAGACCAAGGCGGGGATTTACTTGTCGATTGGCGCTAAAACTGCGGTGCTCGGGTGTGTGAATCTCGTGATCGCTACGATGCGTCGATAATTTCATTTTGCTAGACTCGGGAACCGAGCCGGCGACCGACGCTTGCCTGTTGGAATTCTGGAGGGCGTTTCGATCGGTAACGATGCTCAGCTCGCTCGAGAACTTCTTTCTGCGCGAAATAACGCCGAGGTTGGCAGTATGCGCGACGTGTTCGTGATATTACCTCTGCGGCGGTCCGCTGCTCGTTTCTTGTCGGGTAAAACCGTCGCCGGAGTTCAAGATCGAGTTTTTCAAACTCGAACTCCGCGAATTGACATTGATATCTTCGTCGGCCGAGAAGAACGCCTCCGAGTGGTTTTCGCTCGATATTGAAGTCGTCCTTTGGACCTAAAATGGCTGATATATAGAGAAAACGCAGGCGCTTGTTTATCTATAGACCTCGTGTAGCAGTTTTTCCTCCGACTGCACGATACCACCTAGAGAGTGGTGCGACTCCGACGCGTTAAACGATTTAGACATCATCGGGGGCGAGACAGACACATCTGCGCTTATGCGCTGGAAAATATGTTAATACGTCAGATAAATAGGGACGGTGATGTTTATAAGTACAGAGGTACGAAAATATCGATTCAATTACTAAACTGGGCGTTTATATTCAAATTAGCTATCAAATATGTGATTAGTGTACAGGAGGGTCCCTTTAAGAGGGGCCCTTACCTTATCTCCAAATCTGCAGTGGTTACAAAAAAAAAATTAAATACAAAACTTGTTTCGATTAAAATGACCTTTTTTTATTTTCGCATTTTTATATACATCCTTTTAAAGACAAATTCAACAAATTGAACGATATATGTGTGCGATGCACCGTTTCGACTTATTAGCGATCATCTTCAGAATTCGGGTTACGTTTAAACCATCATTGTTGCGTTGCTAATTAATTTTTTAAACTTTTTTCCATCAATTATTTTTACGAAAATAATGTTTTTCTTTAGGCGATGACCAAATTTTAAATATTTTCTTAAAATACGCGGTGTTGCCACTTTTCGCAAAATGATACTTTTCTTAACTTTATTAAATGAGACCACCCTGTTGTTGGATTTTAATTTTAGTTATAAAACATAGTACGGGCCTCTGACTTACTGTTTTGGCTTAATTGGCAATTATTTTCCAATAACACATAAATCCTTTTACATTCATAATTTAAGAAATTTGTAATTAAGGGAAAAAAGCTTTTAAAAAATATTAACATTCTTAAAAATATAGACCACATGTCTTCAAAAAATAGTAGAAACCTGCCTGTTGAAAGACACAAACACAAATTTTTGGAAAGTTTTGTGTTTGCAGTAGCTTTGGAAACAATAGAAGGTATTATATATTTTTTAAGCGAATTTTTTAGACTTCCACTATTTTCTATTTATTTTATTAAGTTGCCTTTTTGTTGAGTCTATTTTGTATAATAGATATGAAGGATGAAAAAGTTGACCTATTAGAATTAGAGTCAAATTTCCCCATAGGCGATTGCCAGAAAAAAAAAATATTGCCAAAAATGGCAGTTTTAGTGAAAAAAAGTAGGAGCAGAACGGTTTTGGATGAAGTTTTGCAGCTAGATATTCTTCAGCATTTTCAAAATACTCCAGAGACCTCCATCCGCCTTGCCGATTCAAATGTAGACTAGGACGAACCACACCTCAAACATGTTTAAAAATTAACAGATATAAGTCATTTAAATTCACACCAGTTCAAAAACTATAAAAAGATTTTAACTGAAGATCTGAATTTGGCAACATAATGATTGATAGGCATTTTTCATACTTCAAAATATAATTTGGACCGATGAATCAATATTTGTGGTTTTATTTAATAGAAATAATACGCATTATTGGAATTTAGTGTATATGTATGTGTTTTTGTGTTTGTGTCTTTCAAGAGGCACGTTTCTATATATGTTATAAAGACATGTGGTCTATATTATTAAGAATGTTAATATTTTTTAAAAGCTTTTTTAAATTTTAAATTATGAATGTTATGAATAAATTATGAAAATAATTGCCAATTAAGCCTAAACAGCGATGTTTTATAATTAAAATCCAATATTATACAGGATGTCTCATTTAAGAAAGTTAAGAAAAGTATCATTTTGCGAAACGTGGCAACACCGCGTATTTTAAGAAAATTTTCAGCACTATTTTCGTAAAAATAGTATATGGAAGAAAGTTTAAAAAGTAAATAAGCAAGCCAACAATGATGATTTTAAACATAATCCGAATTCTGAAGATGATCGCTAATAAGTTCGATATGATGCATCACAGACCTCTACTTATATATATCGTTGAATTGGTCTTTGAAAGGACTATCAAAAAATGTAATAAAACGTAACACCCTACATATAAAAAAGTAACGATTAGGAACATTAAAAAAAAATTGTTACCCCCCCCCCCCCCCCCCAACGGTTTCGTGATAAGGTATATTCCACTTTTAAACGGGCCACTATTTACACTTAAACCGCTCATGATTTCCAAAAATTCCTTCCTTAAAGTTAATGTAATTTCAGAAGATAATATATTTTTTACTTGGGGCATAATGAACAGATACCGCTAGTTAGGTTTGTGAATCTTCCTTTTAAGATTTTCAACAGAGGGCGCTAGCGGCACCCAAAAATCTTACGTTCGCGTCTTGAAAGTCGCCTCTCGGCGAATTGAAGTAGTCGACCGCCAGTTTGGAGTCTGAGATGCTATTTTTCGGCAACTGCTCGGAACTTTCGATCACGTTCAGTCTTCCCCTGTCCGCGTGCAATTTTGAGTCACTGTCCAGCTTGGTCGGCAATGTGGAAGGGGCGGTTTCTATCAGCCTCGAATACGGAACTTCTTTGGTGACAGAATTCCTGAGGAAAAAATGTCACTACCGGATAACCTCTTGCGACTTCAAGTGTTACTTCATAGAAGTCGACGAGAATCTTCTGTTGGGCTTCCTGTCGCCTAACGCGACCGGGCTGGCGAACTGAGCGTCCTTAGTAGTCAACTTTTCCTTCTCGAGCGTGGTCACCTTCGGACTTTCGGCGGCTCTCTTCGGTCTCGACCTGCCCCACGTGTCTTGTAGAGTTATATCTTTTATTGTGTAGGGAGGGGTTCGAAACACCAACATATTCTCGTGAAGGATACTCTGCCCGTAACCCGGATCTTTGCCGGGTTCGTTTACTCTGTGGAAGGTTTAAAAGCCATATTTTTTCGTTGACCAAATGGACATAGATTAACACCGCTTTCCAGGCACTTGCCCAAAACATCTTTAAAAGGCAATAATTTTAAAAAATAGAAGAAAATGAAGAGGTCCGACAACATTATGGTGGAATGGTACACAAAATCACCTAAATAAAAATAACTATATATTTTACTTATTGATCATAACCAAGAAAAAAAATGTTGAGCACAAACATCTATCAGTGCGCTCACCGAAACGCGGCCACGTTAAGCCCCTCCTCTATGTCTTTGCGGCTCGGTTTGAAGAAACGCGCACCGTTCCTATTGGTGCCGAAGAAGGTACACCCTCCGGTGCAGCCGCACTTGCCGGTGGTCTTGTTGAGTTCGGGCCATAGAAACCACAATTTTTTCAGCTTGTCGTCGTGCATCTTTAAAAACTTTTGCTGGATCTGGTGCATGTTTTGATCCTTCGGGTCGGCCGACAGTGCCGACTCGAGGATAACGGGTCCGAAATTGACCGCGCCCACTTCGAGCCACAAATCCGGGTTGTCGTTTGGTCTACGTAGTACGAAACAGAGTAAGAAAAAAGGGAAAAAATTGATGTAGTATAGGCCGACGTACTTGTTATGGTTGTATTTGTGCGGGTGCCACACTAATTGACGCAGAGACATGCTGTATACAATGCAACTGAGACCGGAGCTGACTTGTTTTCCGTGCAAGTTGCAAGTGGCTAAACGTATCGGAGAAACCTGATAAAGAAAAAAAAATTGCCTAAAGTGAACGTTGGTTGATTTGTGGGGGTTGGTAAAATCGAAGTATGCTGTCGGAGTACTTTCTTAGCCGTCGAAGCTACTCCGCCTTGTGTTTGTAATTATATTAAAATTACTTTCTTACCAAACCCTAACATTATTCAATTTTGTTAGTTACTTCCGATATCCGGCGATGAAGAAGTTGAGATTGTGGTCGATGACGTAATAATCGTTGATGGTGAACATCCGTGAAATTCAAATGGATCGAAGACTCATTTTCCGGTTGCGGACGGGGACAAGTCAAGTGACGATAGTGATTATTTTGATGTAACTTTCTTAAAAAATATTCTAACATTGTTTTATAGATAAATTTACTCCTTCATAATAATAATCAAGGAATCTAACCGGTGAAACTCTACAAAAATCTGTCAGCTCTCAGCATTTGTATGCACGAAGAACCCAAGTACGGTTCTAGAACGTGGAATAGGAAATCTATTGATTGCAGGTTACAAAGAGAAACCCAAGCGAGGTAGGTCTGCGGTTATACCTTATGGTATATCGTTAGGAACAGTATACTATAAGAAGGGAATATTATCAATTTTTAAAACACCGCAAACAACAACGAAATAATTGTAAAAAACAATTAATAAAGAGTGGATATTTTGAAAATATATCTTCTCTAAATAACCTCTGAGTTGGTCATTGGTGATGTGTAATTTAACAGGGGTAGTTGCAATTTGAATATGAATAACCTTAACCTATTTGTGCAGCCCAGTTAATAGTAATTACAGATAAGATAAGGCTTGTATATATTGTAAATTTATTGTTAATTGCTATTATTCAAATCAAATAAAAAAAACCTGTCGGTTTTTCGCGAACAAAAGAAATATTTTATGTTGACTTTTCACACATCTATATACAGCTATAGACCCCTTGGACCAATTGGAAGCAGCACTTGCAAAAGTCATATAACTTAATTATGGTATATTATTATGGTCCCTTTCCTACACCATGGCTCAACTCAAGGCGACACATGTGTTTCGACTGTACAGTATCAAAAATCGCATTCTCACTCACCCACAGCTGCAAAGCGGCCGCGCTCTCGACCAACCAAAAGTCCACCGCGTCTATGGCCACCCGCACCAGCTTGTACTTAAGCTTGTGCTCGCTGTACGCGGCCACGCCCTCTTCCTGGCCGGCCGGATGACCTCTGACCGAGCCCTTTTTCTCCTCCTCTTTTTTCCGGCTGATTTGTTTCGCGTTGTTACTCGTGGTCGCGCTGCCCTTGCCGATCAAGCTGGTGCCGCTGTTCTTCGGCTGCAACAGCTGCTGGATCGCCTGCTGCACGTGCTGCACGTGGACGTTCTGCGAAATGGGTGGGGTTTTCTTCTTGGCCACCGGCCTACTCAACACGGCGTCCTCTTTCGGCGAGTTTAAGTCGTTTTCCGAATCGAGGATCAAGAGGAAAAGCGTCTCCAAACTGGCCATGATCGAGTACAGTTGCGGCGTGGTCAATTTGCCGCTGAGCTTGCCCAGCTGGATTTCCACTAGCCACGCGTACTCGACGGTGTCCTGGTCCAACGACTGGCCTACGTCGGAGAACATGGCGTGTCCTCTGATCTGTAAAAACAAACGTCAACGTTCGGAGTTCCTAAGGCCCGTTCGGCACCCACTTGGAGGGAGGACAAGGTCAATTTGCCTTGGTTGAGGTGTTTTTCCTTCGACGGTCGGGGCAAAGTGTCGGACACGAGGAGGACGGCGGGACTCAACAGCAGTTGAAGTTCCGTCTGGTCGTATCTCTTTTTCATTTCGAATCCGAATCTTTCGACTAGTATGATGGGACACGGCGGGTCTTTTTCGGTACAATTCTTCACGAATGAAAAAAAAGTGAAACGACTGGTGACACAAATTTCCAGTGACGACGTTTAGGAAAGGACACGCCCCCTACCTTTAAAAGGTGACCTTGGACGTCGTGCATGACAATCGAAACGTCAACCTCGAGCGGTCTATAGTAGCGATGATCGAAACCGTCTCGCAACTCGAGCGGTATGTTAGCGGAACTATCTTCCGATTTTAAATCCGATCCGCCGCCAGTTTCCGCCACCTGGGCCTCTTGCATGTCGGTGAAGACCTGATCTTCGCCGAATACATTTTCCTGCAATGCATTTTGAATTTTATTTTGATCTTATAATTTTAACAAACGATTTAAAATCATTTATAGGTATTTATAGGAAGCTACTGTTTGATAAAGACACTGAGGAAGTGACGCCAGAGGACTGGCGAAAAGCAGAGAAAGAAGGGGAGAAAATGTGGTTCCTCAGATGAAGAACATTAAGATTTTTAAAAATTAAATTTCTGTATAGTGAATTTTTTGTATAAAGTTAAATAAAAAAAATAACGGGATCTAATACTATGTCGGTAATATCCAATTTTTATTCTGCTGAAATAAAATTTTTCGCTTTTCATCAGAATCCTACAGTGATGCCTTTGACACACCATTGTTGGCGAATGGATAACAATAGGCAAAACCTATAAATTGAGCCAATCCTGGATGGTACTACCTGTATTCAATAATCAATGCAGTTGGGTCACTCTCTAGTTCATTTGCATACCTAATGAGATTTTATTACTAAAATAATTGCAACACCCTAATTATTCGGCCATAAATATAGAATTTTATGGAATTTCCAGCAACTAAATAAATACAGCTCCTCAAAGTAAAAATTCATGACAAATTTATTACATTGGTTGACAAGTTGTAGATTGCTAAGGGTACCTCCCATTAATTCAATGTATCAATAAATAAATCAAAGTTTGCACTCTTAAAACTAAGCGAAATTAACAATTTTTTTTTTTCAAAGAAACTTTCACAAGCTACTATAATACATTTTACAAAGCTTCTGGATTCCTCCTGCGTCGGTTTTTGCAAAGCAATTTCGACTCAGCTTTGCAATTTCGATTCAGCAAAAACCGACGCATAAGAAATCCAGAAGTATTGTAAAAAGTAAATTAATTTTTAAATAATTGTATCTAAGCAAAATTTCATCCAGGAAATAGCAGATTGCTTCTTCTAGTCTCTTTTTTTATTGTTGTTTTGTTTATTTACAATATAAAATGATCGCAGGTTTAGCTGTATGGGCCCAGGTAGTAATAAAATAATTTTGGTGGCAAAATAATTCTGTAACGAAATAAAAAAAGTTATTTCAGGTTAAGGTATGCTTAGCAAAAATATAATAGACAATTTTTAAACATGGAAAAATTTGTAAACTAACTTCCTAATTTTGTTGCTGAGGAATATCAGAACCCCATTTTATATATCATAATATAAATGCTTACATAGGATTTAATTTTTGATTGACAATTGCAATTTAATTCAATATTGAGTTGCAAATTTATTCAACATGTGCAGGATGGTCTCCTCATGTCAATTTGTTTTACAGCTTATGTTAAAACAACTTTACCCAATGCCATTTTAAATACGAAAAAAAAAGAGGTTGACAGTCCTAGGCTTTAAAAAAGGAGAACGATCTATATTTTATATTTTATTTTTGTTAAACACTACTGACGAATGATCAAAACCAAATTGGTCCCGCCCATTAGTTATGTCCTGTCCTGCTTTCCTCCTACTTGTTTACTTTTCTGCTAGACGGACCTATCAACTAGAGCGGATTCCAAACCACGCCCATAGCCGCGCACGACGCTACAGGCGTGACCTCTTTACCTATTCCAACGTTGCATTTGGTTACCATTTGAGTTACTATTATGTGCTTAAGTTGAGTTCTAAAGTCAAAAGTAAAAAAAAAGTCAAAGGGCTAAGGACACAAACGTTATTAAGTTGGAATTTGGTTAAACTTGCATGACGAAACAACCTAAATTGTGTCTGGTGTTTTTATTTCATGCGTTTTCTTTTTTATTGCATAAAAAATAGCTGGTTAGTTCAAAGTTCAAACATGTACAACATAAATTATTGTTTATGGAATTCAAACTTTGGGTTAAAAGGAAAAAGTGGGAGTGTTTTAAAGGCGCAATGCAAAAAATATCCTTTTAACCTCTGCAGTAAATCCAATAAAAACTACATTCAAATAATCGGCGACATTTTCAAGATTAGAAGATATTGTTGCAGGACCACTAACACTAAAATTATGGCAAAATGTGCCGGTCATCTTTTAAATGCAGTAGGACACAATATGAAATATCGGCGACTCCGGACTTGTATCAGCAATGGATTTCTATAAACTGCTGACTTGCTGACACCCATGAGGCGCTTTTGTTTTGTTTGCTATTTATAATCAGTTAACAATTTTTTTGAGATTTTATGGTTACGTTCTACCATAAATTAAAATTGATTCAAAAACTTAGCTTTTGTTGAAATTTTTGATTTTGCAAAATAAATTAAAATTAATTTGTTTTTGAGTCCCACGTGTTTTTTCTTCTAGCCTAACCATGTTTATCAGTAAAACGGCGCAGTCAGGAATTTCTTTGAAACATCGTAGTGCCTCATAAACATAAGAGGGTAATAAGGATTTAGTTGATTCACGAACTATCGCTTGGTGTATGTTATCTAAGCATTTTTTGTAAAGTACTTTTGATCTCGTTTTAGGTTAATTCCAAATCCGTTCGCCCCATTTAGGAGATGTCAGGTCGCCAATGACGTCAAAATTCTTATAGACTAGTTATGTAGCCTCACCTTGAAATTCATAAAATTCTTCAGTGCAGTACCGTAAAGCAACAAGACTGACGGCCCGATCTCCAGTTCCACAGCGACCGTGTCCGCCTTCAGGGTAGTAGGGTCGAACCTCTTGCCTCCTTCGGGTGAGCACTTTCTCTTTTTCCTATGATGGGGAAACCTGATCGGCGACAATAATATTTCCTCTTTGACGGGCGTGGAGATATCCGCTTGCGGCGTGGGACCCAACGGCGGGCAGGGATGGTACACGTAGGTTATGTTGATCGCACCGATGGGAACCCACCAGAAATCCACCCAGCCCGCGCCCGACTGACACACGTTCCGCCATTTCGGGATGAGTTCCGTTTTTTTCGTCGTGGATCCGTCTTTTGATAACACTTTAGCGTGTTTGTCTAACGAAAGCACGACGTTTCGGCTGGTGTGGAATTCGGGTATGAACAGGCTCAAGTCTATACTCTCTCCCTAATAGTAAAAAAGGTGACGTTCACACGTTTGGGAAGTTTCGGGGAAGAGAAAACTGACCTGGATCGCTAAATTCACGGGCACCGTCTCCGGTAGGAACTCGTCGAAGGGCATGTCGAAGGACATGTGAAGAAAGTGCGCGCACAGCGCCACCTCGGTGTTTTCCAACTTGCTTCGTTGACCGACGCTGCTGCAATCGATCCAGTTGTATTGGTTGATCATCGTTATCAATTCGCAGTGCCTAAGGGTGACCCCGAAACGCCACGTGTAGGGTACGAAGTGTAGCAGGTCGGGACGCGCCTTGGACGCCCACTCGTTAATCAAATCTTACGCGGAAGGAAATCGATGAAAACGACCTCTACGTTTTGAATGGAAAGCTTACCGGTAAAGAACCACTTGTGGTAGAAGATAAGGTTTAGCGTGGCCTTGCAGCCGGTCAGGCTGACCTCCCAAAGCTGGTGGTCATTCCAGACTAAAGGGTAATGGCAGAGAACGCAAAACTCCAGTGTTTCGCTCTCGACTAATTCCCGGAATTGAAGACTTGTGGTCGCTTCCAGATGCAAAAGTTGGCCGTTGATTTTGGTCGTGTAGCCGGCCTCCTTAGTGATCCATGGTATGGTCACCTCTGAACGCGGACAGACTTGGTTATCCGCGGTAGGGGGTATATTGAGGAAAGAAAACAATACGCAACCAAAGAGTTTTAGTTTTGGTGTACATAGTGCATCATTTTGGTTATATTTTAAAATTAAAAGCTAAAAATATTCCAAGGTCGTCACACTATGACAACTGGTTGGTTACACACATGCGAATTACCACAAATGTATGATAATAGGAGGCACCACTTGTTAAATGCTTATGGTGTGTTTAAAATAAAACCACTACAACATAGCGAACTGTTAGCAATGTTTGAGTTTCAAGAGTGTTTGAAGTTTTTGTTGCAATAATAAATCGCTTTGAGTCTATGACTGCGTTACAATGCTCCTGACCAAGTCATAAGTTTAAGATGGGGTCACAAATTTGCCACACCATTTGGTTCTTTGGATCCAATGGCTGCGTTTAACTTTAAACTTTATTTTAAAATAGATATTAAATTTCGGATCGGGGTTTTTGACATTTTGCCATTTTGGCGGCGGGGATATGGGTTTGTTACTATTGCAATTATCCTAACCTCAATTTCAATAATAAAATTCGGCGATACATATTCTGAGATCATAAGATCGGGAAGGAACGTGGTTCACCAATTTTGGTAAAACCACCTTAAAAAAAAGGCCATTTTGAGAAAACACTGCGCACAGCTATTGATGCAGCAGTCTCCATGGGGTATACTATATTAACGGTATGTGTAGAGCTGGGGTCATGATATAAATTTTCAGTTTCAGACTGGTTAGACCAGTAGGAATTTTTAATTTGATTTACCGAGGTAACTTCCTGCGCCGACGTTAACGTGCACCGCGTTGGTTTCTTTATCTTTGGTGAACAAAATATCAATGGTGGCCTCGTTTTGCATGAGCAGCCTCACATCGAAAGACTCCATTTCGCGTTTGTCGCCCGGTATTGGCGGTTTTGTAACCTCCATCGGCAAGTAATCCTGTGGGTAGAAGAATTTGTAAAGGTGTTCCCTTTGCCTGTCGGCCCATGGTCCATAACTGAAGTCCGTACCTAAAAGTTTGATTTTTTTTTTTATACTCTTTTGGCGCAATTTTGGGTACCTTTGCCGCATTTTATGTCTACACCCCATTGAGGCGGGCTCGACTCGACTATATCGCCGTTCGCCAGCGTAATCAGTACCGGTTCTTCGGGAACCAACCCTGAAAATATGTTTAGCGTCAGAAAATTTTTATTTCATGAGGAAAATTGTTATTAACCTGGTTCATCCATGTAAAAGTACAGTTCCATGTCATTGGCGGACATTAAAACAAATCCTTCCCCCATATACCGAGGTGGCTCGTCCAGCATACCTGGAATACCGCAATTCATGGGTTACGGTTTTACAACCTAACTTTTCTGAAGTGACGTTCAAAGAACTGACCAGCATTTGATGAAGAAGTCAACATACACATCACTTTTAACATGTAAAACACATTCAATCGCTAATAAACTGACAAGAAAATCATTTACCATTCAAACTGGTTGTTTATGTTGCCTCCTCTTCCTAGAAACTTTGTGATGCACTTATTAGGTCTGCTTTAAATACATTATTGGTTGAATTAAAATTTAAAATTGCATAGATCTTCAACACGCACAATGGCTCTTTTTAATAAGTAGACTTGCATTTAGTATATCAATATAATACAGTTTACCAAGTTGATTTTCACAATAAATATGAAAAAGTATGGAAGCAATTGGAAAGACACTAACCTGTATATTTTAAACTAGGTGCCAACATGACCCTGACATTTTCAGCTTTGCACTTTACAAAATGCATGAACCTATCTAGAGTACACACGGCAGGTTTTGTGGAATATACAAAGTGTGACTCTTCAAACGTAATACTCAGAGTGGTGGGAATTAAACGGTTCCCAAACACTAAACGACTCTGAAATTTAGCATTAATTATCCAAAATAGTGCAATTACTGGACGCTTACAGATGTCACATCGCATTTAATCACTGGGATCAGGTCCCGCCAAGTTCTAGCCATGGCCGCTTCCGGCCTCTGTTTTTTCTGTTTCTCTTTGGCTTTTTGAATTTGGTTTTCATTTTCATTCCTAAAATCGTGAAGGAGTACTTGGTCTTGTCAAAAATTGTGAAATTGATTGTGTTCTACCTCTCGATATCATCTAGTCCTTTTTTGTCTGTGTTGTTACAGAAAATATTGTGGCCGAATCCAAAAATTTTGGCTAATCTAGTATACATATCTGATCTGTTATAAACATGCACTTCAAAACCATTGAGCATTACTGAGAGTCTTGTATCTGAGTGGGACAGATCTGCAAAATAATGATCAAGCCTAAACTAGAGCATTCAATTCGTTGTTCGGACAAACCCTCGCTAACATCTCTGGGGACATAGGACCTCCACCAACGAAATATTAGGTAACCATCTTGGACACGAATTGTGCAATCATTGGTAATGTATATCAAATCTCGGAACATAATTTTTCCAGATAGAGCATTGACACTCAAAGAACCTTAAATAAACCATGGTTTTAACATTTCAACAAGTTAAAATTCTGATTCCTACCAATTTTAAAATAACCATCAGCGACGAATTTGTTTACAACTTTAGTGAGTATATAGCCCGTAAGTCGCGAGTTATAAAAAGTAATGTAAATAACCCAGAGGACTGCGAAAATAAGACTGAAGAGGAGCATTAAAAAGTTTGAGTCCATTTTGAGGTCCTCCAAAGATACTTGGTGTATCGTCGAGTTCCATCTCGAGGCTTCAGTTTTCTCAAAATTATAGCTAATTGTTGTTAATTCCATAATTTTTAGTAATAATACACAATGGTAATTTAACAGAAACTTTCGTTGTATATGAAATAACAATAACTGCGGTGTGTTATCTCTTCCATAGCAGCGATAACGACGACAAATCTAAACTATAAAATTATTAGTTAATAGCAATTGTTATTTAAAATCCGCCCAAGTTTTGACATTTCGTTTTTAAGAATATCCCTCTGTCAGTGTCACTCACTGAAAAACTATTCAAAAATGTGTCGAAGGTTTGAAAATGGTTGGTTCAGAACAGCTGATTTAACAGGAAGAAGGTTAAAAATCTCAAAAATACTTTTAACTATTTGCTTTATATGCAGTTTTAATGAGACTTTTTGAAAATTTTGTATCTTTGATCAAAAGTGATATATGAATACAAAAAACAATTAGCGATTCCTTAATTATGTACTAAGTCGACATCTTTTATCGATAGTCTGACGCAACCCTAATTTGCGCAGTCGCAATGCAACAGGATTTATCGATCGTCGTGGCAACGTCACAATTTTATCCGTGTGACGTCCGCCTTTTTCTGCGTCAGTGGTGCGGCCATATTTTGACGGTAAGCGGTTCAAATAATTTTTGAAGAAATTAATATTTGTGAACTCAACAAAATATGTTTTTTGAGTGATATTTAAGCAATTGTAATTTATATATGTATGGGTCTTACTTTTTTGGGCTCTCGTATACGTTTTTTAATTCAGTTTACCGCACTTAAGTCTTATGTAACATCGTTGTACACCAAATCCGGATTTAAAAGGGAAATACTGTTATTTTACACTTTTTAACCAAAAACAGGATAAACAATGGCATTCGCACATGCCAAAGGGTTGCTAAAAGTTTATTAAATCGTGGTGGAGTTGTAGGAATTGCTTCGACTTGAAGCTAGGTTCAGATAATTTGAGAATTAATTAATTAGTGTCAAAATTTGGAAAAATATTAGACAATTTTTTGTTTTCTGCTTATCTTTCTCTGTAATATTTTATCTATATATTTTATTAAAATTCAATTAAAAAAAATTATGTCACATGGTATTCAAGGTTATATTTTAAGGTTATCTGACTGTCATGTCATAGGTTTTATTTAAGATGAAAATTGTGATAGAGTTATCGATTTGTTGAGTATTTAACTATCGTTTGTAAAAAAACTGCGTTAATTACAATACTCGTAATTTCCATTGTGTAGAGCATAACCATGTTTGCATCGTTACTCCCCCGAGCCTTCTGCCAGGCCTCAGAAACCAACACTCAATCCACAATGGATCAAGAGCCCCCGCAACAAATGGGACTCGTTAAGTCGCTGATGGCCCCGCGAACCATCGCAGCCGCGGCAGTGGTCGAGGGGGACAGTTGTGAGTTTGGTTCCGCCCATTACTTCGCGCTGTGCGGATTAGGCGGTATCCTTTCTTGCGGTATCACTCACACCGCCGTTGTGCCCCTCGATCTTGTCAAGTGTCGGATACAAGTCGACCCGGCCAAGTACAAGAGTGTGTTTAATGGTTTCAAAGTCACCCTGAAAGAGGACGGCGCCAGAGGATTGGCCAAAGGATGGGCGCCCACTTTCTTCGGTTATTCCGCCCAGGGTCTATGCAAGTTTGGTCTGTACGAAGTGTTCAAGGTGGGTTTTCCGATTCTAAGAAATTATTTCGGGTTGTTGAATTAACTAAAATTTTGTTTTGCTTTTAGCCTTAGTTCTCAAATTTCATACATTAAATAGTTCTTTTAATTTGTTAGGATAATATGTGAAGTACAGTAAAGCCTCATTATAATATAATATATAAGTGGATCAATATGCAATGTGATGTCAGTATAACTATAGATATATTTTTTTAATTAAGGACATTTCTATTTTTATTTTGAAATTAAATTTGTTTAATATTTTTTAGTAACTAATATTTAGGGGTGAAATAGTTTATGCTCTACGTAGATTTCTTCAGTGTGGGAAATTCAGGGTTTATATCTTCATAAACATGGATATTATACAAGTGAAAGACTGTGTGTTGCATAATTAGCTATATATTCTTTTTTTATACACTAAACAATCTTATATATGGGGTGAGTAAAAAGTACCGGAATGTTTAAATATCTCGAAAACTGCCAAAACTGGAAGAATTAAATTTCAATTTGTGGGAGTTTTTAAACATCAGAATTCAAAAATGCTACCAGCAATGTTGTTCCATTTACCACTTTTACATTACATGTGATAATTTTGTTATTTTAAATTGAATGCTCAATTTTTTATTGTAATAAATTGATCATTTTGAATTTTGAGTTCTCATAATTACAAAATTTTATTTTTATTAGTTACTAAGCTACTGCTTTTTCAGTAAAAAGTACAGAAACACTTAAATTTCTCTAAAACTGCCAAAGCTGGAATGATAAAATTGAATACCTGGGGTTTTTTGAAGAAGTATAGCAAGTTTGAACTCTGTATATTGGTAGTTTTTGAGATATTTGAGTGTTGCGGTACTTTTAATTTGCCTGGTATAACCGGAAAGTAAATGTTTTTTATTTCATTATGTTAACCAAATGTATGGTACAGAAGTGTGCAACCCTTAACTTGTGAGGAAAAAGTTCACTCACTATTTTGAGTTTAATTTTAATCAGTTATTGCAAAGATTGTAGAAAGATACTTTTTTCGCGTTTTTCACTGCATTTATCACCCCGCATGGGACGGAAACAGTCTCTCGTGTGTTAAAAATAAATGCGACATAAACTTTGTAAAATCCAAGGCAGATGTTGCAGTTAAACATTTGCTATGACCCTTTACGCACAAATTATGGCGAACTCCTCAGCGGTCGGTTTTTTTATCTTGCCGATTTCCCATCAGGTACTCTACAGCGACCTAATCGGTGAAGAATACTCATACGTCTACCGTACTTGGCTGTACTTGAGCGCTTCAGCTTCGGCAGAGTTCTTTGCCGATATCGCTTTGTCGCCCATGGAAGCGGCCAAGGTCAAGATTCAGACCACTCCCGGGTTCGCGAACACCCTGAGAGAGGCGTGGCCCAGAATTTACCGCGAAGAAGGTAAGCTCGTGAGGTGTTTCTGCTAAGCTGCATTTAAAAACCACGGGCATGGCAGTACGTATGTCTTCCCCGTTAAAAATAAGTGCTAGATAGTTGTTGCAAATTCCAATGCAGATATCGAAACGATTTTAGATGTTTGCTATTTCACGTTGCATACATTTCAAACTCTCATTTAATTTCTTTAGGAATGTTAACAAGATAAATCTAGAGTTAGGGTGGATAGGTAAAGCAACAATAATGAGACTTCGTACAACATAAAAAATTAACAGTTTCAGAACCTTTTGTGGAAAAAATTAACGAGTTACTGATCATCACAAATTTTTAGGGTCTCCTTTAAGGCCCTATTGTTTGATTCCTCTACCCTTGGAGTATTATTCGTCACTCTAAGAAATGTCTACATTTTTTGTCTCCACTGAGGTGATTGTTATATAAATTTTTTAGAAATTTTACCGGGGACAGATTTAAACCCCAAATAGCGTCTCCATTATTTAAATGACTTGAGTGAGTTTGGCTTGAAACATTTTTTGATCAAAATTAGAGGCTGTAAACTGGAAGCTGTATTTCAAGAAGAGTTATTAATTTTAAGCTTGGTCATAAATTTTTACCTTCTCAAAAATGATAAAACTGAAATCTTTACTTTTTTCCTTCAACTGAATTGGGAACCTCCTTTTCATGGGCTAAGACTAGATTTGTCAAGGAATGGACTCGGTCGATACTCAAAACTTGAAATACTCTAACTTTTTGACCCCTCAGGGACACTTATTAATGAAAAAAGAAAACTAAAAAAATTCTTGTCATTATAAAAAAAAGTCCAAAATTAAAATCGATCAACGATGCTCAAATATAGAAGAAATAAGAAGACACAACACGAATTAAATACAGATCGTATGTGTGGAAAGGTTAAACAAAAAGTTAAAAAAAAATAGTAAAAAGTGAAAGGAAGTAATTTTATCTAGTACCCTTTCAGTTTACATGTTATCAGCAAAATTTAATTTCACCAAAATGACTTTGGTGTCGAGCCTGCGGGTAGAGTGACCTTTCTTATGTTGTTAACGGTCTGCGGCGGTATATATGACGTAATATGACGCAATAGGCCTGAACGGATTCTACAAGTCGCTCGTGCCCCTGTGGATGAGGCAAATCCCGTACACGATGATGAAGTTCGCCTGTTTCGAGCGCACCGTCGAGCTGCTTTACAAGTATGTCGTTCCCAAGCCGAGGGCGGACTGCTCCAAAGGAGAACAGCTGGTGGTGACTTTCGCGGCCGGTTACATCGCGGGCGTTTTCTGCGCTATCGTGTCCCACCCCGCCGACACCGTCGTCAGCAAGCTTAATCAGGAAAAGGTGGCAACACAATAGTCTCGAATATTTCATCCACCGTAACGGAATAATTTTTCTTTTAAGGGTTCGACCGCTTTGGAGGCGGCCAAGAAACTGGGCATGGCCGGATTATGGAAGGGCCTGACCCCGAGGATAGTCATGATCGGTACGTTGACCGCGTTGCAGTGGTTCATTTACGACGCGTTCAAGGTGAGTCAAAGGTAAAAAAAAAACATATAGACAGAGCTAACGGTCGTTTGTTGCGTCAGGTCGCGATGCGCATGCCCCGCCCGCCGCCGCCGGAGATGCCCGAGTCGCTGAAGAAGAAGCTCGAAGCCACACAGTAGATCCGAGGGATAAATCAATTGTAAATGTTGTTTTAAAGTAATTCTGTTTTCCAGGAGGAACAAAGCTAGGACCCAGTCTTCTTTAAGTTATTGATTGTTAAACCGAAAATCGAGCAGTATTCGTGAAAAATGGGAATAAGGACTTTTTTGTCCTTCCGTATAAGTCAAAACCGGGGATTATAATGTGAAACTCGCCTTTATCGATTTTATTATTATTGTCTGTTATTTTAGACTGTATATAGGAGGAATACAACGCAGTTGCGATTGCTTTTCAAGCTTGAGTTTTATTTCCTTTTTTTTGCCTTAAATGCAGGATTAGCGCAATAAACTTAATCATGAAGCGTGACATCTAGTAATTTTTCTTTTTCAGAAAGGTTGAGTTTGTCAGCGTCGAACTCCTGTTTAATAATAGAATTTACATTTTATGACTCTTGCATTAAGAACTAATAGCAAAGCAACTTCTAGTTTGCATACTAACTGCAAAATTTAACACAAGGAACGTCAATGTATTGAAAGTTTAGGAAGTCCAAACTTGACGAATTTACTCTCCAATGCTGGCGCTGTAAACGATAAACAAACGTGGCGGTTTGGAAGTATCCTTTGAACCTTTCGCCTGCATGAGCATAAAGTATTGTTCCTTGTTCTGGTTTGTGTGCCTTAAAACTTTCAAAAATAGAGGTCAATTAAATATTTCCTAAGGCTAAGTATCCATATATCGCGTTGTTTCCAGTTGTGAAGCTGGTGTGTTGGCAAGTATATATTTTTTTAAGTCTGTTGGGTAAGTTCGAAGAAGTTGTAAGCTTAGCTCTTAACGCCTAACACTCAGATGAATCCAATGAGCTGTTTTTTGAAGCAACATAAACCATAAAAAGTTAACAAACCTTTGAAGTTTTCTCCCAAGAGTTTGTATTTGTAAAATTTTTGGGAGTGGGAGTCAGGTGCAGGTAAATAATGCAGCAGTTAAATCTTTTAAGTTTTTCTATATATAATTTTTAATACATCTTTCTCAATACAACTGAGTTTCTTCTTTTTATGTATATACAATAATCTCTACTTGATTCTTTTTTTATACATTTTTCTCAGAGAAAAATATTTACAAAAGTTCTGGATAAGTTATGTTTTATATACAAATAAAATTATTATGTACAGGTTTTAAAGTGCGCCCGCTTCCGTCATTCACGCATCCCTTTTTATTTAATCGGTCATTTTGTATCTTTTAACCTTTTTTTTTTGTCACTACCTGCGAAGTAATAGGTATACAAAGTGTGGACTACACAGAAACGGACCTTGTCTTCACACGATCTTCCGGAACGTACCGGTAATTCACCCTGTGTAGGAACAGCAAATTTACTTGTTCAAAAAATAAAAAACTACAAAGCCACCGCAAAAAAAGTTAAGCGGCAGACTCTTGAGTCATATGAACTACTTCCCACCAAAGATAAAGCCGGTAGAGCTGTCTGAACTTTACAAGAAGGGCATTTGAATTACTTTTTGATACATAATGGGATTTTTGTAATGAGCACTGAAACATTTTTGGAGGTTCATTAGACTATGTGAACTACTTATCTTTAGTGAACCGGGAAAATCACGGTTGGGGTCATTTAAACTACTAGGGATCTGATGTCTGTTACGCATCATCAATTATTAATAAGATTAAATACAGAGTCTCTTAAATATGACATGAGTGATAAGTTTGTTTGAACTACTTTTCTGACGATAATATAATTCAAACGAGTAAATTTGCGTTCCCCTTTATATCTGAGACCTATGTACAAATGAAATAATAAAAAAATTACACATAAAGAGATCTAAACGAATACAGGTTCTGAACCCCGCCCTACTCTAACGATCGCAGTATATGTACAGGTCAGTCAACAAATATCCTCCTCCTCCACCCGATCCTCCCGCCACACGGTCTCTTACAAAAATTTTAAACTTTAAATAAAATGTTCTTAAGGTTAATGCTAGTGCAGTATTTTTTTTTGTTCTTTTTCCTGTAAATTAATATATATATTTTTTAATAACATTAATTAATGTTTAACTTTTTTTTTGATTTTACCCTACCAGTCGAACAAGCATCCACTATTTGGAGAAAAAAAAAGAAGGGCGCAAACGGAAATGGAACAATAAAATAGATCCGTGGACGACCTCCGCAACCCACATAGTCAAACGGCTAAAAATATACCTTCATTTATACATAAAAAAAAAGAAAATAAATAAAAACCATTCAAAAAATAACGCTCTCTCTCAATGTAAAATATCACTTTTCGATTTTGCTTTTTGGTGTTTCCGCCGCTACGTCGAAGCTCGGTGCCCCGCCTCCCCATTCGAAGGTCATCTCCGCCCCCGCCGTCTGCGTACTAGCTTCCGGGTCGCGGACTAGCCGTACTCACCACAACCACCGGCTTCACCAAGTACTGCGTCAACGGTACTACCTTCCCGTTGATCTGCCCGTTGATACCTGCCGCGCAAAATATATGCGTCATTCGAATGACGTCAGCGGAAAGAAGTTCGGCGCGTTTACCGTTCAATTGTTGGGGCGTGGTGATGAAATGCGTAGAGACAAGCGGCGTCAAGTCAGTCAGCCCTTTGTGCGGCACGATTGCCACCTTTTGCAGGACCAAACCTTGGTTGACGGGATACGTCATGGGCAGGACCGATATCCCAGCGGTCTGGACCGGCTGGGTGACCTGGAACGCGTAGGGAACAAAATTATGTTGTTGCCTCGATGACTGTGCGCTAGAGTAGAAGCACTAATACCTTACACCGGAAAGGGGGATCACTGTAAACTCCGTCTCACACAGACGTTTAAGAAAAGGTTGGTGATTGCCCAAAAGCGCAAAAGTGAAATTCACGAAAAATATTATACAAGGCGTCCATAGGCATGGCGAAATAGGAGATTATTTAGGTGAAACTTAAGCTTTTTGCAAAAATTTTTTGACATGTGAAATGGCGAAATAGGAGAATATTTAGGTGAAACTTAAGCTTTTTGCAAAAATTTTTTCACATGTGAAATTTGTTTTCGTGAATAATTTTTGGGGAAATTGTAGAGTGCGCTACGTATCTCGTACCTACGTGCTTTTTTGAGCCTTAGTTATTGCATATGTTTAATAAAGATAACACTTCTTACACCTTTTTTACAAAAAAAAATTAATAAAAATTAAATCAAATTAAATTTCGCGCCAGAGTCGTCGTTTTCGAAAAAATTATGTTAAAAATTTTCTGGAAATCATTACGTAATATTTAAAATTTTATTTTTTTATGCCTTCAAAGATATCGCACATAGCTAATATGGTAGCACAAACCTTAACAGCGTTTTTAATATTATTTATTTTGGGATTTTTACAAACCTCGACGTCAATGAAGATGATTTTATGGAAATAAAAATTTAATTTTAAACTAATGTAAATTACAAAAACGACTCATAAAAAAAGATTTCCAATCATTTCATTTCCATTTGGAGGCATGTAGATTGAAAGACCTGATTTTAAATAATAACGCATAGTTTTGAAATGATTCGAGGGCATTTTCAATTCTGTGTCATGATTCATCTCGAGTAGCGACTTCATATACTCCCAAACACAAAAATCAATTGGATTGAAATCTGGTCTCCTAAGCAGCGAACGATAAATAAATTGATTATTTAGGTAGTCCCCGACGTCTCGAAAGTGTGTGTAAATGTTGCTTCATCTGTAAACATTTTTTTTGTTAAAAAAAAATGGGTCGAAGTTCTGCCGGACAAACGAGCAAATTCCAATCTGGCTAGAGGATTACCCTATAAAAGATTTTGCACAGGTGTAAATTGATAGAGATAAAGCTTTTCTTGGTGAAAAACTCCGCACATTTTCTGTACATTTTCTCACTCCGGTTCCCACTGCCATTCGTCTTGTACTTATTATCAGATTTTCAGCCTACTTGGACTAAAATTTCCTCTTCCAAGTCCGGTGTAATCATTTTTGGTCACCCAAAATGTTCCAAACTTTTTAAAAACACCCAAGATATTAACAAATAGCAAAGCCTACTTTGAAAAATTTTGCAGCCATTTTATCGCGTCTTTTTTCGCCTATTTCTACTATTTTACTGTCTTTTATCGTGATTATGTTAGTCAAAGCCTGCTTTGAACTATTTTGCAAGTTCACATGCAACCGTCAATTAGGTGCCACGGAAATTTCAAATGCGTATTTCTTGAAAACGGCGACTAAGAGCTTTTTTGTGTAAAAAAAAAGGATAAGAAGTGATATCTTTATTAAAAATCTGCATTCATTAAGGCGCAAAAAAGTAAGGAAATATCAAACGCACGAAAAGTACCATAACATTTGCCCCAAAATTATTCACAAAAATGGATTTCGCATGACAAAACAATCCGATTTGCCAAATTTTCTGCAAAAAGCTCGATTAATTCAGGAATTATTTTAAAAAATAAAAAATGAAATTGATACCCTGTATCGCGGTAAATATTTAGTTGTGGACTAAGGTAAGTTTCGGTAAATCGTAAATATTTATTTGACAACCTGTATATATTTTCGGTAAATCGTAATATTTATTGAACACGCTGTATATAATCTGACCTAACTTTCAACTTTTTAAACTGCATATATACTATTCCATAAAAACTTATATACGAAAAAATTAATATTTCTGATTCTTTTTTCCAAGATACCAACGCTGACTTATCTTTTTATTGTTTTTTATCTTTTTTCTTTTGAACGAAACAGCAAAAATGCATTAAAAATAAAAAAAGAAAATAAAATTGAAAACGAAAAAAAAAATTAGCCTTAAAAAAAGGCCGTGCTCACCATCCGGCGTGGGAAACTTGAGATGTCAAAGGCCAAATGTCTAACTGCCTAATCAGATTTACTTTCGCCACTTATCTATAGATGGCAGCAAATGCGAATTTACGGCAGACAACGTCGCTTGCACACAGAGTGTCTCCACAATTAAGATCCCAGATTTAAATTTAAGGTTTTTAAAATGAATCAAATCTTGAATCTAATTCTTCAGTGGTAATCCATGAATCAAAACATGCCTAAGTTCCAAAAAAAAAACGCATTGTATCTCACTTATTCATCATCCTGTATATACGTGACGCTATTGGCGATTTTACAAATTAAATGCAATTTACCGACAAACCAGAGTAAAAACTGCAAAAGACGCGATTTATGTAAATTGGGCACTTATAATATTAAATTGATCTTTAATTTTATAGGAAAGGCTTTTAATTTTGAAGCTGGTTTGAAGGCACACTGTAAAAATGTCCGTGAAGTTAAGGGTTCCTGCAGTGGACCCAATTAAAATTACATGTTTTGTATTTAATAAGGCACGAATAATAATTTTTTATCACTTATGAAGTTAAAATGGGCTGGTCAAAAGTTCCAAGGTAATAAACATTATTAAATATTTGTTTAATATCAGTAGCGGCACCATGGGAGAATAAATTTCGGGAATATTCAGTCAAATCTAAATTGTGCTGCCATCTGTAGACGAATGACCAAAGTAAAAAGGAATTTTTTGGTTATCGCCTTAGAAATCTGTACTTAGTAATCCTACTTATTGTACTGTTTACAACAATTTCGCTAGTGTTCAGTTCATTTGAACTACGCGTGATGAGTCGCTTACCTCTTTGATTGTCGTCACGGGGGCCTGAATGGGCAACGTTTTCGATAAAATAGGAATGGCAACCTTGTCCCCGTTCGTGGCAATCACCGTGTTGCCGCCCTTCTGTGCGATTCCGTTCGACTCCGTGTGAATGGTCGCGTCGCTCTGGCCTTCCGCGTTCATTTGACCCACTGCAACAAAGAACGTTATTAGCAAAGGGCGACAAAAAGTGCGCGGCACATCACTAACCGGAGCGGCTAGACACCTGTTCGCTGCTAGCGGTCGAGGTACCGGGCACGATGTCCGGCAGGATCTTGGAAAAGTCGACGTTGTCGTAATGCAGGGCGATTTCCTTTTTCAATACAGCCAGCCGCTGTTGGTTGCCGATTTTTTCGCGGGCCAGCCGTTCCATTTCGTGCTCCAGCTCTCTCTCCCGCCGTTTCAGCGACTGGATGTACCTCAGCGCCGAATGGAGGATGCTCAGGTTCGAGGTTTTCTTCTCCTCGCCGTTGGACGGGAGCTGCTTCTTTAAAATGTCGAAGCACTCTTTCAGGTGAGCCCTGCGGTGTTTCTCTAGCTTGTTGTGTACCTCCCGCGTCCCTAGTAAATATAATTTTCGATTTATTTAAGCGAAGGTTTTTTTTCCGGAGAAACGTGAAACATATTCAATGAGTTCGACCAAGTACTTATCGACGTTAATACGAGGCGTGTTCAAAAGGCAAGGCGACTTTTAAGTTTTATCTAAAAATATTTATTTATTTATCAAAATTAACAATCCCGTTCAAAGTGTCACTTCTGCCGACGTTTTCTCCAGCGATCTCCTCAATCGTTCGAAAGCAACCTTCTTCTTTTCATGGGTTTCTTGATTTTTGGTTATCTTCATATTTTTGGGAACAGGGGGCCATATCCGGTGAATATGGTGGTGTTTTCCCACAATTCCGCACGTTTTCTCAAGGCAATACTCTCTATTCACCATACGACCTTGACGCGACGATAATCAAAGAAAACAGTAAGCAAAACGTTGACATTTAATCGAACTTGACGTGCGATTTTTGGTCTTTGCGATTCTGGTTTCTACTGTTGGGACGACTGCGCTTATAGCTCATGATTGGTACAAAGGTTATGAATTTTTTGAGCATATCGGGATGATCATTGACGTCGCTTTTGAGCGAGGCTCCTTCGACGGTCCTTTTGTTCAAAATTAAACTGTTTCGGTCCACGAGTCAATAGGGATTCGATGATTTTTCAACACCATTTGTTTCACTTCTTCAACGTTTTCATCAGTTATTGACGTGCTGGGGCATCCAGAGCACTTACAAAACATTTTTGTTTGCGCAAAGCGGACTTTACCATATGCCATTATCAATATTTCAAGTGTTATACAGCAAAATTTTATGCAAATTCGTTGTTGCTATTTTTGACAGCAGAAAATCGCTGAGCACACAAAACACATCTAACGCTTCTGTCTCACAAGTAAACAAACGCGCAAACTGGCTGAAACTGTGAACATATGTTAGGGACATAGGTACCAACATAACAAAAAATATATCGAAGATCGAATGTACGTAGCTTGTCCAATTATAAGTCACCTCACTTTCTGAACACACCCCGTATGAACCAATCATTTTGTCAGTTACGTTAAAGCGTTACCATATCAAAAACATTAACGTGATTAAAAAATGCGCGGAAATTTACTCTCAAAGTCTAAATACACGACAAAATGGCTAAAACAAATTATTCTACTATCCAAATAAGGTATAACACCCTTTTGGTTTCCCATACTTGCGGCCGGTCATCACTTTCTACGGTTATATTAACCTAATCTCGAATTTAGTATCACATATTCCCCAAAATATATGAGAAACTTAAAATGTTTGCCCATATAAATACGTTTTTAGGCAACCAGATAATCACCCCGAATTTCGTTCAGACACTCACCGCGAGGTGTCATTCGGGTCAGATTTGACGGTTTGCGTCATTTTGAATTTCTTATATACTTTTTTGCCTATGATCCGTTATTACATTATTTCCGCGAGATAAAGTTTCAATTCTGTTAAATTTCGGTTTCTATTTTTTCTTTTTACTGTGGGCCATAATGAACAATAATGCAGGCTTATCTAGAATGTTATAGAAAATGCGTCGGATCTGGTTGTCCCCATATATTCAGCAAGAAACGATGTTTCTCTGTTCAGTAGGCGAGTACAGCAAGTTCAGACCCTGATTTTTGATAACAAGAGAAAACGAATATATGTCTTATTAAGAATTTACGTAAAATAGCAATGGACAAACAGCTTTTACAACTATGCAGTTAACACATTGTTGAGAAAGCTAATTCAGAAGTTCGAAAGTAATAATTTCGATTAACTTCGGTGTAGAGAATGAAGACATTTTATGCATGCAAAAGGTTTTTTAACTATACATATCTACCTATCATATTATGGACCTATAACATTAAATAAATTTAAGTTTATATGCGCCATTTTTTTTTATTTGTCGAGCAGCTTAAGAAACATGTTTATGTAATGTAAAAATTTAATTTACACAGTTTAACGAAAGTTAAACTGTAGAGTGTCAGTTTCCCATATAATTTGGGTGGTATGTTACTATTGTATAAACATTGTATACCAGATCGAAAAACCATGGGAGGCTGTTTCAGTTTCTTTTGGTCGGACGAAGCACTTTCATCGATCACCAACGGATTCATTATATCGAAAGAGTTATTCAGCACTCGGTGCCTTTGGTTTTGCGGCAAGGTCGTACTGGAAATGTGACCGTCTTGCTCGATCTTCTTGTTCTGTTGAAACTGGGTGGTGCTGCCCAGTTGGGAAGGGGACGACGTCGTCGGACTAGAAGCTGTGGAAAATGAGATTGGACCTTGTAGGAGAGTGGATGAAATATTGTTGCTGGAAATAACCACGGTTTGGGTCGGCTGAGCGATAGGTTGTTGTTGATGGGCCACTCCGGGCGACGTTATCGCGGCGTTGTTCAGGGTAACCGTTTTAACAGGTTGCAAAGTGATAGTCTGCATCGGAATACCGTTTTGCTGCAAGAAAAAATACGGGTGCTGTAGAGTTTTCATCAATCCGCATTTCGTGCACAAAATTATTAAAAAAAAAACTGGTAACGGTACTTTTGTTACTTCATAATAATTAATGCAGAGAACCGCTCACCAAGACTTTGCGTTCCTAACCAAAGATTATTCACCAGCGTTCTGCCAAAATGGCGTTTATATGTTATTGCGTTTTGGGTCTAATCTTTGAACTGTAGCCCACAATTACAAGCACAAACTAAAATCAGGTTACGCTATGTTTGGATGAAATTTAATAAGAGTTGCTGAATAATAATCTTTTTCGATGGGCGAATGACCCTAGCATACTTGGCCAATAGAATTAAAGAAGAGGGCCCTCTTTTCTACTTAGAACGCTTTCCTTTTCAATTTACAATATCAGAAAAGATTTACGAAAACAAAAAAAAATCAATGAAACGAACATTTTAGATATAGTCTATATATACGCATACGCACCAGCATTGCGTGCGCAAAAGTATTCCAGACAAATTGGAAAATAAAAAAATAAATAGCCATTATTTGCTTTGCTCTTATTTATTTATTCAACGTTGACAGGTAAAATACATTAAGTAGTTAAGTTTTAAACGGCCACCACAATCGCGATTTCCTAATTAAAAATATATATCACAAAATTACCACCAAATTAACGTTTTAATGGATAAATATATAAATTTTCAGTCGGCAATGTATTGAAAGTAACAATATCGATCTGGATCGCACACACTTTCGAAACGTCAACATGGCGGTTCTTTTGTTGCTGTTTTTGGAGGACCTTGACTGTGATACACACGTACGTTAAACGTGCGTGATAAAAACACAAGCAAACAAAACTGCCATAACCTCAAACGTGATCGAACATCAAACCACGTGTCGCCTGTCACAAAACAAAGCATTGCTCTCACTCATTCTTTTCGTCCCTTTTTAGCAAACATTACATCTTCAATACGACGGTGAAACGAGTCAATGAGTCATCACGGAAAGGAGAATAAATGCAGGTTATAATAGTGTATGTTCGTTTTGACGGAGGTATTTGATACTAAAAAGGAGATAAATTAAAAGAAACACTATTAACCGTGGTTAGCAGTTGGTGTGTGAGATGAAAATATTTGTGTTATCTTTTTGAGTGTTTTTTATAGGATGATATTTAAGTAATCGTCTAGGAATACGAGATAACACCTAATAATTTGAACTACACACTAGAATACTATTTACAATTTTTTTTGGATTACTCCTGCGTTGGTTGTTGATGAATCGAAAGTGCTGACGTTTCGCCAATCAACCTGTTGGCTTCGTCAGAGCTTAAATGAATCTGGCTCGCATTCTGCTCTGTACTTGCTTATACATTGTTTGAGGGTGACTGAGCTAAAGGTAGGACATGAACATTGTCTCGTATGACTGATTCTCGAGTCACTGAACCCAAAATTAAAACACCGTACATCTGCTCTTCTCTGTAATCATTTCCACATTACAGATATTAAGCGTTCCATCACAAAATACACTTCGCCACAACCTTCCAAAGACAATGAGGCCGAACGCAACTACACATACCAAAGGTTCTTAAGGAATATGACGTCAAAAACAAGATTGCTTTCGAAAAATCGTCGGTGGGCGGGGCAAGTTCGTCGCGCCTAGCGCGAAGCAGCATTTTTATTTTAAAAAGAGCTTCGCGGTTTCTTGTGGTAAAGGGACGCATAGTTTTTCTATCGTTCTCCTGCGGACCAGTATGGAACTTCCGCAAAATCGATGTAATTTTATTGTTTTTTACTTATCGCCGAAGTTCAAAGTCATAACAAACTTTGATAAATAGAAAAAAATGTACAAGTAATAACGATCTCCAATTATATCATTCCAAGTATCTCGCGCATCCTGTATGATAGACGAAACTTGAAACTCTCTCTCTCGACAAAATATTCGAGACTATTTAATCCAAATCATCCCATGTTTTATAGTTTTTCAATTACGGCTAATAATTTATCCACGAAAATGGCAATCTTTAGGATCTATTGGATATTTTTTAACTATAATCGACGCACCCCTGTACATATTTGAAAAAGTTCCGGAGATTATAACCCTGGATCTTCCACGTTTCCTAGCACAAGAATTTTTCTAAAATAGTAAATAGTTTTCGAGAAAATAAGGTTTGTCTGAAACCATGCAGTGCGCTATAATAATCAATGACGTCATCGCGCCTTGACAGTCCCCGGAATCGTGATTTTCATGTGGTTTTTTTCAAATTTCTCGAGCAGGGTGTGTGATAGACGAAAACCGCAAATACAAAAATTGTAGCTCTTGATGCGGCCTATGACACTGTTAATAATTTATAAATCTTTTAGATTTGTCGCTATAATTTAAAAACCCTGTATATAATCAAAAAAATGCTTAAAATAAATGTTAGAGCACTGGATACTCCACGTTTGCCAGTCAAACAATTTTGCCGATCGGGTGAATGGTTATGGAGAAAAACACCTGAAAGCCAAAATTATCAAAAAAATTAATTTTTCCAAAATTAAAAAAATACTTTGCGGTACTTAATTGTACTCGACTTTAATAGTTTAAATGTGGGTCTGAACTTCTACTTCTCGACCCAATCTGAAGTCGGTAGCTGCAAATTTAGTGCACCTATTACGTTTTTTAATATTGCACGGAATATCGTGAACATCCTGTAAAATAGGTGAAAACCATAAATAGAAAAGTTTTAGCTGTGTATGGGAGCTTTATTGCCGTGTAAAAGAAATTGATATCTGAAAAACAGTCCTCCAGTTATCACCAATTTTCAATAATAGGGGGACCCATTTTTCAGTTTTTTTTTTTAATTCACGACGCACCCTGTACATTTTTTTCGGTGGTTTCGTGAACAGTTTTGGAGAAATGATCTTTTCCTTAGGGGACCAAGCGTTGTTTGCCTGCCAAATTTGAAGTCGATAGCTTCAATTTTCATGTTTTATAGCAACGTCCAAAAAAATCGAAAATCGAAAAAAAAAAAGATGGACGGCGAAGCTTGAACGTAACCATTTTTACATATCTTAAAAAAGAGCAAAATTTGAAGCGTGTAGCTCAAAACGTTCGGAAGTTATCGTCGAAAAACCCTGGAACAGAGAACGGAGAAACGGAGAACAGACAGACAAAAAAACGTTTTTTTTTATGCCATGTGTACCAACGACTACGCTGTACGATGCACCGTTATCGAGATCTCGCGTTTAGTGAGGAGCGCGTATACTTTCGAGAAGAATACTTTCGCGGAAAGTATACGAAAGTAACAAGTTTTACCACTTGTCCAAAAATGTCTCAATATCTCCGATCCGTCAAATACAACATTGAGATTGAGATACCAGGAGTTTAGAGCATACGGCGGAGGAAAAATATCAACCAGGCTCAAAGAATATGAAAGGCTACGACAAATAAACTCATCAGCAGGTACCGAACACAAACACGAAACCGGATATAAACTTTTATTCGCTAACGCTAAAATTCTCGCATTTAATCAATTCTTTTACACACGAAAAATCCCACCGTTTGTTGTCGAATACGTCTCGAGAATTTAGTTGGTGTTTTGTCAAAGGACTGGAAAATAGGGCATTAGGTGAAAACATTTAAATGGCTGCTTCACAATATTTTGAACTGAGGTGAGCTTTTAGTTCTTATTTATTTTGACAATATTTTGAATTTACTGTGCTGTACTGTGCTTACAAATACCAGAAGTCGAAGAACGCTTTAGTCCTTGCAAGTGATGTACGATGGAGTAGCGTTGCTGATTGTTTAAAGATGTGCGGCACTGGCCAATGGGATATATTACTAAAAATATATGAAGAAAACAAAAACCAAATTGATTCGACTATTTACCAAAAGGTGGGCCTAAACATGCAACACAAGAATATTTAAGCATTTTAGAACCAATATCAGTTGCTCTTGATGTTTTGCAGTGAAAAAAAACCCTACTATCTCAGATGCTGTAGAGCAGTGGAAACATTTACAACATATCTTCGAGAATGTTGTAGAATTACCTTTATGAAAAATACAACAAAATCAGGATCGACATCAGCAGGCACCCACGCCATATCATTTTATAGCCTATATGTTGAACCCTCAACAGCAAAAATATGAGTTAATAGCAGAAGAAAAGGATCTGGCTTTGGAAACAATCAATAATTTGTATGGAAACCCTGGAATTTTGCTATTAGTAACAAAGTTGAATGAATATATTTTGATGAAGTAATAAAAAACATAAATGGTGGACATCGCAAAAGGATGAGCCAGAAATTACGAACCAGTTACCAATAATAAAACAGTTCCTGTGTGCAACTGCTTCCTCAGCGGCGGTAGAACGAAATTTCAGCACTTTTGCTTTTGTACACTCAGAATAAGGAACAGGATGGGGATATAAAAAGGAGAAAAAATTATATTTTTGTTCAATTAATACAATGAAAATAACATAAACTTTATATTATTATGTTATTTGCCTTAAAGAGTTGTTTTAATTTTTATTTGTGATAATATTTTTACATTGTGCTTTTTGTGCCAAACATAGGAGTTTCATTTAAATTATGATTTTAATAGTGATTTAATCCTCTTAATTAAAATCGGCCCAACCCTGGTAGGCGCCTAAGCAACCTAAGTACTACAAGATGAGTTGGGAGCTTTATTTTCAACCCTATTATTATTAACCCTAACAAAATAATGTTTTTACCTAGTCTGCATATTTTCATTATATTTTAAACATTCAATAATTTTCATTCATTTTGTCCCAGTGGTGCGTTAATGCGTTTTTTGCATTTGCGTTATGATTTTTTTTGTCACATCCAGGAAATATTTTTGCACATCAATTTAGAAATTTTATTATTATCACTACTAAAACACATAAAACCGTAGAAATTCCTAATTTATGTGGAAACAATATCACTTCAAAAGTTAACAAAAGCGGTACATAAATTTGTATCACATTTTTAAGTAAATCTAAAATTGTAAAAAAAATATTTTGGATTTGTATTGCCATTTTTGTTAAGTCTATATATAGCACGTGGATTACATCGCAGAAATCATACATTGGAAATACTATATTGATTATGCTTTATTTTTTGAAAATATTTACTGCTGCGTTTGTGCCTTGTGCAGTGAACGTTACAGTTCGTAAGATATGGCATTTCCGAGGTATTTGACTCAAAAGCAGTTAGAGGCGACTATGGAGGAGATCGTGATGGATGAGGACAATAACAATGAAAGTCGTTAGTATTATTTGGATTTACGTATTCTAATGTATTGTAGCATTCCATTCCTTGTAAATTTATGCTAAAAATAAAGTGAAAAATATTCACAAAACATATTGACGCGGTCTATATTCCACCCGACCTTGACTGACGAAGAAGATATGAACGATAACATAAATCTACAAAAGTTTGGGGAATCAACTTATATAGTTGGAACTTTCGAATTACATACACCGAATGATACAGTTATCCTTCAACAGTCCTGTAATTCATCAACTACTGAACCTGAATGGGACTCGTCAGATGAAACCCTGGAATTCAAAAGAAGACGTATGCCTTCTGTAAACGACAGGCTTGCTTCTACTGTCAAATGGAAGAAAGGTCAGATTGAGTACACTCACACACCTATATCCGATGAATCATGTGAAGAACTAAAAAATAGGCTTTCTGGAAAAACTCCGCTTGAAATATTTTTTATGATTTTTGATGACGAAGTGATTCGATTTTAAAATTTTCGGTAAAATATGCTCAAGACAATAGCCGCCATGACTTCTCGTTGTCAAAAAATGAACTATTAAATTTTGTAGGCATTTTATTGTTGGTTATCATTCATTGCCACATATTTAGCATTATTGGTCTACCGATGAAGACAAAGCAAAACTTGCACTTATCTGACAATAATGTGTTGGATAAAAATTAAAAATTTTCAAAAGTTCAAAGTCTTTGATGTAATAAATGAAAAAAATCTTCAGTTTGCCATATTTTCGTTCAACTTATCCATAGATGGACAAGTGGTACCTTACTTTGCAAATGTTCGTTTTGGCTTCAAGCTTTGGTGCCTTTGTTCATCTGATGGGTATCTATTTCATCCACTTCCATATGGTGGTGCTCAAAATAAACCTCATTCTGACTTTGGTCTTGGCGGTGACGTTGTCATGAGTCTACTATTTGTACATTTAAAAACTAATGGTTATTTTGCCACCGGTACTATCCGGGAAAATAGAACAAATAAATGTCCAACGGAAAATTGTAAATCATTTGAAAAAAAAAAGCTGCGGGTCCTATCTTTCAGCATATGAATCTGAATCAAAAATTTCTATTGTCCGTTAGCACGACAATTCAGTTGTAACTGTGGCAAGTAATGTTTCTAGTGTAGATCCTGTCCAAAATGTAAAACGCTATAATAGAAAAGAACGGAAAGATGTAAATAAACCCCAACCTTATGTAATCGCCCAATACAATAGATATATGGATGGGGTAGATTTACATGACAACGGAATTGCTAATTACAGGTGCCGGGTATTTGGAAAAAAATGGTGGTGGCCTTTGTTTTGTAACTCACTGGATAGTTTAGTAGTGAATGCATGGAAATTGTATAATATTGTCAAGTAACAAAAGATTTCCCAGGTAGATTTTAAATCTTACATTGATTGCTTTGCGAGTTTTAAAAACTGATAAAACAAATCTTGCACTTGCCATAGATGAAGTGCGTTATGATAATCAAGGTCACCTCATGATTGTTCATGCTAATAAAGCCCGAAGGAGATGTTGAATCTGTCACAGCCACACAATTTATGTTTATAATAAGCGTAATGTGCATTTACATACTTCATGCTTTGTAAAATACCACCAAAAATGAAACCGGGCGTTATGGTCTGTTCATATATATATAAGAAAGTGACCAATTGCTTTTGAATGGGATTATCCAAGGGTGGTCATTAACATACAATGCAACAAGATTATTACCTAAAGTTTCGGAATTTAAATTCAGGTAAAATTGTGGTCCGTAATAGAAAACAGTTTTATACCTACCTGTGTTTAATATTCTTTGGTTTGGTATACTACTTAGTTTAAGTTTATTAGTAATCATTCTTATTTCGTGTGTAGTACAACGTGTGTTGAATCGTGTGCGAATTATGCAAAATATGTGCGAGTCTAGTGTATCTCAGGAGATGCTCCCGCCCAAATATAGAAAACAGTATTCTATTGAGACTAAGGAAGTTATAAACAATGTTTATTTGACTCTCATTGAACGTGGTGCCAGCAAGCAAGCATCTTTAGAAGAAACGGCCACATTGGCGAAAATTCCAACATCAACTGTATGGAAAATGGTAAATAATCGCATTCCAGCGAGGAAAAAAAGAAGCGATGCTGACATTTTCTTGAGTGTAGATGAAAATGATCAAGATATAATACAGCGTAAAATTTACAAATAATAATTAGAATGTGAATAATTTTAAATAATTTAAGTAGGTAATAAAAATAATTTGTAACTTTATTTTCGATTTAAACATAAACACACACATAAATAAATATTGTTTAATATATTTCTTAACAAAACCACAAATAATTAAATTCTAAGCAAAGTACGGACCTGTTCGGCTATATTTCATTCTTACAGCTTGCCCGGGCTTTCCTTAATTCGTATCAGTTAGTCACTTTCTTATATCTATGAACAAACTTTACCAGTGGTGCACCATAAAATATTATGCGTTTTTTTGTATCAAATCAGGTTCTACTTGGAAAACAATCTACTTTTTTTTGACACATGTAATGTATTCTTAAGTGCAACAAAAAAAATAATTTCAGAGCAAAAAAGTATTTTTTAATTTTTTTTTATGCGTGGGATAACATGGGTTACCCAGATATTATATCCCTTCCTTAAGGTGATGACTCACACTTGAGCGTTGAGCTTGGTGGTGGTTACACTACCACACCACGTTGTGTGTAAATAAATAAATTTAACGTTTGGTTTAATTGCGAACTTACCCCATTTTGCAACTGCCCGCCGTTCCCCGCAACAGGTCTGATGGTCGAAAGTGCCGTCTCCAAGGTGGCGCGGTGGTGTTGTTGCTGCTGTTCCTGCAGCTCGAGGAAGCGGGCGGCCTCGATGAGGGTGTTCAGGCTCATCTTGTCCGTCAGTTGGACCTGATTGGGGCCGGCGACGGGCTGTAATACAATAATCTTTACGTTCTGCGGTACGGCCGAAGCCATCTTCGAAAGGTGCGGGCGCAGAAAGCGTTCTAAGGCGACTACGCGCTGCGGAGCTCTTCTCCGACGAGGTCACTTCGTCAGGTGTGGATCGGACCACGTGCTCGATCGCGGAGAACAATTTTTCCCGAATAAGTGACGTCAATGTTTATCAGCGACGCAGCACACCGCGACGTTGTCAAACCGTCAAATAATCGAAATCGGAGGATCGAAGTTGTCCCATTAACGATCGAATTGGACAAACGAACTCACGAAAATAAAATAGCGGACCACAACACGCCGAAATCTCTCGCGAACTGCGCGATTCCGCTAAACGAAATCGCGGAGAAGCGGTCAGACGGGTTCGTACTAGATTAGCGGCGACGTGGAAGGGAGGCGGAAAAATGCGTAAACTCTATCGCGACGTTGCCGGCCGACTCGAAATATACCCACGAACGATCCCACGAATTTAGCGTCAATTATTTGAACACTATTAAACTGTGACGGTTCTGCACATTTGAATTTATTCAGTTACAGTGAAATGAACGATTTGCCGCAGAATACGAATTGGTGTTGGTCTTAACTTAGAGAGGTTTATCTGTGGCAAGGAACAAATTTCAAAGTCATGTGGCGTACCATGCCGCGACAATTTGAAAATATTTCGGTCGATGTTTTAAAAATCCATAAACTCCCTGTACAATAACTTTTAATTATTATAAAACAACGTATAATGTATAATTCAGTAAAAAATCAGATCTGCAACCTGGCAAGTAACACAGATCAATTTCTAAACAATAAATAACGATTGAACGAATTATCAAAATAAATAAGAACTAAAAGTTCAGATTTTCACGAAATTATATATTTTTACATGACAATTGTGTCGACAACACCGTGTAATGTAATACTTACAAACTACCTGCTACTATATATATCGAAAAATAACCATCGAACCTTAATTAATGTTGTGAGAATTTAAGTTCAATCAAGGAGAGTTATTTAAATCTAATTGATCGTAAAGCAATACATTTGAATGTCTCATTTTGTTGATCTCCAACAATTTAAAACAATTACGTACATTGGAGAACATTTGTCAAAATGTGGTTTAAAAATAGCTTTCAGAACTAACAACACATTAGGAAACTTTTTAAAAAACAATAAACCGAAATGTCCAAAATCTCAAAAATCAGGTGTCTACAGGTTGAAAGGCGGATCTTGTCCTAAAATTTATATTGAACAAACAGGTAGATCCTTCAAGAAAGGCATTAACGAACATAAAAGAGCGCTTAAAAACAATAATCTAGATTCTAATTATGCTACATACTTAAACACATTTTTGACGACAATTTTGATATTTTACATACAGCCACAAAAAGTAGAAAATTAAATTTATTGGAAGCCATGGAGATTATTAACAAAATGTGACATTCAGATGTATTGCTTAACGATCAATTAGATTTAAATACCTCTCCTTTATTGAACTTAAATTCTCACAACATTAATTAAGGTTTTATGGTTATTTTTCGGTATATATAGTAGCAGGTAGTTTGTAAGTATCCCATTTGATAAAGACACGGTGTTGTTGAAACAATTGTCATGTAACAATATATAATTTCGTGAAAATCTGAAATTTTAGTTCTTATTTATTTTAATAAATAACGAGTGGGCCCCCTGGGAGATGTCACTTCAGCGACAGAGATTTATCGTTTTTGTCCGCTACCGATTGAACGGCTTGACGTTTTCGGGAAACTTTCTCTCGAAAGGGAAGTCCTGTCGGACGCGAATTATCGCGCATAGAGGGGGTGGGGGGGAGGCGTCATCGCGAAATAATACGCATCGGCGATGTTGCCAAATAGCCCGCGGCCTAATTATAGCTGATAAAAAAAGCGTCTCGAATATACAAACAACACGAGGAGCGAGCCACGCTTCCACCACGTGGCGGCGGTGCCTCGGACAGGTCCTGTACCTATCGCGTATCCGAAATTAAAATATTTGACAACACACGAGCGCACAAGTTGCCGCAGCGATCGAGATGGCGGGGGAGAAAGACGGGACCCGAGCACGTTTCCGTTATTGACGCGACGTTGCCGGTTTGTCCCGTTATTTGATCGTCTTGGAATCGCGTCAGAATGGGCGGCACTTGAACATTTTATTTTTATTTCTTTAAGCCATTTCTTTATGTATGCATACCATATCAAAACTCAAAACCCAATATTTAAGTTGCAATAAACAATCGATATGGCACACCGCTGCTTTTCGAGCGATATGGCGTCATATTATAGTGTTATTTTCAGGTTATAGGCCGAGAACTACATATATTATTTACCTTTATTTTTGGCTCGTGTAAAGGTGTGTTTGGATTTAAGCTACGCCAATTTCTATTTGTGCTTAGTGTGCTTTACATGATAATGGAAGCAACATAAAAACACGTCATCCTGTTTGAGTACAACCCGTAAAACGCCAGAGCTTTTTATTAGTCTAACAGAAAATAAAAGCCGTCAATTTTTGTTAACATTATGTTCAGGTGTCACTTTAGCAAATAGAAGTTAGAACTTGCACCCAGCCTAATGCAGTTTCTATAGGAATGGCTTCCTGATCTATATAAAATAAAGACAACTTTAAGTTGTCAATGCCAAGATAGTTTAGAGTCACTATTTAGGTTCTCACTCATTAAAAAAAATCCTTTTTGTTGAATAATTTACATTTTATTTGATACACAATTTGAATTTTAATAACTAGAAAACTTTAAGCTGGCGTTCTCTAATGGCTGCTCTATGCTACCGTGCGGCTGGGGCATAGTCTAACGAGCGAATTGACGTCACAACACACAAAACAAAGAGGATTTAAATTTTACAATTTTTAATTGCTGTTTTAATTTTGTTCAGATTCAGATTCCCTATTGGACTGTCGTCGTCTAAACGAAGCATCTAATATATTAAAACTTATATACTTATACATACTTTCGTGGTGATATTCAGATTCGACCACAGGGGAAACTAATAAAAGGCCAGTCACGAATTAATAGGCAATAATAGCGCAACTCCAAATTTGAACAAATCGGGTTACGACTTGTGCGTGCCTTTCTGTCTTTAACACTGATTCCGCTAAGATCGTTGAAAAAGACAAAAGTTCAGATATTTATCATTCAAAATAAAATTCAGAATAAATATAAATATCATTATATTTTAAAAATTATTTCGGTCAAGTCAAATTGACACAAAAAAAATTAACCGGTCAATTCCACAAATCTAATTATGAGAATTAGTTAAATAATTGCAGTATACGGGGGAATAGTTACGCCCGGGTTGAGTCGTTTTTGAAGGGTCGTGACCAAGGAGTTGTGCTTAGAAACGATGCTTTTGTGACTAGATCCTCATCTAAACCAGCGGTGTCCCACAGGGAAGCATACTGGGACCTTCATTATTTATAACATTTATTAATGTTATATCTGATTTTTTCCCATTCTTTCCTTATATGCAGATGATACTGCTGTGGCAATGTAATCTAGGGGTCTGGAAGATATCACGTTCTTGGCCACTAGGGCAGTAAGTGGTATGACCCGATATTGTGAGCGTAACGGTATTTGTTTGAACGGGACAAAGACTGAGATGATGTTGTTTTCGCTTAGGGATTTAAACAAGAGCTTATTGGTAAGACTGCAGGATAAATCGATTAATCAGACTAACTTATTTGGGTTTGTTGGGTTTGTTCATAGATGTCCTGGACAGACCAAATTGATTACGTATTAAACAAAATGGTTACGCATACTTTTGTTATTTGGCGACTGCGGTCGAGTGTGGATCTTCAAAAACACTTCGAACACAGTGTTCGAAGTGTTTTTTAAATGGAGCACCCAATATAGGTATGTGATATATACTTAATAAAAGTAGGTTTTTGCAAGACCTTTCAGAAAAAATAATAGTATATATGGTGTGCCATTCAAGAAAATCGAGATTTTTTAATTCAAAATTATCGAAATAAGTTTAATATATTTTATTTTCGAAATAAAACAACATTAATTAGGAAGTTTAATTATTTTCTCCAAAATTCTAAGGTAACTGTCCTCGTTCAAATTCCCTGCACCTTTAGTTCGTCCTGCATGTCGCGTTCGCGCTGGTGTCTACGGTTCCCACATATAGCTATTAACAGCTACATTATTATTATTATTATTATCAAGAAAGTGATATTTAAAATTATACTAACGCCAAAGCTAAAAAAACGTTAAAAACTTCGTTACGAGAAATGGGGCCCTTATTTGTGCGTTTGATCCGTCTGTGCATCCGCGTGTTTAACGTGTAGAGATAAACGCGCGTGGTTGGGGTTGAAGCCAAATAAATATTGAAATAGAAAAGCGCCAGGTGGACTTAACGGCCGTGGACCCTATGTTATATCCCGAGCGGTTTTCAAAAAAGAATCGAAAAATGGCTTGGATATAATCAATTACGGGTGCAAATATCCACCACAAGACGTAATACGCACATATGCCCGCTTAAAACCAAATCCTCATTAGAACGAAGCGTAAAGCGCGATTATACTTCGACCACAAATACAGTGCTTTTAGAACCGACCCCGTGATCAACTTTGACAATTGCCGAGCAGACCCTTACCCGTAACCAGTCCAGGACCGTCCTAGGAATTTATCCTATACTAACAAACGGAATATAAGTATGTTTTCAATCTTTTGCGCCGAGCAATTCTTGAAACATGTACCTAAAAAAATTAGTATAAAGTAACAATTTATTACGTTCTATTTCATTACATTTCTAAGTAATATCATTATTAATAGACAAAATATTAAATATTCCTGTGGACTATCCTATTTGCAACAATTTTTCTTACAGTTGAGTTCGGAACTTTGGTCATGTCACTTGTTTTTATTGCTGCTCCTACTTCCGAATTTCTTATAAAATTGTAAACATTGAAAACAGTTTGTTTAGCATCCGGAGGGGTTTTCAGTACATATCTGCATTTCTAAATAGGATTTCGGTACAATAAGAGGCGAAAAAGCAGATTCTGACTGGGATCTAATCGAAATCTGCAACTATTTGTGTCAGAAAGGAGGTTTTACGTCGATATCTAATGGTTTATTACGGTTTTCGTTACTATAAAGCACGAAGACGCCGATTTTTTGAAAGATATTGACACGAAAATGTAACTGTTTGGATCAAAAAATGATAGGTTAAGCTGATATCTGCTGTCTTGATATGTAGTGGGTTTTTAAGTAGTCATCTGCAGTTTTAATGTATATTTCAGTATGGTAAGTTATGAAAATGCTGGGTTTGACTATAATCTGCTGTCAATCAAGCGCCAAAACCAATTATTTGTCCCAAAGGAGGGGTTTTCAGTACATATCTGCATTTCTAAATAGGATTTCGGTACAATAAGATGCGAAAAAGCAGATTCTGACTGGGATCTAATCGAAATCTGCAACTATTTGTGTAAGAAAAGGGGTTTTACGTCGATATCTAATGGTTTATTACGGTTTTCGTTATTATAAAGCCCGAAGACGTCGATATTGACTAGTATTTGAAAGATATTGACATGAGAATGTAACTGTTGGATAGTTTAAGCTGATATCTGCTGTTTTGATGCCGATTTAGATAAGATATGTGTCGGAAGAGCCGATTTTCACTGGAATCTGTTTGAAATGGGGAAGCAAAACATACGATCAATCCAAGAAAGTGAGTTTATAAGTAGTCACCTGCCGTTTTAATGTAGATTTCAGTCCGGTAAGTTATGAAAATGCCTCTTTTGGCTATAATCTGATGTAAATCAAGCGCGAAAACCAATTACTTGTCCCAAAAGGAGGGGTTTTCAGGCACACAAGATAAAATGATTATTTTCAAATTTACATGTAAGATAAATAGAGTACAGGTACTTACCCTTACCCTTTGAACTATCCAGTGAAAACAGCGTCGTAGGGTCAAAGCTCGAGAATCAGGCACATAAATACGTACTTACTGGAAGGATCACAGTTAAATTCCTCCGTAATATATACGAATTTTCTACAAATATTAATTAATAATGTTGGGATGGGTTTTACCACGGTCCTGCGAAGGTGTCCATTTCGGAGTTTCGAGGATCAAATCCCAAATGTTCTTTTCATTTCAAACGAAAAAAATAAACAAAAAATCGTCCCCCACTTTTTTTCTTTCTCTTCGTGACATTGCAGCTACATCATTTAAAAACGGCAGAAAGATGTCGGACGCCAGCGCCATCTACAGGTTCGCTTAAGCTCGCGGGCGAATTTGCTAGTCGAGAGTGGGTGCGTTTTCGTGCTTAAATTAACGCGCGGACCGTCGCGAATAAGTGAACGCAAACAATGGCGAAACGATATACAAACAATTGAGACCAAATGCGACGTTGTCGGATTGCGACATTTATATGACGCATTTTTCGGTGCGAACGAAATATGTGACATCTATTTCATGTTTAAAAATTTAAATTAAAAATTTCCTAATTATCTATTTTTCATTCCTACAAAATAAATAATGATTGTTTATTTCTTTTAAAAAATTGGAAGAATACTACTTGCTTATCCATAGAAACATTAATCATACTGGTACAACTATATTCGTAATTTCTTCCCAATACTAAACCTAAAACCGAAGTAATCAAAATAAAAGTCAAGTCATGTCTTACGTGGAGTCGTGTTTTCAACTCTGCTCGTATATCTCTCGGACTTAAGTGTATTTTTGTAAAACGATCGAATCATCATCAATTTTCATTTTATAATTTAATTCATCTCCCGAAAACATCTTTAGTTGTGTTGTTTGACATTTCACTACATTTCGATACTATTATTAATGGTTAATTATCGGCAAAGGGATTTGGTTGGTTATTGGTGTAACCACGTTTTTACCAGTGGTTAACCAAGAGTTGGTGTTTTATCAAATTTTTCATACTCTGTGGTCTGATACGTACCAATATTGACGCTCTAGTTGTATTTTGGTTGATAGAACCTCGAAAACCTCAAATGACATAGTGGGTAAGTTTGCTACCATTTTCTGGTATCCTCTAGGGTTTTGTTTAACTTTCTTCTGTTTTAATTTCGACACATGGTTGTTGGCGACTTCATATTGGAGTTGCACTGATGGACTACTACTTGACTTCCCAAGTAGTTGCAAGCAGGAATCAGCCGATCATCAGACTTTTAACGAGGACGGGTTCAGTACTTCGGAGTTTGGAGTGAGATAGTGAAATTTTCTTTTGTGATCTCGAGATTTGACTAAATTAACACATTGGCACTATCGATTTATGTAAGACAACTTGCAAATTGGAGTCGAAACATGTTTTGAATTATTTTAAAAAGAAAGTAGCTAATTTACCTTACTTATCTGTGATAATTACAATAATAAATAATACAATCTAGTCGAGACTAACTTTTAGAGTACCATGTTTAGGGTTAGGCACTTTTTTTTTGGTATTTAAACAAACAACATCTAAACAAAAGTTTAGCAGCACTTCTAAGGTTTAAGTTTAAGGGAAATGTGAGACACTGCTTAAAAGGAAATAAAATGTAACGCAGAATTGAGAGAGAAAAGGCCATTACAATAAAATCAGCAACAAACTGATGACAGTTCTATTGATATTAAAAAAAAGGGGCCCATTGTTGATACATTTGGGATATTTTTTTGGATAATTTCGACTTTTGTCTCCAAATGTGGAGGGTTTGCAATTTCTTTATATATTCAACTGTAAAGATTAATTTATATCCCATTTTAACTCTTTTTTCAACAATAAAGTCACTGCAAAAACTACGAAGGCAGTGAGACTAACATTAACCAAACTAACCTTAATATCCTATGATTCTGTGGGAGTCTTTATAGTCAGGGGCGGCTCGTGGGAAACATTTTAAGGTGTTCTGCAATAAACTTACGTTAACCAACAAACGGCGGATTATTAACTTCCTTAATTATTTATTCTTGACAAACTTCAAGCATGCACTATAACAGATTATTCTGAATTTCTCTGGAAGTGCCTCACTTAGAATTGTATCTAATTCAGTGGGAAAATGAATAAGTCTACGGGATTCTTGGAAGTTTCGTTTTTCCCCGGAGCGCCAATTCAACAGATCCGCAAAATTTAAGACAATTAATAATTCTTTGACACATTTAGATTAAATTTCTGTCGATTTACCCAATAAGAAGAATCTAATATTGCATGGTTAATCCTCATAACGCAAATTCCGTAGAATTATAAATGTGGCTTATAGAGCATTTTTTTTAACATCCAAATATCAATTAAGTATATCGCTTTTTCCTCTACTTACACCAGCCTTCGGTAAAATCTGATGTTGGCCTTTTGCTTTTAACAAGTGCTTTCCAGTAATAAGACATTAAGATAAGTAATAATTGGGTTTTTTAAATACTTTATTTAGTCTTTAATTTTGTATTATTTTGCATATGATTAATTGTTTTGTTGTTAATGTTGTTAATTATAATGAACAAATATGGAACCGCATTTAGTTTGATTTGTAGGAATAATACATATTTTTTTAAAACTCGCTATTGTTTTAATTACTACCTCTACTTCAACTGTTTTAGAGGAAGATTTTATTGATAATTTATCACTGTTTGATGACACTGTTTCACTCGATATAAAAAATAATGAAAGCTGTAAAAACTTCTGATTAAAAAATTGGAGATCGATCAAAAGAACATCATCATTGAATTTGTTCAAAATATTTGACCTACCATATGATTGTGGGCTTCAGATGAGAGTTATAAGGAAAATGAAGCTGTAAATGATGCAGCAGAGCGTAGAGTAATGTTGGTCTGTGAATATAATCAGAGTTTGACGAAAAACGAAGAGCAGCAAGGGCAAGTTGTCGAAGAACACCGAGGACTATTTCCTGATTGTAAAAAAACAAACGAAAAATCTTAACGGAACCAAGCAATGCTCTGGGTAGGTAGAGTTTACAACCAATGTTCATAGAATAATAAAATTTAAAATAATGATAAATAATCGACGAGTTTGGTGAACCTGTGTTTCCCATTCCGCATTTAAATTTGGACTTCCGTTAAAATTTTTCTTAATAACATCATTGTATACCGCGGATTTGCTCTCCCGCATTGATTTTCATGTGAACGCTTATGCTGATGATACGAAATTATTTACATGCGGACGTATTGCAGAGAAACTTGAATACTATTTCCAAGTGGTGTTCAACTTGGCTATTGCCGCTGAACGCTCGAAAGTGCTCTGTGCTGCATGTTGGCAAGAACGGGATTGTTGTTTGAACTATTATATCAATGAAAACTTTGTGTCACGTGTCGATTCTCTGGACTTAGATGTGACAGTAACTAATGATCCTGAGTGGTCTGTACATGTATCAAATTCTGTTAATTTTTGTTAAAAAAGACTTTAAAAATCCTAGTCCTCCCATCGCTTGTAGACTTTTTACCACTTACATTCGCCCCATCCTGGAATTTATTTCCCCAGTGTCATTGGTCATTGCGAGACTGTGATGTTCTGGAAATAGTGCAACGAGCCGCTACGAGCTGGCCACTTCAAGTTAGACATACTTACGTCTCAAAATACTTAGTCTGTCAACATTAAGTCAGCGTCGGCTGCGAGGAGACCTGATTCCAATGCAAGGGGTTGTTTTTTTTCGATGCATAGAACTTTAAGTTGCAATAAAACAACGATGGATTATTCGATTGACATGAATTTTATTTATCCGAAAGATAATCTTGTGGCATTATATTTTAAATATGATTTCTGGCATATGACCGCCACGGCTGGCGCGGATGTGGTCCAATCTGGACGTCCAATTTTCGATGACTTTTTCCAACATTTGTGGCCCTATATCGGCAATAACACGGCAAATGTCTTCCAAATGGTCAAGCGTTTGTGGCTTATCCGCATAGACCAATGACTTTAAATAGCCCCACAGAAAGTAGTCTAGCGGTGTTAAATCATCTTGGAGGCCAATTCACAGGTCCAAAACATGAAATTAGGCGGTTACCAAATATGTCTTTCAATAAATCGATTGTGGCACGAGCTGTGTGACATGTTGCGCCGTCTTGTTGAAACCACATCTCCTGGACATCATGGTTATTCAATTCAGGAATGAAAGAGTTAGTAATCATAGCTCTATACCAATCACCATTGACTGTAACGTTCTGGCCATCATTGTTTTTGAAGAAGTACGGCCCAATGATTCCACCAGCCTATAAAGCGTACCAAACAGTCAGTTTTTCTGGATGTAACGGTGTTTCGACATACACTTGAGGATTAGCTTCGCTCCAAATGCGGCAGTTTTGTTTGTTGACCTAGCCATTCAACCAGAAGTGCGCTTCATCGCTAAACAAAATTCGCTTATGAAAATGGGGAACAAGGACAATTTCGTTTTGTTCCTATTCGACGAATCTACGCCTTACTTGATGATCGTTTGGTTTCCATTCTTGCACGAGTTGGATTTTGTAAGCACGTAAACCAAGATCCTTCCACAAAATCTTCCATAAAGTGGATGGACACAGATCCAATTCCTGTGCTCGATGGCGGATGGACTTATTCGGGTCTTCCTCAATGCTACGCTCTACAGCAGCAATAGCTTCTTCTGTACGCACTGTACGGCGCATGACCAATTTCCATCTGACGTGCCCTTTGTGGTCTTAAGCAATGACGAACGCCTACGTGGCCATCCATTTAAAATAAGAAAGGAACAATTCAGGATTTCACATCGCTAGCATTTTATAACTAACAGGACTTTCGATTATTGGAACAGTTTACCCGCAGATGTTGTGTGCGCGCCGAACTTGTCTGTATTTAAACGTCGCTGGGAGAGTGCATTGTTTCACAGCAATAACTAAATATTTATTATATGTATAACATTCTCATGCTACTAACTATCAATGTGCATAATAGGTTCTCCTCTGTACTTTATTCTTTGTAATAATAATAATCATTGGTTTTTGATAAAAACCAAAACCACCGCCCGGTATACCAAACAGCTTTATCAGCCCGGAACGCGGGTAAATTTTGCGTTGTTATCGATCCGCTCGGGTTCCAATGATTGCAAAAAAAAAAACGCACCAAACGATCCGTATTTAAGTATGTCAAAGTTATATCGCAATAATTGTGATAAACTGAACGCCCCCGCTCCGCGCCCCTCCCCCGCGCGGTGAAATCGGTGTTCCGTCACCTGCGACGACCGGATCCGTGCCTAGACTTTTAAAATCGGCGAGCCGACGAATAATCCCTGCCGTCGGGGAAATTTCGTCCGTGCCGGCAACGTCGCCGCCTCGACGACGGACGAAAAAAACGAAGCACGTGTTCCTTGTTTCGGTAATTGCCGACACGTACGTTTCGATTCGGTAATTTTCTCCGAAGTTCGCGGGACGTGCGGTACGCGACAACACTTTTGTTTATACCGTGCGTTCGGAATGCTCTGCACGGCAACACGGGT